GGTCATTTGGAGAGGATGGATGAAAGAAGAATTACGAAAGAGATTTATCGAGCAAGAATGAATGGAGATGTCGGTAGGGGCCGCCCTAGACGGACGTATGTTGACCAAATAGGCGACGTGCTGAAAAAGGGCCAAATTAAAAGTACCCGTAACCGGCGAGCGTGTATGAAAAGATTGATGAATGTGGAAGAAGCGAAAGAGATTTGTTTGAATCGAAGCATTTGGCGTTCCATTGTTTCTGCCTACCCTAATGGGAGACAGACGTGACAGATATGTATGTATGTATGTACGAAAATATAGAATTATGTAGCATTTTTTTTCTACGATTATAATGTTCCTATGCGTCTATGTATTGATTGTAATTACTACGTCCCTAGTTGCAAGTGAAAACACGGAGTGTATGTTTCTCTAGCAAGAGATGAGTGATGTGAGTTTCAAGCCAACAAAATGACAGAATAGGAATAAATAGCATTCTGTAGTTACAACAGAACACTCGCACACTGCCAAAGAATGGTATAAATTTTATGATGTTTTACTAATTCGAAGCTATTGAGATATAAAAAAAAAATAGTATAAAAAATACAAATTTTATCAAGACTGAAGTAATATCTACAATTAGGCGTTTGCGCATAATTTAATAAGAGGTAGTGTTGTCTAATAATTGTTGTGTATCGATTAGTGGATAATTCGATTGGAGTCACAAATAACATCTAACAATCGATTCTGTAACCCATACAATCGACAATCCTCATTAATACTTATTATAAATGTCAAAGTGAGTTTATTTGTTACTTTACAGCGTCTTAGCGGTTTAACCAATCACTATGAAATTTGGTATATATGTACTATATGAGATGAAATAAGGTATAGGCTACTTTTTATACCGGTCAGTAGAAATATGCCGATCACACGGATGAAGTCGCAGGTGAAAACTATTAAAATAGATAAACATAAATAATATATTTAATTAAATCAATAGCAAGTACTAAAATAATACCATTAATTGTACATACTAGTAACTTAAGGGATGGTATAATTTTAAACTTGGTATCGGTACTACTGTTTTTAATATAAGCCAATAGATATTAAAATTATTCATAATAATAATAGTTTATTTGCTCAAATATGGTTTTACAAAGGGTACATATTAGGTTATTACGCCTCCATATTTTACCACACATGGCGCGCAAATTTTCTTTTAATATAAATACTAGTAAAATTCCATTGTTAATACAGTCTTAATTATAATACTTTATAGAAAAAAAAAAGAAAACAATTATTATATCAAAATTTGTCTTGTCTCTTATTCTGAGTTAAATCGATTATTTGATTATAATAATCGATTTTATTAGTCAACGCAAATATGAAGTAATTGATATTGTTTATTTATATACTTTGCTAACATTACAGCGGTTTGCGGTCGCTGTCACCGCGCGAGGGACGAAGGTGGAGGGGTCACGACCTCGTCCCACCCGCTCCAGAAATAACTGTTTGCGTGGAAACATGCCAAAATTTGCTAAAACACTTAAATATGCCGCCATGAATTGATAACGTTTTGTTACAATAAATATTTATGTGGTATTCTTGAAGATCAAAGGTTCTTAGCGTGCGATTATTTTTATTGAAAAATTTTAATTATCATTACTTCCTACTAATTATTATTGATATGAAAGTATACTCGTGGATTTGTTAACTCAGTCGTGTTTCAACGTCATAATGGATTTTAACTAAATTTAGTTTAGTACACAGATAGAGCAGATCCAGGATTAATACATACGATAATTTTATCCTAATTCATGAGAGTAAAGCCGCAGGATAGAATTAAATTTACTATTATAATACTATAAATACTCTGATGGTATAAACGTTATATGTTTGTTACTCAACCATAATTTGATACACAAATCATAACCTGGATTAATGTATACCTAAACTACTTTTTATTTTGATTCCCTTGAGCAAATTCGCAGGATACTATTATACATATTTAATCAACAAGATAATGCATAATGTTGATTGATCACAAACTAACTGATCAAAGTAATAAAAATCTACGATTGTGATATAATGTCCCATGTCCGTAGCTAGGGGAGATGGGGGCTTTGTGGGGCAATACTCTACCTTAAAAAACCCAATGACTTTAAAATAAAAGGCCCTAAGAAAATTAAACAGATTCGCTTTTTCAAAGTCACTTAAATATGGCTTCTGCCGTACCAAAAAGTTCTTTTGCCCTACCTTTAATTTGGGTCTAACTACGGCCCTGTAAATACCTTAACGTAGAACGGTCAGACTTTTTGTGAAAAATTAACATTGAATGGAAATTTGTTACGCCAATACAAACTTATCGCTCCATTGAAATAGCTACGTAATTAACAAAGAGGTTACGAAACGAAAAATGGAAGAATATGAGAGATTAATCGTGGCCCACAAGTTACTAGTACAGTGTGCAACCGCAAGAGAACAGGTTATACATAGGAGAAGAGCAAATATACAATTTTAGTATATTAAATATGATAATATAACAATGAAAATAATAACGGTAAGTGTAAATTTCTTTCCCGTAAGTGTCGTAAGAGGAGGCTAAGGGAATTTAATGCTCGAGAGATATACAGCAGCGTACCCCTTGAAACATCACCAAAGCCTAACTGCGGTTGCAAACTTGCCTGCCAAGCGTGGCAACTATTGGCAAAACTCCACAGTTCAACAGTGGACAGTTAAGGGTTGATGTGATGATGAAATGATGATGTAAAATAATTTGATACCACTCTCATTTATTTCTGTAATTTATAAATGTACCTATTAGCTTTTACCTGCGAGTTCATCCATATTACTGAGATGAGACTACGATAGTTAGCCCAGAATAAGTGTATGTTCTTCTTCAAACCAAATAGTACGTATATGCCAATTTTCTTCTGTGGTAAACATTTGGGAACTCGGATAGTTAAAAAAATATATACTTTTATATTATCAAAATATAGATTATGTTTAACACTAACTGACCCGGCAAACGTTGTACAAACATACAATTTTTTTTCTAGATAGGCACACTCTAATCACCTAGAAGTGTAAAATATACTTTACGACCTATTATCATATCTATCAAATATACATAAAAAAAATAAAAAAATCGGCGGAGCCATTTCTAAAGAGTTAAACCACAAACACTGTGATACGACATTTTTATGTATAAAATTTATTTAGAAATATTCTGAATATTTGTAATATTTTTTTTTTAATTTTTGTACTTTCTTCTCTAGTTAAGTACAATAGTACGTATATGCCAAATTTCGTGACAATTGGTTAAACTGTTAAGTCACTTTCACGTTTTATAATAATATTTTATATTTATATTTTCTTTTATTTTCAGATTCTCAGTATACATATACTGAGTTCTCTGCATACAACAACTTCAAATTACCTTGATGATTACTACAATCCTCAATTACAGACGCAGCAGAGCTATTACCAGCCTCGAAGTATTATAGATTACGACAATCTACCAACTGACTATCAAAAATTAAGGCACCATGAAAAAAAATATGGCTACATTGACGAAAACATGAGAGCGATTACATATGAAGAAGACTACAATGATAACGCATATTTGGAAGAATGCAAATGTGCATGTATTAGATGTGAAGATACGAAACCATGCTGCAAAAATATATGCACGAACTGTAACTTCCAAACTGGCCAATCGAACATCGTTATTCTTCCGTATCTGTACCCTTTAGTTGTTAGTGGAATGGGCGTAAGCAATATAACATCGCCAAGAATTCCCATTCGAGTTCAATCTACAACAACGCCGTTTACATCAACGATGTCTACACCAACTATGTCTACAACTACATCTCTAAGAACTAGTATTACAACACATACACATGCAAGTTCATCAACTATAAAGTATCCAGCTCCATCCAGACGATCTTCATTGGAGAACGACTTGACTGATATTTACGTGGATGGTCCAATAAATACAGATGGTAGAAATAAATACATGTTGACATCTATACGCCGTACTAAACCAACTTGGCTGCCGAGGTATGGTATTGTCCCAATACCAGATCAGTTAGCAGAGAAACTAATATCACACATTAGAAATATGAAGGATTTGCAATCTCACAAAGATTATTAGGGATTACAAGGCACCTTTGTTCCTAATTTTATCTTTAACATCAAAATTTCAGTTTGATATTATAGTGAAATCTTTATTATAAGGACAAGTATAATTTTCTAACAGATTTAAGTAAAAACAGTCAAAATATATATTATAATTTTAGTTTATGATGGTCCATAAAACCGAATTTTCTCGTTATTATATAATTAAAATATTCAATCAAGAAATAGGTTTATAGAAATGTGTGCCTCAGAATCTGCCTCAATATTTTTAATAAATTATTGATTTTTGTTAATAACTTAAAAACTTGCAAAGTTAACTTGATTAAGTAATCTTGCATAAAAAAAAAAAACATTACAAAATTTTGTAGAAGTGGCGGATATTGCCTGCTGTGTACTTATAAGTAAATTATTTTTGGACTATCTCTAAAAAGCTACAATACTATTAAACGTTAAGAAGTTCTATAATATTAGTATAGATCCGAAAATGCGGAATAATAAAAATTTCTTCTGTGGCAAACATTTTGAAACTTTAACTGATAGTTAAATAATATTTACTTTTATACTATCAAAATACAGATTATGTCTAACACTAACTGACCCGGCAAACGTTGTTTTGACATACAAATATTTTTTTTCTGGATAGGCACACTTTAATCACCTAGAAATGTAAAATATACTTTACGACCTATTATCATATCTACCAAATATACATAAAAAATTCATAATAGTCGGCCGAGCCATTTCTGAAGAGTTAGACCACAAACACCGTGATACGACATTTTTATGTATAAGATTTATTTAGAAATATCCTGAACACTTTTAATATATATATATATATTTTTTATTTTTGTACTTTCGTCTCTAGTTGTGTACAATAAAATAAACGATAAAATAGCAATATAGATTACTCCTTTTATTTACATCGGAAATTGAATTACATATTGTTTTGAATCTGAATACTTCACGAGTATTTCTAAACTTGTATACCACGTTTTAAATCTACAAAAACTAGTTTAATCGGTACATTTGGAAAATAATGATTCTAATAATACTCTATCAAGTGTGACTCAATAAGCGTTGAAATTAAGTATAAATTAGAGATGACACGATGAAAAAGGTATATTTAAATACAGTCAATTTCAATAGAACTTAATAAAAATGGCAACAAATTAATAAATGATCCAACTATAAGATAGTTTGATAATGTAGAAGAGTAATTAGTAATTAATTTTGTTTGTGTACATATTATTAATCTTTTTAATCTATATCATTCTTTGAAGGGAACAGTAAAGATTTCATTCATTTAATAGCATAAATAAAAAATATATTAATAGATTGATTGTTTTAACTGATTACTAATTATTATTAGAGATACCTATATTCTGTGATAATTTCATCAAAATGTCCATTAAGTTTTCTTGAAAGAAAATAGAAATATAAACACAGATATTATAATATTATACTAAGTATAAGTAACTAGATAGTGAATTAGATAATATAAAAATATAAAACGAAAATTCTAATAATATTTCACCTAATATTATAAACGTGAAAGTAAGTTTGTTTGTTACCTCTTAGCAGTTTCTACATTGTCTCCCCTTCAAGTATACAGAAGGTGCAAAAATAACCAATGAAATAGAGATTACAGTGTACTCTGTGATACCCATGATTTCCCTTATACGTTGCCATTTTTAAAGACCATGGTGTTAGGTCTCCATACAATTTAATTTTAATGCTATATCATTCAAATCGAATTGCAACCATGCAAGTGCAGCTGCTTTACCACAATAACGCGACTGGAAAAACGGTACATGCAGACGACTTTCGTGCAGTCTCCCTTTGGTACTATTTCTAGGATTTAAATCCTTTTCAGGTACTGAATATTCCAATTATTTGCATCTTATTACAAGGCAGTCTAACACAGTTTTTTAACTATCAGCCATTTTGGCAAAATAGATTAATGCAAAGAGATTATCAATGGTATGACAATTATTACGTTCCAAATAAGGAATTAACTCATAAAGAATATAAACGAAGAAATGTAGACATTTCAAAAGATTATATTGATGATTTCAATTACAGAGAACAGTGTAAATGTTTTTGTAGTAAATGCAACGGCCACAATAAATGTTGCAAATCTTATTGCAGAAATTGCCAACGCACGGTCGCTCCTCAGTCGAATCTAATTCTATTTCCTTACCCCGTGCCAGTAATTGTAACTGATAATTTATTAAATATTATTACTACCACTGCTATAACTACAGAAACAAAGAAACTAGAAAACGCTACTGCAACTTCTGCATCAGTAAGAAAACTTCTTAAACCTTCTTCATCGACAACAACAACAGAGAAGCTATCAACTGTAACCAATATAAAAATAAATGAGACATCATCGTTAAATATTTACACTACAATAAATGAGGATATTTTGCCGCTAAAAACAAACGATAGAGAAAAAGCTATCTTCACAAAGTCTATATGTCCTGCATGGGAAAACAAGGATTATTATACTTCACTAGAAATGGACAACTTTAAGAAAACAACTAAAAAGAAATTTAAAACTATTAAATGTGTGACAAGCGGTAAATGTTTGGACGTTAAATCAGGAAAGATTAGAAACAAAGTAACACCAAAAGACTATTACACGTTTGTAAATAGACCTACGATTGGATTATCGCAATATAGAGCGAAAAAATATAGTGCGAAACCATTGGGACGTCGCACTGCATCTGACTGGGTACCCAAGTATGGAATTGTACCCATTCCTGACAATTTGGCCATAAATTTTATGTCCCAACTGAAAGCTTTTGGAAAACGAGAAGTTTTATAAACTTATACATTAAAACATTAATGTTCCGTTCGATTTTAGTTTTAAATGGAAGTTATACATTTGTGGGCGAAACACGTAACCTACCTGATTGAATATAACAACAGTTATTTACCACTTAAGTATTTGTTTATCATATTATAATATTAATTTATATTTATTTAAGAAAATGGAAAATTTCACAATCGTTCATGACACTGACACAATTTCCAAGAATGTCACTGACACTTCACTTATCCTTGAAATATCACAATTATGTAAATTAGGTATATGATTATCGATTTAACAATGTTTAGACAATGACCAACGACACATTCAGCGTGGCTTGACCTTTCAGAAGGCGGCGAGACTGCGCGCGAGTCGTGCGGGGTCACCAACGATGTATTTTTAGAGTTGAAAGTTCAAAATACGTCGGTTATTCACGCGCTGCGCGTCTCTCTTCCGCCGGTGTAAAATCGAATTTCAATCAATAGAACAGAAATTAATTTGCAATTAAGAACAACTAAATCCGTGTAGGTACCACTGTTACTAATCCTATCAAACATTCTATATCTTGCTATCTAATAAACAGTAGGTAAAAGGCCTATGACTAACGGGCATCTTTATCAATTGTTCACAGCCAAAATAATCTCAATATCTACTTAGATTTATACTTAAACTCCATTAATAATAAACCAAATAAGAATTTCATTGATTAAATCCGGTAAGAAGTTAATCTTCAATTTCTAAGAAAACGACTAAAATTTCAGGCTCTATTCTCAATCCGTGGAAAATTCAAATTGCCTAATTACTTTACTATCACTGGGTAATCCTTCGGGACCGCAGATGTCCTTAATCTATGACATAGCAACCAACTAATTATATTTAATAATTGTAAAACAATGAGACCTAGAGAATGAAATAATATAAATGTAGTTAAAGCCCATGATATTATAATGAAACGAAAAAAATATTATATATATAAGTATATATATATATATATATATATATATATATATATATATGATATATAAAGAGTGAGTGTAATAATTAAATTGTGTTCCATAAAAAAATCGACTTCAATTGTAGCGTAACCAGTTTTTATTTTTTTTAATCAAACTATTGAACCGATTTTAATAAAATTTCTATAAGATATACATAGATTTAGATAAAAAAAAAACAAAATCCAAATCGGATTACAACTGACGAAATTATGAGATAACAAACATTTAAAACACATACAACCGTATTAAGGTCCTCCTTTTTTAAAGTCGATTGAAATGAGTAGGGGCTTACTAAGTAGAAATAATGATAAAAAAATCGGATGAAACTGACTATTCCTAGATGGAAGGCCAGGGAAAGAACTAATTACATAGAAATATCCTTTTAAAAACCCATTCCTTTAGAGAATGCCAAACTCCTGTTGCTTGAAATTTTACAGATAATACCTTTCATTTTAAACCAATCGTTTTAAAATCGCAATCACAACTCTATAATTATTAAGTTTTGTTTGTTTCCCAAACGTCTTTTTCTGCTTGGATTTTTAAGACATGTAAATAAAATGGAAATCCTGACTTTTTATTAGTATACGCTGGTGAGATATTAATAGGGAATGTTTTTTTTTTAATGGATGATAATGAAATGGTAACCCTGCCTGCGCTAACGATATACGCTAGTAGGTAGGTAGCTGTCAGGTTAACCAGTAAAGGATGATAGGTGAGAATGAAAAGTAGATCACTTAGCCCATCGTGATGAATAAATAACACTTGGAATTCATCACGATGGTTTCCAAGGGGGACTATGTAGAAGTCGTCCTGTCAGCGTATATTGCTAGCAATAGGACTAGTAGTTCGCATTACTAACAATCCCTTCCTCCTCAATACGGAATGTTAGATTAGGATAAAGTCAATTTATTTGGGCAACTATGACGTATTAACCCCGATAGTTTACAGAGAGGACGCGTGCCCGAAGGTGAAGTTGTGGTATTATTTTAAAGCGCTTTCATCAATCATGCTAACAGTTATCACAAGAATAAATTTAGAGGGATAATAATAGCCCCCTCCGCTCCTCAAAAGGCGTTCAAGGAGCTATCGCTTCTCAAATTAGAGGAAGACAAAAACAGCTTCTCACTGACCTCTTATATTTGAAGTCAGCAATTGATCGTAAATATACATGTTCACACTCGACATATACTGCTGGTTCATCTTAGAGTTAGAAGAGTCGCCTGTAATTTCGTAGATCGCAAATACGTCGAACTATTATTTTGCTCATTACGTGCTTTTACATTATTATCTTCTTTCTATTTTTGTTTTCTTCTATTTTATCTCTTTCACTGTAACATAGTAGTTTTTCTCTTGGCATGTGCCCTAAGATTTGTTATCTGGATTCTTCAAGCGAAGCGTAAAAAAAAGCACTGAGCTAGCATACTGCAACCAACCATTGAGTATGAGGGGAAAAGGATTGTTTTTTTTTTGATGGGTGAAAATGGTATGGTAACCCCGCCTACGCTAACGGGATATGCTGGCGGAGCACCAGTGAAGGGTGATAGATGAGAATGAAAACAGGCCAGTTAGCCCATCATGATGAATTCATCAGGAATTAACCATGATAGTTTCCAGGGAGAACCGCGTAGAGGTCGACCTGGTTGGGTATATTGCAATGGGATTCTCAGTCTCCATTACTAACAATCCCTTTCCCTCCGGAAAAGGATTGTTAGTAATGGGGTCAAATAGCCCTATTACTAGCAAAATACCCTGTCAGGTCGATCTCCCCGTGGTCACCCTGGAAACCATCGTGCTAGATTCCAAGTACATTCATTCATACATTCTGATGGGCTAATTGATCTGCCTTTTCATTCTCACGTATCATTCCTCACTGTAGCCCCGCCAGTGTATACTATTAGCGCAGGCGGAGTTACCATTCCATTATCATCCATTAAAAAAACCGTCTAGAATAGAATGTTCTCTTTTCGGCTAATTGCATTTATGGACATACCTAATCCCTGTATTCAGAGAAGGGGGGAGGGATTATTAATAATGGGATTACCAGCTATATTGTTCCCAATACCCTGTCAGGTTAACCTCAACGCTGTCCCCCCTGGAAACCATCGTGGTTAATTCCAGATGAAATCTCCACTAGGGGCTAACTAGCCTACCTTTTCTTACTTATCATCCCTCACTGATGCCCCGTCAGCGCATACCGATAATCTAGGAGGGCTAACTGTTCCATTATCACCTATTTAAAAAAATCACTGTAAGTTATCAACCAGAATAGTATGGTCATAAATGCATTGTTTGAATATGCTAGATTTTGTTTCTGCAATTGTTGAATCTTAATAAATAAAATAATGAGACGATTTTATCAATTTCCGGATTTTTATTACTTTGACATTATGCCACACTGATATATCCTCTAATAAGACTTCAATGAAAAAGAAAGTTTAAAGGATATTTTTTTATTGAAGATACAGGACAAGTATTGATTTATTCAATAATAACTTATTTAATGGATCTGATGTGATAATTCAGTAAAACGTTTGAATACTGATGTGGAGTTTCTGAGTAGAGGGTAACTGAAAGATGATCAGGTATCCCTTATTTAATATTTACTTTTTTTTTTTTTTTTTTTTTTTATACTACTTAGAATGGCAAACAAGCTGACGGCCCACCTGATGGAAATTATTAACCGTCGCCTATAGACATGAGCAGTATGCAGTAATGACAGAGCATACTTACTGTCAGGCAGCCTCCACGCGGTTCCCCCTGGAAACCATCGTAATTAATTATTGTCATTCCTCGCTGGCGCCCTGCTAGTGTATACCGATAGTGTCAGGGTTACCACTTCAGTATCATCCATTAAATAAAAAAATTACTTACTTATAAATTTAAGGAATAGATATTATCACGTAAATAGCAAAAGCATACGACCTGTCAGATGACAAGCACACAGCCTAGCGACTTGTGTTACCAGGTAGTTCATTAAATATTCATTCAATTCATACATTGACTATTGTGACTTGAAAATCTTGAATTCTAATGCAATAACGCCAAATTTCAACCTTGATGTAATGTATGCTGAGAATACGTACCTTGCCTGCACAAATACATCAGTACTTTGCAATTTTATTAGTTCATTAGCAGTTATTATCAACAATTAAGTAGGATATTTTTTACTCATATTCTTTCACTGCTCCACAATGCCCTTTTCAACTCTTCTTCCCCTCACTATCTGAAGGAGCGGTTTGAATTCTTGCATACCGTCAATTCTTTTAATCTTAGGTCTTCTGAGGGCCTTCAGCTGAAGATTCCGGTACATTTCTCTAATTTTTATGACAAATCAATTACGGTGCAAGCTGTACGGCTTTGGAATGCTTTACCAGTTTCCTTACGAAATATAAAATGTACGGCTGGTTTTAAAACAAAACTGAAGAACTATTATTTGAACAATGTGTTTATAGGTCTGGTTAGCATACTTTTCGTGAACAGTATTTATATATTTTTATGTATTTGTGTAGGCGTTTATGTCCATGTATATATATGTATTTGTATATGTATAATATATATATATATATATATATATATATATATATATATATATATATATATATATATATATATATATATATATATATATATATATATGTGTGTGTGTGTAGGTGTATGTATATAAATATAATAATGAGTAGGGATAATATTTATATTATTATATGTATCACATCTCCCATATTTAGAACTAACAAAATTTTTCATCGTGCCTCCCACCAAACTGTTTATAATTACTCCTCTCCATCCAAAGGTTGCCTGGAAGAGATCGCTCTTAGCGATAAGGTCGCCCATTGTTTTCTCATTGTGATTATTTCTTATAATTATTTATATTTATAATAAGTTTACTATTGTAATCTTTTGGAGGAAACAATAAAGAGTATCTACTACTACTACTACCTAAAATGGGTTAATTAATTAAGCTATAGATGAGAGAGAATATTGCTCGCAATAAATCTTATCAGGTCGACCTTAACAAGGTCCGCTCTGAAAACTATGATGGTTAAATCCTTTTTGTCACGATGGGCCAACTGACCTGCCAACATATACCAATAGCGTAGGCAGAGTTAACTGTTTGAATAAACTATTCACTGCTAAACATAGGCCTTTCCTATAAAGTAGGTAGTAGTTGGCAAACAGGTTGATAACCACAGTTAGACTTTGGTGATGTTTTAAGAGGGGCATTGCTTAAGGAGAGTAGATAATATATAAATAAAAAAAAAACACAAGTTTAATCTTAATTTTAATTCCTTATACGATAAAAGTACACAGCCTTTTTTGATAAATATCAATTAAACTAATAAAATTAACTATTATTATAAAATTACAATTTCATTGTACAGTAAGTATTAAAGGTGATATAAAAATATTTATCTAATACATTTATACCACAGTGTAACAAACACATAACGTTTAATAATTATCTAAGAATAGCTAAATTTCACATTAGCGTCTTTATCTACTTACAAATTAATTCATACCAACGTCCATCACAAATGTCACACCTGCCATAAAAAAATGGGACTAAGTCCCTAAATACTTAAATGTATTGTTGTACTCTTTAAATGCACAAACAATAATAAACTTTATATCTATACTCTGTGCGTTGAAATTGACACTAATGTTCCTTTAAAAAACAGCACCACGATTTTATCTAAAAATAATAACGTTTATCTATTACAATAAATAGATATTCTAATACTATGAATAAGTAAATAAAGCTTGCACACATAGCTTAATGTATCACAAACAATTTCATTCAAATGCAATATACCAATGAGTCAAACACCTCTCGACGGATGAGCGAGACGTAAAATAACATCATTCCGCTCACCCGTCAAGCAATCCTAGTACAATTCTGACAAATTGTGAGTCTTATATCATTGTACTAAGGTTCATTTCAACTGCACAGATGAATTAGTTCTAACAGACCGGCTGGGTGTTCATTTTGTTTGGATGGTAAGATTCTGGACCAACTCCTGGAAGTCAGTGACGTACCACGATGCCTTTTTCCTTACTTCCTCACGGGTCACATTTCCACCGAACCCTGTAAAAAATATACATTTTAAAACTGTTAATGACAGGACCGTTCTTTATGGCAGTCTATGGGGAGGCTTATGTCCAGCAGTGGACGGATAATGGCTGAAATGATGATGATGAATGACAATTTTGGCAAAGTAACACTTTGACACTTTCTGTGGGTCGTGGTTTCAAACTCCGGAAATTTTTAATTTGTATTACTGTTTGTATTGATCTGGGTATAAATTCACAAAAAAATACCACGTTTTCTTATAAATTCATTTATCTAGAATCTACTTGTAAAGTATAGTATTATATTATTTGTGGCTCTGGTAAGTAATAAGGATAAGTTTATTCATAATTTATTTTTTCCAACGATTTAAATAATACTTTAGAAAATACATAAATGAAATAATATATTATATAATAAAATAAAAAAAAAACTATTATTATTTTAATTTAGTGACAAAGTTATTTATTATACTAGGATTGTCACCGAAAAGAACTTATTTAAATATCATGTTTATTTTTAAAATATGTGCATGATGTTAGGGGCTGCCCTAGACGGACGTATGTCGACCAAATTGGCAACGTGCTGTAGAAGGGCGAAATTAAAAGTACCTGTAACTAGCGAACTTTATATACGTTGATTTATTTAAAAGATTGATGAAACAGAAAGAAGCTAAAGAGGTTTGTTTGAATCAAAGCATTTAGCATTCCATTGTTTATGCCTATTTATCTAATGAGAGACAGGCTTGACAAATAGGTATGTATGTATGTTTTTTTCAGCCTTCTATTTTTATGCTAATAGAGCGTATTACAAAATTTAATTTACTAACCGATAAATCCATCTGCGGGCGGACAGGCCTCAGCGTCGGTGGCGCCATCTCCAATCATTATGAGCCGCTGGTATCCGTGCTGTTCCTTCAATCTTCTGATCACCAGCCCCTTGCCGCCCGATCGGGAAGTGGGTTCGTTCTCGTCGAAGCCCGCATATTCGCCTATAATAGAAAGAAAAATGTTCTATTAAACATTAACTTTGAATTAAAAGGGATTGTGAAATGGGGTGTAACAGCCCCATTTTGCTAGGTATACATCCAATCAGGTGAACCTCTAAACGGTTCCCCCTGGAAACCTTGTCAAATTCGTTATGCTAACAGATCTATTTCCATCCTCACCCATGTGAGGGATGACCCCACTCGTGCTTCGCCAACGAACATCAATACCACAAGCAGGCAACAGAATGAACAAGCAGGGTTACCATAACATTCCCTACTAGATGTTAAAAAAACTGCTCTGAACATTCTAAATGAAAAAATATCTAAACCTATATATCCTTAATAATATTATAATTATGAAAGTAAGTTTGTTTATTTAATACCATATAGCGCCATAACATAACGACGATGGAGAAGATTATAGGCTAATATATGTCAGTAAACATATCTCGATCGAGGTTAGCGAAGTCGGGAATAAAAGGTAATATACACGTATAATATAGGATGGAGAAGGATATAAACTACTTTTCATCCCGGTCAGTAAACATATCCCGATCACGTGAAGTCATGCGGGTAAAAGCTTAGTACCATTTAAAAGAAATCAAACATCTTGCACTACAACCCAGATGATAAAAAAATCTAGTTAAATAGAAAATTTCTTTAATAAATCGAATTGATCAAGCCCAGTCCGAATCCGAGACACAAAGGCACGTCTTATCAATTCGCAATGCATGTCGTCATTATACATTTAAATATCAACGTGTAAATATATAAAGACGTATGTTATAAAGTAAATGAATAATTTGTATTCAAAATCTGCTTATTTCTCGTTCACCTTCACTTCTGAAAAGAACATTTGCACAGATGTTCCGTTTTGTAGCAAACATTGTTACCTACACAGCTATACGCCTTTAACTATGTCAATATTAAACAATTTTGAAAATTATCGTTTTTAATACTAAAAAAATTATATATTTAACGAAGCTTCAAAGATGTGTACACAATATATTTGTAAAATAAATTTTAAATTGGTAAAGACGTTCATTTTTACCATTTTTAGTCCTTTTAATGCAATCGGGAGAAGGAAGAAAAGGGATTTTCCAAAAATGTTGCAACGCATATCTCCATTTTATACCAAAAATCGAGATACAAAATACGAAATCTACAATTACTGATCACATTATATTTACCGATTGGCACTACGTGGAACTTTGAACTCTTTGTATTATTACACAAACACTTATGTTACCACAAATTGTGGAATGTTCCACTATGTGCCAACAATCACTTGTTAATACAAGTGATTGTTGGCACATAGTGGAACAATGTTATTAATCGAGTCTCTAAAAATATTAAATCTTCCATACAAAAGTTTACTTTCTATTTCAGCTTCCAAGGATGACTTTCCAAAAATACTGAAACACGTGACTCTTAGTTTTCGAACAAATGCCAGAACATTGAACTTAACTATTTTTTTTTTATTTTTGAAAATTATTTCGCAGTTTTCTTTATACAAATACGAAATCATAAGAACTAATTATAAAATCTAATAATTATATCTTACGTATTTTGGCTCAGCAACTATTATTTTTATTATTAAAAGACAGGCTTGTACAGGCAGAAAAAACCTGTGACACTGCGACTTTTCCATTATATTTTGTACTCGCCTTTTTTTAAAGTTCTCTGCTTTTAATTTTTAATCGAATTTTAAGATGTTTTTGTAACGATGTGTTTTAGCTCCTCAGGATATAAAATGTGTTTATATCGTTTATGTATGAGTGAGCTACAGCCACGAATTAAGTGCTGCGGCGTTTCTTCCTCATTGTGACAAAATCTGCAAACACTTTTTGGGCTGTATGCTTGGTTATCAATTCAACAACTATGATTTAAAACTAAAACAAATAGGTACATAACAGCTAATTAATAAATAAAAATGTGAACAAAAACTGCATATCAGTGCCTGTTTTTCATATTGTTATCAAGTATCTGTCCTTGCCAGTGATGTCTATGAACTCGTAGGAAATGATTACAATAAACTAGCAATCCGACCCGGCTTCGCACGGGTACACTTGTTGATAATTATAATGTAGCTTTTTAAAGTTGAAAGAATTGTTAAAATTGGTTGAGTAGTTTTTGAGTTTATTCATTACAAATAATCGAATTTTACTTTAAATAAAATTTGTGAACGACTAGCTGTTTTAAGCGAGTTCGCACGTGAATATCCCATTTCGTAAACCTTTCTCGTTTACATGAAACAAATCAACTACGTGTAACAAAAAATATGACACCTACAAGTAGCCAGAGTTGTCCAATTTCGGTAAGCTATTTAAACGGAATTAAATAAAAGGTTCAAATATAATGTACATAATTACAAATAAATAAAAATGGATTAACGAATGCATATGAGCGAATCACTTCAGAACGGTAGGACCTATTTGGCTAATTAAAATATTCTATTGTATTTGCATAGCCTGAAGAATAAACAAGTTGAAGTGGTAATGGGTCGGTTACATGGCTCGAAGAACCGCCAACCGATTGTGGAGAAAGGTATTTGAGTGACGACCCCGTACGGGCAAACGCAGTGTAGGACGATCCCCCACTAGACGAAGTGACGACCTCAAATGCATTGCAGGGAGTCAGTGGATCAAGGTGGCTCAGAACCGTTCCTTATAGCAGTCCATAGGGGAAGTTTATGTGCAGCAATGGACAGATGATGATGATGATTGTATTTGCGATTATTAGAACCAGATTTATATATAAGAAAACATTTTAAAAAAATCGTACAGAAAAATAAAAAATTTTGAATTAAAAAAGTCCATATAAAAATTGAATGAATGAAAGGGAAGATTTGGTCACATTCTCTTGATTAGTATATATATTCTTTGTTGCACTAAAACATACAGTAACAACAATAAGTTAATAACAATGTTAGCAAAGGCGAACTTATCTCTAAAAGAGATTTCTTTCAGTCAACCTAACGCAGTGGCATAGGAAGTAGTGAGTGGGCAGTAGTAGTGCAAGACAGAAATTTAAATAAATATTGTTAAATTTAGCAAGATAGTATTTTAATTTAAACCAATGACGTTTCAAACATAAGATCAATACACACCCACATTATTTATCAGCAGTCTGTAATAATAAACTTGAAATAGAACATAACAAATGTCATCATCCGCCCCACTTGGCGGTGAAGAAAAAACAGTCAACCCAACAGAGAGTTAACACGTGTTAGCTGCGTGCGCGATAACACAGCAACTTGTTTGTATGCCGCTGACGACAAATCAACGCATGCGATTGTGATATATGTTTTCAAATAATTATATTTATAACAATCCAAGTCGAAATATTGACAATACAAGGTTAACACTAGACTCCGAGCAGCGAACTAACAATTTGCCTAAAGATGCCTCGTTTAGAGAAACACGTATCGCAAAACGTGCGTGAACAGAATAGTAATTTTTGATGGATGAAAATGGTATGGTAACCCCGCCTGCGCTAACGGGATACGCCGGCGGAGCACCAGTGAAGGGTGATAGATAAGAATGAAAACAGGCCAGTTATCCCATCATGATGAATTCATCAGGAATTAACCATGATAGTTTCCAGGGGGAACCGCGAGGAGGTCGACCTGGTTGGGTATATTACTAGCAATGGGATTCTCAGTCTCCATTACTAACAATCCCTTTCCCCCCTAATACAGAATGGTAATTGAAATTTGATGGCTAATATGGAAGGTTGTAGAACTTCTGGTAGTAACAGTGGTGGTCAAATTTCGAGTGTTGACAGTCACATACATACGAATACTAATGATAGTGGAATTAAACAAAATAATACTAATGAAATAACCAGCAATATAAGTTTTGCTCTACAAAATTAAACAACACATCAATAACAATAACATATATGTAGATATTTCGTAGACATTAGATTGATGATAGATTTTGCTCCATAACAAATAGACCTTTGATTCGAAAAGAAAACGCCAGCGCAAATCGTATTCAAAAATTAGTAGTCCACAAACAAAATTACTATGGAATAAATAGGAGAGTACCAAAACCATATCGATTGTAACATAGCCACAAACCCAGACTGCCTGATGTAACTGTCTCGGTCTCCCTCTTCCCCTCCTTTCTTCTATTTTACCTTCTATTATAATGTTCATAAGTTCGTCGTGTCGAATCAAGTGTCCCAACATTTTTCCCCTTCTGTCCTCAATAATATACTCTTAAGTAGTGGAAAATATCGCTAACAAATAAAATTAATCCATGATGATGATGATGACAAATATATAGATATTAAGATATTGTCTAATTTGGTTAAAGTGTACCCTACACTTTAATCTTAGTGAAACCGTCAAGAAGCAATGGTAAAGAGAGATCGGTAATAAATAGATAGATAAAGAGAAAATAAAAATAAATAAAAAATTAAGAAATTTGTTATTTTAGCTAAGCTTATGACAAACATCGGGTAAAGCATATCACGACTATGTGAAAAATTAATAAATACTTATTTTTCCTATAAAAAAAAAAAAACTGGATAGGCTTAAAAAAAACAGTACAATGCCTAAGAGATGACAAACAAACAAACTCACTGTCACATTTATCATTCACATTTTCAACCCACTTTAAAAAAGAGGTTCTCAATTTGATCGTATTTTTTTATGTTAACAAACATAACCCCGTCAGTTCTAAACCTATTTTGAAAGTTCTTTTTTTATCTGAAAGGATATACTAACAGACTGGTTCCATAAAAATTTTATAATAATCGGTTGCGTAGTTTAGTTTTAAAATCAAAATTATTATACAGGTTATACCACAATTGAATTCAATTTTTTTTTGTGGAATTTTTTTTTTATATTGTAGCAAAGAGGTAAGGATAATGGACATAAAACTGATTATTTCGTTGCAAACCGCTATAGGTGTCATTGTCATAAATTGATATAAGTTCCAAGCAGCCTTGACATAAAACAACAAGTAAATCTTAACAAAAGGGTAACGAATTGCTTGTATTGGCATCATAAATTGTGAAATTTATTGGCGTTATCTAATTGGAGCAACTCACAGATGTTCTGGCTTTGGGACGATAAGTTACGAGTATTATCCAGATCGGTTTGTTTTAGTAAATCGCCTAATTTTTCACTCCAATTCAATGATAAGATATAATAGGAACATGTTTAAAATAATTACTGTTTATGTGTTAATTATTTTTTAAAAGCATTTTGTTTTAAAAAGAGAATCTCCGATCAATGCAAATAATTATATTTTTAAATGTAAAGTTTCATTGTATTGATTTGGATTATTATGTATTTATATGTATCTATTAAAAATATGGCCGGCGGTCCCGGCATAGAATAAGCCACCACTTCCTTTCTTGTGGATGCCGTAAGAGGCGACTAAGGGAGGGCAAGGGATGGGCAGCAGCGTCTCTCTTAAAACATCTTTAAAACCTAACTGCAGCCAAATTATCTCAGCTGACCTTAGTTCGAGGCTTGGTTACTTTCCTTTGTTTTTGCCCTAGTAAGGTCGTGTTTTGTTTATTTTGTTTTGTTGTTTTCCTTTTAAACGTATTAATAATAATTGTAATAAACAAATATTCAGTTAGTATCAGATTTCCTCATCTATATTTAGACCAATATAAATATGACTTCTGATAAGAATTATTTTGTACATTGAAACAAAATAGTGAAGATAATCTATGCGAACTGTTTGTCATAATTTATAGTACCATATATCAACTGAATCAACACACAGCCAAAAATACCAAGTCTAAATAACTGAAATTTGGAACATTGGTTAATTTTATAATGTTACGGGCATAGAGAAAGGATTTTTGAAAACGTCTACTTAAAGAGGAAACTAGACACCACGCGTGCAAAGTCGCGGACAATAGCCAGCGCACATAAAAACGCATGTTAAAAAGAGCTCTCTATTTGACTTAACGTATTAAATATGTACTGTGTTTTTTTTTCATAGGGCAATAATTTGGTAAAATTGACATAGGATTTTTGTAAATATATATACACACATTACATATATCACCAATATTATAAACGTGACAGTGAGTTTGTTACTTTAAAGCGCCTTATCGGCTTAACTAATCATTATAAAATTTGGTATATAAATACTATATAGGTTGGAGAAGATTCTAGGCAAATTTTTATTCCAGTCAGTATAAATATCCTGATAATGAGGACAAAGTCGAGGGTAAAAGCTAATATATGCATATTTAAAATTTATATCAAGAAATAAAATAAAAAAAATATATACAAACGATCAAAATAAAATCAGACCACAAATAGAATTACAATTCAAACACTAGATTTGGAAGTGGTATAAGTTTTAACAATTGCAGTTGTACAACAAATATCTATACTAACCTAGTTATAATTACATTGAACAAGACCTATAATTCAATACAATGTAACAATCACAAGTTCAAGGTGTCTTTAAATTAAATTAATCGTATTCCTTTCAATTTAACATGTATATTAAACTCAATAACATCTATGTGCACTAATTATTAATTATTATTTTACCAGAGGGAGACTTTGTACAAAAGTCGATTGCTTGGATACCTCTGTCCTATTCGTGTTTCAACCGTGAAGCAGTTGTGTTTGCATGGCTGTGTTTCGGTTTGAAGGGTGGGATATGGCGTGAACTTACTGGGTATAGAGGAATAACATCTGAGTCCTCAGGAATGGCAACGCATGGGAGGTATCATGGGCGAAACAGTATACTCTGTTATGTCTATGGTACTGCTCATGTCCATAGGAGACGGTTACCACTTTCCATCAGGTGGGCAGTCAGCTTGTTTGGCATTCTAAATTGTATAAAAAAAAATATATACTATACGACATGCTAGCAGCAAATAAAACTAGGTTTTCTGCAATTTGCCTTTTGAGAATCGAATATAAAATATTCCCAAATAGTTTTGAACAATTAAGAATACTAATTGTAACCGTAATTTCATTAAATTAGTTAAGTATTAATTAAATGTAATTAGGCAACTAAATATAATTAGTTATATAAATATGTTAATAAATTGAATTAGTTAATTAATTAATTAAATTTCTATTTATATTATATTAATCATGCCGTATGTCTTATTCAACTAACTATTGTCTAATCGTACTAACGAATAAACTATACTTCTAACGCAAGGATTTATTTTTATTTCAGCCCATATATTTTCCTTATTTATTTTTTAAGATGTTATATATTGTAATATATATTTGCTATAGCAAACATTGCCAAAAACATGTCTTTCCTATAGGCGATTGTTACAACTTACTTTCAAATGTACTGGCAGCTTATTTGCCACAAAAGAACATGATTCAAAAATATGTATAGTTTAAAAATCATTATAATTTATCAGCTGATCTGACAAACATTTTAACCCTACTGCCACCTACAGTATCTATTGTTTCTTACCTAAATAAAATCTATATCCAGTTAAAACAATAATTTCGGTTGAGCGGATTTAGAGGTTAACGTTTGGAGACAAACATCGTGACACGCGATTTCTTATGTATAAAAATTTTCTTTAATAAATTAAATCTTTAATATAAATTATTTGATAGATTGATTCATCTAATAAGAGAATATTATACTAAAGAATCAGTGTTTTAGTGAGTTACGGTATTACCTACTCACATGCTAAAAATATAACTTACCGTTAAAGTAAAACTTGAGTCTATTGGCGAATATGTGAGATGATGGAATGCCGAGCTTTTCAGCAACTGGTTCTATGAGACTCCTGAAGCCACCGGACACCAGGTACACCGTAACGCCTCTCTCTTGAAGCGCTTTCACCAATTGTCTAGAAAAATAAGTAAAATAAATTACAAATATGTTGTTAAAATATTTTTTCTTTTTTACTATGAAGTGTACAAAAAAAACAAATACATATCCTAAAGGTCCCAGACTGAAAAGGTTATATCTGTATAGAAAAATATTTTATATAAATCGCAGTCAATTGTATTAAATATAACTAGGTATATATGGTATATGAATACTATACTATAAATTGGGAGTATAAATGATATAATAAAAGTACAATGCGGTTTCTAAGAAATTTTTTTCCGCGAACGCTCAGGCTGTAGAATGAGCTCCCTGCCATTTTTCTTAAAGTTTGGGGTTTTTTAAAAAGGGTATATTCAGAATTCTTCAGGGTCGGCAAAGTACACATAACACCCCAAGTGTTGCAAGCGTCCATAGGCTACAGTAACCGTTTACCATCAAACGGGCTGTATGTTTGCTACCTTTGTGTTATAAAAAAATATATAAGTAGATTATTTGTATCAAATGTTATTTTGTGTGATAATTATTATTAGAAGTATTTAAAAAACAAGCCCTAAAATATAAATGATATTTAGTAAACCAATAACGTATCTATTAATCCATATTGATGTAAAAGAAACTACAATAAGCCGGTATTTAATATATTGTTTATATAGTCCACGATTTGAAATAAAAACCGGTATCGAGCACTCAACAAACCGGTTATTATCGATATCACTATTATGTTCTGCAAAGGTGAATATGTCATTCCTTTATCATTTGTTATTGAAGCTGTTTGGTAACTAAATATGGAACTATTTAACCCTAATTTAGTGCCCTACTTGTACACATAACGGCGCGTTGTATGTACTTAACCACGTTTTATATAATGGAGGTGTAATCAAGCAGATATTGTTAAACGAAATTCAAGAAAGCTGTATAGCAAAGTACATATTATTCAACGGTTAATTTAATTTCACTTATTATATATGAATATATAAATAGGCACGATAAAATCATAAAAAGGTTATTTTAGTCAGGTAAAAACTAATAGGTATAGAAACGTTTACTAGTAACTATTTATTAGAGAATAAATAAAAAGGACAAACAAAAAGAAAATATCCATATGAATAGAAGACATTTCAAATAGTATTTGCGTAATTTTCTTATGTTAAATACATTTTTTTTTTTTCCAATAAATACTTTAACATATTTGCATTATTGACAGCCCTAATTTAATTGAATTTAAATATATTCAAAATTGGAATTCTTTTAAAAAACTTAGAGATTTGAAAGGAGTGGTCATTTACGTATGCCGAAAATGAGGAAAAATTGTGTTGTCGGGAGACAGGGTCAGAGATAAGAAGTAGCTCTGTTTTCAAAGCGGACCCAACTGGTTTGGGTGACAATCACCGCGATACACAATTCAAGATTAGGTAGATGACTCGTGTAAATATATGTTATAATTGTTTCATCAGACTCTTACTAACACAGAAGTCTATAACCTTTTGACACCTATAACTATATAAATATTGGATTATGTTGACAAAAGCAAACAAAGAACGCACTTTTAAAAGACATATATGTCTAGTAATTACTTAAAATTTGAACTACTTGTTAAAGATAAATAAATAAATATAATTTTTTTTTAAGAAAAAAATCTTTTAGTATTTGTTTTAGTACTTCCAAGTTTTTTTTTTTTCATTAGAAAGTGATGTTATCTAATATTACTTACACATGTAGAAGTACTATAAATAATACTAGAAAAAAAAACAAAATGGCGTCCATTATCAAAACATTTCGAAAACAAACAGCTATAAGTTGTTACAAAACCACTTGTTGACAATCTATTATGCTTTGGTAGAATCGCGATTACGATATAGCATAAAATTTTGGGGAAATAGCTACAAGTATAACACAAATAGAGCATTTATAGCACAAAAGAGAGCCATTAGAGCCATGGTTCATATTCCTCCCTGGGAATCGTGTGCAGGACATTTTAGAAGACTAAAAATACTAACTGTTCCAAGCCTATATATTCATGTTCTGCTAATAGATTTAATTAAAAATAGACATTTATATGAATCAGAGGATAGAATGAAACAACGATTAATTACAAGAAGGATGGATTTACAAAAGGTTATTATACCCACATTTAACATAGTACAACATTGTCCACGAAACCAAGCGGTGGTGTTATTTAATAAGCTGCCTAGGGAATTAAAGTCACTGAATGATTTAAATATCTTCAGGACAAAATTGAAGTCATTACTGCTAGAAAGGTGTTTGTACTCAATTGACGAATTCTAATTATAGTAAATTTGAATATATACCTATATTGTTTATGTTAAGAGATGACTAAGTGACTATAATATTTGTTTTATGCTTGATTTAATTTATATTTTATATAGTGTATGAAATTATTGTATAACATTCAAATACAAATTTTTGTTTATGAATAAATAAAATAAAAAATATAAATACCTAAATGTAAGTCATTTATTTAAGTTAGATAACTTTGGACCGTTCACATATAACTGCTCTATGATCTGGGTATAAAAAGTCAATGATAACTAATGACTACAGTTTCATATCTCGAAACTAAATATTAATTATAAAACCTTTACTTTGATTTTTCCTGTAGGCGATCCAGTTCTAGTTTAATATTAATGCTTCAAATGTAGAGGCTATTTAACTTATTATTTACATCTTTTTCTTTTTTCAGCATTACTTATCGTCTTTCATTTCTTGTATATTTACTAGTATTTTTGTATATATTCTTGTATATGTACAAGTAAGCAAGTACATTATTAAAAGTGTGTCTTAATCAAATCATAGAAACTATTTATCAATTTATGTAACATTATTTCGTAATAAAAACAAGCAGCAATAGTAATAAATGGGTGAGTAATAAACGACACATAATTACCAATCTTGCAACTGATAATTTTATTGTTACAACTGTATGCATCAAGTGTTACCATATAATTTATTTTCTAAGTTTAAGAATCATAAGGCAGTAACACAGCAGTAATAATTTATGTAGAATGCAGTTAATTATTAAGTACCGTAGATCTCTAAAAATCGACATGGATTTACTTCTTTTCATTAAAAAATCATATTCGATAGTCTATGCTACCTCTCGTAATACTTACGAGATGCCTGGTGTGAGTCGAACTGGGAACTTGTCTAAAAAGTCTTGAACTTGACTAACGCTCGGTCTGATGATGTCGAGTCTCTTCTTTAAAGCTTCTTGAAAGGTCATATTACCACCCATCGCCTCGGCTGTTCTGTAAACAAACACTCTATGTAAAACCTCAATTACCAAGTTATCAATACAAGAATGTGTATACCAACCGAGCATATTTAAAATAAGTAAAGTTATATAAAATGGATATGGCGTTAGTTGTGATTATTATAGAGATTTGTTGATATTAAAAACAAAAATACATCGTACTTCCTACTGTAGATAATCATAAGATAAGCTTTGGGTATATTTTTTATAAATTGTGTAAACATTTTATTGAAATTAATCCGCTTATTGAAATTACCATGGTAACAAGCCACAACTATTTATTTGACTTACCTATTAGGTAATATATGAATCATAATTTGGATATGACTTCGTACTAAATTATTAAGAATCATTAGGTAATTACAATGTAATTAACAAATATTTCGTAAAAATAAATAATTTTACCAATTACCACAAATATTCTCTAATTTAGTACGGAATCGATTCGAATCAATTCATCGATTTTTTATTTATACTGCTATTGGACGATAGCAGACTGTTTTACGATCTATTATAACATTGTTTCTTTTTTCTTCTTTTTTCGGTTCTATTAAAACAAACCACCCTACTAGTCGTATAGAGGTAAGAATTGTTAGTAATGTGGATTATCAATCTCTTTGTTAGCAATATACCCTGTCAAGTCGACCTCCACGTAGTTTCCCTCCTGGAAACCATACTGCCTAAATACAGATGTATTCACACGATGGGCTAACTGACCTGCCTTTTTATCCTCACATAACATCCCACACTGGTGCCCTGCCAGCGTAAACCGTTAGCACAGATAGGGTTACCATTATAGTATAATCCATTAAAAAAAAATCTAGTCGTGTAGATATAGTATGATTTCATACTTACAGCCTTTTAACTTCATCTCCTTTCCCGCAGAAGTTAGCCAGCTCGTCGATGCCCTCATCTTGTATAACGGTGGAATCAACATCGAAGCAAACGCAGTCTGCTGTTCTGAAGATTTCCTGTACGCTCTGTTGCGGGGACATAACGCTGATAGAAACCAGCGATAGAGTCTTCAGAGTTGCGTATTGAAGGTTATTTTTCAAACTATAAACAAAAGAATTCTATCTTCAGTAATTATTGGACTTTCATTTACCACATCTAAGAATAATGAACTTTAGAAACATATCTTTCGGTATAAAAACATATTTATTTTCTGTATACAAGTGTTGAAGAATTTATAATATATAATATCAATCTCTAATTCTGAAAATTATTAATATAATTACAAATTTTAAACAAAAAAATATCGTATCAAATAATTTATTTTGCAAAACATAGGTTGATGATTACATAAATATTAATTGCATACATTTTATATACAACTATCTTTTGCCTGTCATGGCGTGCAAAATTTTTAAATAATTTGAAGTAACGTAATTATTATTGTTGTAAATTAATATTACTGTTAAAACATTTTTATTATTATATAGAAATTTTGCTTCTTTTACTAAATTAGAATATATTTTATAATGAGAATGGCATAATTAACTGAAATTGGACGTGTAATTTTGTAAATTATGAATTAATGATCTGTATCTAAAGAAATATTGTTTATTAGACAATTAAATTGATTAAAAATTAGCTAATAAAATTATATATACCAACGTCAAATTACTGAATGTGATGAATGTATAAAATATATAATATATACATATATAACACCAGTATTTTCATCATACAAAAGACACACTTATGTAAATACAATCAGGTGATCCTATTGCTGAAAGCACTTTATAATAAATTTTATAGTAACGTCACACTAAATATTTCATTGCAGAACTAGCAGCATTTATGTTTCTATACACAGTGTATTAATAAATAACAAAATTATTTTTATTTGCACACTTGACCATCACTAGGTGATATGGTCCAATCGTTTGCAGTAATTCAACTCTTCAAGACTTGCATAACAGGTTTGGGTGGGTTCATCAACACAAAAAAAATAACATACCTGCGATACAAGACCTAACTTAGCCACTAGCGTATTAAGTAAAACCAAATACTTTCAAAAACTGTGTACTCGTAGTTGTATTATTGGCATAAACATAACTTTAATTTCATATCAACATAAGGTTAAAAGCAGACATTTATTTTTATAATAAAAAAATGCATGTTTTATGAAAATCTAACTTATGGTAATATGATAAAGAAAAAGTTATAAAATTAATTATATTATAATTAAATATATTAATTATATATTAACTATATATGGTTTCTTTCATACATCCACTTATATTACTTGCATACACCCACTCTAATTCGCCTATTTTGCTTTAGAATTCTCGCTTGTATAAATAAAATCCATTATTGGCTGTATTTATAAGACTTAGCATGTAAGTTGTGTTTTGAAATCTGTGGATTTTTATGTTAAATAAATAAATTATGTACTCGAACAAAGCCGTGGCGTCTCGGAATTAGAATGGGCTACTCCTTCCTTTCCTGTGGGCGTCGTAAGACGACTAAAGAAACTTAATAGTCAAGGAATAGACAGCAGCGTCCCTAAAAACATCATTGAAGTTTAACCGTGGTTGCCAACCCGCCTGCTTGGTAACTGTGAAAAGCCCCCCAAAGGAAAGGCCTATGTTCAGCAGTAGACAGTTAATAGCTGATACGATACGATACTTTTATGGCTATTTTATTGTATAAAGTGAAATAATAAAAAAAAAATAACATCAATATCGCTGACAATTTGCTTTAATCGAAGCACGTCCAAAATGAAATGACCGCATGAATGACATAACAACATGCTTGTACCGTCAACACTGGAAAAAGTTTCAATATGACAGCACAATCCCCATCTTAAAAAAGTTTAATTTTGACACAAAAATCCCCATTAACAAAATGATCCGCCATTTATTGAAATCATTTGTTACAAAAAATGTGATAAATGAAGAACCACTCGAGCGATTTTGTGCAAACTTCACATAAACCATCTACTAAATAGTACGAACAAAACCGAAACATTTGGTTTGAATAAGTAAGCCCGTTCTTGAGTTATAAAATTACAACGAAAAGTGGCATTAATTTTTATATATATAGATATTATTATTATTACTCATAATGATGTCTTATGCAAATAAATAGGTCTTTAACAAATATATTGTAATATAACTTATATAATAATATAAATTACAGAAAAAGTTTTATAACGACACTAAAAAACTGTCAAGATGGCAACTTTTATCAAATTAGTATATTTATATACATAAAAAAAACATAATATCGACCTCTGTTGTTGTTATATACTGCTATATCTGGATTATATAATTTTTACTACAAAAGAGATATGTAACTAAGCCATATATAAGACTACTTAATATGTATTATAAATAGGAAAAATTCGATTATTTGTTAGTTTGTTTGCAATAGATAAACTCATTAACTACTAAACCGATTATTAATATTAATAATTCTTTCACCTACAAAAAGCTACATTATCAGCGAATAACAAAATACATGTATTATTTTCAAAATTCTATCCACCGGTGTGAAGTATAAGATAAATATAACTAAGCCAATTTATTGAAAAAAAAAAGCTTATAGCTTAACAGCTTTCTACTCACTTAGGAATGACCATAGATAGTACTTAATTATTTTTTAGTAATTGCTAATATAAGATAAATAGAACTAAGCGAATTTATTAAAAAAAAAACTTATAGCTTAATAGTTTTCTACTCACTTAGGAATGACCATGTACTAGTATCACCTAGGTAAATGGGCACACTCAGAAAAAGACATTATTTAAAATTTCGCTCACATTAATCAGGTAAGCAATCATCTAATTACCGTAAATGTGAGCTTAATGATATCTGTCATAACTTATCAATTCTATTATAAGTAATAAATACCTAATTTACTATAATATCTTTATGATTACTAATAAATCGCAAGATATTATTATGAATAAAAGAAAATATTTAATATCCACAATTATTAAATTTCCAACACCTTATCTAATGATGCCCTAAAATTTATTAAGGTACGATGGGACTGACCTGCCTAAAAGGACAAAAGTCCCTTAATAAAGATAAAAAAAAAACCAATACCTGTAGAGGGCCATAGCGGATGTGATCTTCAATAGATGTAACAGATAAACCGATTTATACAATGACCGAAATTATGTCGGGAAAAAAACAACAAAAAAAAATGTTCTTGGGAACCGCGAACACGCCTCTGTTGTATGTGATATCACAAAGTACAGTGCACTTCCAAGTCCGTTATCGCCTTATATGCCACACACCCCGTATGATAAAATTGTGATGCGAGCTACACCACAGCTCTCTGAGAGCTACGTACTATGAATGACGTCACAACGCCGTCTTCATTGAAAAGACTACTGCCAGACACGAGCGGCAATTCAGGCGCAACAAACGAACAACTAGTCGTCTCGCTCACTCGCGATAGAAGCGTATGGAATATTTGTGGCAACAGTTGTTTTGCGAATTGCGCGCAGAGAATAACAGATAATGACCACGTTCGTAAAAGGTGATAAATTTGTTTTGATATAAAACAAATAATAATTTAAATAGGAGTCTACGAAATTCAATGACGCAGTGGTCGTTTATATTTTGTCATTTGTTTTTCAGGTTCAGCCTACAAAAATATTTTGTAGTAATAAATAAATATTTAATAGATTTGTCAAATAAATATATTTTCAATAAAATCGGCATTATATTTACATATCCAAATATTTTTTCATTAATATGTTTAAAATTCATAAATAATTAAAATTAAATATTATGTGGTCATTTCATTTTTAAAACAATAAAGAAAGATTTTTTTTTTAATGCCTACTAGTAGGTACACAAAACAATAATGTAAGAATCAGAAGCCATTTTCTTTTTTAATTCAACATAAATTCTACCAATTAATTCTAAAACTACCTGGGAAATATTCATTAAGCATTATGTAAAACCGTAGACAGAAAAATATTGCATTGGAGTTTAAAATTAGTTAAAAACAGTGAAAAATACAAAACTCTGTTATGTCCATGGTACTGCTACTCTGTTATGTCTATAGGCGACGGTTACCATTTTCCATCAGATGGGCCGTCAGCTTGTTTGTCATTCTAAGTTGTATAAAATAAAAACCTAAGATTTTCATGAATCCCAATCATAGTAAAACTCATGTTATATGTAATATTGTCACAAAATGCATAGACATCACCAGTCCTTTTCATTCCTAGAATGTCATAAATGGTCACTAAAAGAACTAAGACTATTACACAAGTGCAAAAGGAAAACTCAAAACCACTCCTTCTGATTAACAGCAATTTGTAATTTATGGTTTATTTTCGTAATTTTTTTTATAAATTTAAATTAAATTGTTTTACATAAACAATTACAATTATATTATTATTTTCATATTCAAATGTAAGATATTGTAAAACATAACTCCTTACATTGTTTCTACACTACCTTTTCTATATTATATGACCTTGAAGACTTTCTTTAAATATTTAAAAAAGTGACAATGACAACATACTTAAGTATATTTACAAAGACCATTATAAAAATAGTTATTTAATAATAGATTTCAGCTTATCCATAACTGATTTACATAGCTGAACTTCGTAAAAAGTGATAACCTTAACAATACATTTATTGTCATGAAATAAATATGGGTTATCATATAGTCACGCTGAGAGTAAATGACAAAATTACCTAAATAATTGAATGGTTTATCTGTATAACTTATCTATTTCAGGTAAAAATATAAGCAATTTCTCTAAGATAAAATTTCATTTAATCATATATGTAGCCAGTCTTATTTTTTTTATACATTATTTTTAACTCATATTAAAGTTAAAGAAATCATATAAACCTTTTTAATATCATAAAAATATATACAGCCATGAAAATAAGAAAAATGTAAAAATTTAATAACTGAATATTGAAAGTCTGGCTGAAAATAAAAAAAGAAGAAAAATATAGTTAATTTATTTATTTATAATAATTAATTATAATTAATTTTTGAGATTGTAATGTATATTTTGTTTACTTTAATATATATAATTAATTATATATAAATTTAAATTATTTGCCTGTCATTAAGCAAAGTTACATAAATAAATTGATAATGTAAAAGCATTTTACATTACCACCATTATTTTTTTGCATATAAAAATAATTAAACTTCAATGGCTAACAACTTTAATTTTTATTGTTTTATTGTTGTCAGGCTTCTAACTATAAGGGCATATGTCTATGCAAACTCTTTAAGAAAACATTTTACGTTCCTCAAATTTAATAAAAAGAATTGGTATGCACCTATAAAAATATTAACTTTATCATGTATAATGCATAATTTTAACCTTATTATTATAAACCAGTAATTATACATATGTGATTAAAATCCATTTATACATATATACCTTTATGGTTTGAAACCACAGTGTTTAAAAGAACTCTATATATATTTTTTAAATAAAATTATTTCTTACACCTATCTTATCTTATAAAATAGAATTGTAGAAATAATGTTGGTGATAGACATAGGCAGATTACAATAAGTCGGTTACAAGTATGAATAATCAAAGATATAGAAGCATATATATTTTACTTACATAAAAATAACCTTGTTTGTGCTTTAGTTCAAACTGAAATAATTCTACCGAAATAATTGTGGAAAAAGAACAAAAATCTAGAAAAACATTGGTCTTTAACTAATTTCACAACCGTTTATGAGCGAATATCTAATGATTGTCACAGGAATAATAAGAGGAAAAATATCACTAGTACGTATCTAAACAGGATGCCATCAATTAAATAAACTAGGTGAACAATCATATTGCATCGTATCAAGGTTATCAATCAACATGAATTAGATAACTGAAATTTATCATATTTTACGTGCAATTCATCTATCATGATTAGAATACGCTACGTACCTGTAAAACTCATTGATATAAATATGTCAAATGATAATAAATGTTATTAAAAATATTTTTTTATAAAAAATATACATTAAATATCACCTGTGGTTTGTTTTGACAAAAAATGACAATTTACAAATTGAAACTGACAGTTTTGATTTTTTTTTTTTAGTACGTTTGTTCCGTTTGGAACAGGCTAAGGTCGGAGACCATGCTGCCTAGTCTTCAAAAAGATAATTTGTCTGGAATATTGACAGTTTTGAGTTTCACATAGCCACAGCCTAAAAATATAATTAATCTGTGTACAGTAGATCTCGTCGATAAAGAAAACGAAGGACTTTTCTTTTTCTATAGTAGAATCTATCCAATACATACTCTTTATAGTCAGACTGTAAATATCAAACTATCCATTTTGTAATCCAGACCATTTTTAATGAAATCACAATTTGTTAATATTCGTGTAATATATATAATTATAAAGCTATTTCGATGGTAATACTTAGCGCCAAACTTAAAAAAAAAACTTAAACAGAAAATTGGCGCGTAATTAAAATTATTACATTAGTTAATAGTGAAAAAAAAATTCTGCTGAGTCTTTAATTTTTTTATCTTAATATATCATTATTTATTTATTTTTTAACAATGAATGTAGTACACAGAGATAAAATAATAAACGTTAAGGAGAAGTCCAAGAAGGAGTTAGTTAAAAGAGATTTATCACTGGGTATGCATCTTTAATTTAAAATAATAACAATTAAATTATCTATCTAAGTCTACTTAATATTTTATATGCTACAACAACATCAAATACATTGAGTAATAGTGAATACTCACTATTACGTTTATAAACAACGACAGTGACATCTGCAACATCAGGTCATCACGTGCACGTAGACGCCTTTATCAAAACCTTAGTAGGAAAAACTATTCGATAATTTCTGTTCAATTTCACCATAGTACAACTCACCACACACTAAAATTCCACCCCGAATATCTTCATGAGTTTTACCGTGTGTTTGTAGACTCTCTTCCATGCACAACTACGCTTTCACCATACAAATCCACTACCAGCAACAGTATTTCCAAATCGATAACCGCAATTTAAAAAAAAAACATTTCTTTTTAAAAGAGCAACAGCACAATTGCAATTCTTTCCTTCAAACTGATGTTGGGGAGAATCATAAGCGTCTGGTGAGCTACTCGCTTATTCCTTTTTTTTTTAAACATACTTTTGTTCCGTTTACTTACTAAAAACTGAGTGTGCACGAGAAGACATTCTTCACTGTAAATGGTCATTTAACTTTTAATACATAAAGATATATTTTCTTTCTCTCATTGGTATATATAACAGATACGCATTAGGGTACAGTCTGTTTCACAAACTGTGAAACATAAAGAAAGAGGAAAAATTTACCCAAACTTGAAAGCTTGAAAAACCGCAATGTTTTCGAACTAATTTAAATTCGATGCTCCCACCCATGATGTTGAAGGCTTATAGCTAAAAACTATTCTGTAATATTTTTAAATAAATTGGAATGATAAATGTTTATCTAAATTAAAATACATGACAGGTATAAGAGGTCCCACATCATTGCTACGAACAGTGTCATATAATGTTTCAAATGCTAGTCGGGTTCCTAATAAAGCGCCTCGATATAACTTCTCCAATGACCGAACAGCGAGTAACGTGACTTCTATGGGTCCTCCAAGTTTCCCTCCATGGAATTCAAACCGCAAGTAAGTAAGAAAATAAGATTCCAGAATCGAATTTTAATTGTAAAATTTTAAAATCGTAGCTACACTAATATCATTGTGTCTGCTTAGACAATTTTGTGAGTGCAGTACTCGTATTTTCTATTATATATGTAATATTAATTTTATTCAATTAGATTATGGTTATATACTCTATTTAATTACAAATCTATATATATATATATATATATATATATATATATATATATATATATATATATATAGATTATCCCATTCAAGAATAATAAATTCGAGTTCAACTAAATTGGAATCCTCTTCAAGCAGTAGACCCAGGGTTAGGGTACTTGCGAGCGAATCCGCAGATGAAGACCTATGCACACCGGGAAATAGACCTACTGCACTCAGATACATCAGCAGTAGCAGTAGAGGTAAGCTACCTTATTACTTATTTAAAATTATCTAACCGATATTTTCCAATTCTATTTTTTTTTTATATCAAGCACCTGTGGATAGGAAATGTAAGTAAAATAAAATAGGATAAAAATAGAATGCCAGTAAAATAAAAAAGTACAGAACAATAATACTTTTCCTTTAGAAGAAATACATGAAAAGACCCCGTATGCAAAATAACATGTGCAGGCTACAGTTGAGTTGTTCCAAATTTCCGGAGAAACCTACTTCTAATTTTGCATTAAAGATCAAGACATAGATAGATACATATAAACACCCGAAAAATGTTACCATACTTTCATACAAAGTACATTAAGCCAACTTGTTATGAAGTTGCCAGAATGAGAAGAGTTTTAAGCTGCGATTTAAAATGAAAATTATCCTAAGAATATTGTCTACCCATGTACCGATATTTCTTCCATATTTGTCCAACTATTTCAGTAATAAACATGCAAACATCTTTATGAACTTTCAGACGATATAGATAGGATTACAAAATGTTGTATCGATATTTTCAGGTGGGCACAGTGGTACTAGGTCTGCCCGATCTACAAGTGCCTCCGTGGTCGAAGCTAGTGTTATACTAGGTAGGTACTTAACTCCCAGTTTATTGACATGCACCAGCACTTTATTCTATCTATATCACTTCACTATATCGATTTATAACAATCAATAATGTAATACGCTCTATTCATATATACATAACTTTTTTACTCAATTTACACTGTCCTTTTACCTAAGGAAATTACATCAAAGATAGAATTAAATCTTACATATTTTCCAATTTTGTTTGGCAGGTTTCGTTTTGTTTTCCCTCCTTTTCATTAATATATGGTAGTTTGTCTCATTGGTCATCTTTTAGGACATTCTAGGGATGTAAAGGAATTATAATACATTATATTCTAATCCGTTATCATAAGGAGGAAAACAGATTAACAAAATACTTATAATCTATTAGCTATTTCCAACGGCATTTCCCGTGTGAACCACTAATAAAGTATTCTATGTTTTAAGTTAGGATATAACCTATTCGTATATGAAATTCAAATATGTTCATATCTGTCGTTTAACCATTATTAAGTAACAGTCATCTAAACCATTTTTACAAACTTTCACATTTATAATGTTAGTACGATAAAGGGGAATTCCTACTACCGTCTGGTATTTGTGTACCTATTTCAGATGATACATTTTTAATTATTTTTAATTAGTAACATTTAGTAAATAGAATGGTAATTGGAGTAGTAACAACTATATGGGAAACCCCTACAGCGGAATACTGGGTTTTACAACTGCACTGCTTATCTATAACTTAATTAATCCATACCTACCATGTTGTTGATTTTTTTATTTGAATGACTTGACAACTAACACAAAACAACTGCGGAAGAATACAATGGGGTATTGGACAAATATTTTAAATACATAAATATGTCGAAAGATCAAAATTATACATATATTAAAGAATCAACTTCTTTTTAATAATTTTAAGTGAAAGATTTGTTAATTTGTTTGTTTGATTTGTTGAAATCGTTCTTCAACTTTAATAAAAATTTTGCTATGGTAAATTTTAGAGATACTTTGATCTAATTGAACCGATAAGATGTCAAGATGTATGAAACAAACTCACTTTCTCTTCAATCAATTCAGAATAGCTGCATTTATTATGCTAATTATTTTTTGATGTCTTTAATTTTCAGAACAAAGTTTGTATAAATGAAAATATTTAAAAAATCGTACAAAACAGTGAAAAATTACACCCGTGCAATTTTGGGTCGAGCGGCTAGTTTTTATAATATTAGCAAAGATATACAAATAATTTCATTAATTATGAATATTTTTAGCTATATCAGAAGGTAGAGGCATGGCTCGTGGAGAAATTGGAATGGCTGCTGTTGATTTGAAACACCCACATTTGGTACTGTGCCAGTTTAGCGACACGCTCCTATATACCCACACGTTGACTAAAATAAACTATTTTAATCCTATTGAGGTATCTACTATTTATTTATATAATTGGCACACATGATATTTTTTTATATTATATATGTATTTGGAATACCTAATAAGCTTAGGGACAGGGGGGAATGGATTGTTAGTAATGCAAACTACCAGTTCCATTGCTAGCAATATAACTTAGATCGACCTCCACGTGATTCCCCCTGGAAACCATCATGCTGAATTTCAGGTGTATTTATCACGATGGGCTAACTGACCTACTCTTTCATTTTCACTTATCATCCCTCACTGGTGTCCCGCCGGTGTATACCGATAGCTAAATTCCAGGTGTATTCATCGCGATTGGATAACTGGCCTGTCTTTTTATTCTCACCTCATCCCTTTGGAAACCATCATGGTTAATCCTTGTCGAATTTGTCATGTTTTTTTAATGGAGGATAATGAAACGGTAATCCCAACGGTACGCTGGCGGAGTACCAGTGAAGGGTGATAGATGAGAATGAAAACAGACCAGTTAGCCCATCATGATGAATTCATCAAAAATTAACCATGATAGTTTCCAGGGAAACCGTGAGGAGGTCGACCTGGTTGGGTATATTGCTAGCAATGGGATTCTCAGTCTCCATTACTAACAATCCCTTCCCCCCCCCCCCCCCCCCACCCCGATACTCTGTATTCAGATTATCGTGCCGCACACATTCTGTGAAGGAGTGCAGCCCAATCAATTATACCAATTGATAAAGGAACACTATCCCCTGGTCAACCTGACAACTGTTCAGAGAAGGCATTTCAACGATGCAGCCGGCAGGCAACATATTCAGACTTTATGTGCCCCTGAATACAGCGCCGTGTATCTACAAGTGTTGCACAAGTATGTACATATTTTATTGTATTTCCTTTATACTGATACTGCTGCTGGAATATGATGAAAATGCCTTTGAGAACTTTAAATAGTTTTAAGTCGATGGAGTCATGTAAAAAGAGTTTCCAATTAATTATGTAAGTTAAAAATATCTCTTACGGTTGTCGGTACTTCGATAGTAAAAAAAAGTTTAGAAAATTTATATAGTTTTTGTAGGTTTGAAGAAAATATCTGCCTAAATTATTTTTGGTCTTAGTGCTATCTCTGATCTGGACACAGACACAACAGTTCACAATATTGGCAAGGTCTTAAAATAAGATATAAGTATGTAGGTACCTAAAATTGTTAATAAGTAAAAACTAATTTAATCTGTGATACAAGCTTTTTTTGGATAAAAATAGAACAATGCATAAAACCATTGTTAACGCCATACAATAGCAGAGTACCAGAAGATGGAAACAATGACAATCCACTAGAAATTTATCACGATGATTTCTAGGGGAAAAGACGTGGAGGTCGACTTGAATGAATATATTGCTAGCAATGTGGACTAACAACTCCATTACTAAGAATCCTCCCCCCAGTTGTACAAGTGTATACTTGACCTAGAACTAGTATGTATATACTAGTTCTTCATTTATGATAATGGAATGGTAACCCCGCTTGCGCCATCGGTATACGCCGCCCCCCGTCAATGAGAAATGATAGGTGAGGATAAAAGCAAGTCACTTAACCAATTGTTTTGAAGGGAAACCGCGTGGAGATACTATAGATATTCAATCGTCAAAAACAGCTTAACGTATATCTTCTTACTTACAGAGCGTATTCTTATTTTGAATTGGTTTGTTTTTAAATTGATGGATTTGTGTTTGTTGTATTTACATTATTTTTACCGGTACTTTCCTGCACTGGATTACCCAAATTAAATTATTTTCTCTCTAACTACACTGGGTTGGCTGGAAGAGATCTCTTTCAGAGATAAGCCCTCTCTTGCTAACAAGTCGTTAAACTAATCGTCGCATGTATTGTTTAAGTGCAATAAAGAATATATATATATATATATATATATATATATATATATATATATATATATATATATATATATATATATATATATATATATATATATATATATATGTGTGTGTGTGTGTGTATGTGTGTGTGTGTGTGTGTGTGTGTGTGTGTGTGTGTGTGTGTGAATGTATATGTATGTGTGTGTGTATATATATATATATATGTATTTTTCTTTTTAATAATACAGATCATAAGGCCACAATTATTATTTGAATACAGTTTTAAACCGTAAAGCGTTGTCTAGTTATTAATAATCGCAGTTCGTAAACATTATTCATATCTCATAAACAAAGTACTTGAGCGTAACCTGAAGCAATTTTATGCAAAAGTTCATCATCTTCAATTTAGTACCAGACGAAAGCAGTTCAGGGTTATCAATATGAGGTTTATGTATGTTTTTATCGCGTATAGAACCAATGTTACTTACCTACTTGTGAGCTATTTAATATTGACGCAATATTATTGTAATTTAATTTAAATGCAAAAAAAGGATGGAATTTATTTTGTACAAGGTTTTGTCCGTGACTTTGTACGTGTGATATTTGGAAGTAGGAAAAGCAACTTAATAGATCTCTTGTCTATCAAGTCTATCGAGATAAAATATAGAACGCCAGATTTTCATTTTGAATTTCAACAATATTTTGGATTCGGGTGGAGTGGGGAAGGAATTGTTAGTAAAACAGTCTAAAAAGTGGGGAAAAGCGGCAGATATTAAGAATATATTCATATTACAAAAACGTGCCGTTCGAGCGATCTACTGTATGAAGAGTCGTGACTCATTAAGAGAGAAATATTCTCACCGTTGCTTCTCAATTTATATATTCAAATATCCTATATGTTCATAAAAATCTTGACTTATTTCCAAAAAACAGCAATATTCATAATATTAATACTAGATTTAAAGACAAACTTGCTGTCCCCAAGTATCGTTTAGAAAAAGTTAATAGGTCTTTTATGGGAATAGGTATAAAAATTTACAATAAGATACCAAAGGATATGTTGTAATTACCCTTAAATAAATTCAAAACATCTGTTAAATCATATTTACTGAGCAAAGCCTATTACTCACTAAACGATAACTTGAATGACGAGTGTGCATGGCAATAGTTGTTCATGCACTGAATTTTCATTTAATGTTAGACATAGACACCTATATAAATATACATTGTAAATAAACTGGCTTTTAAAAAAAAATAATTCAATTGAGTTTCTTGCCAGTTCTTCTCAGTTGGATCTATATACCGAACTGGACGGTAGGGAAAAAAATAAAATTATAATGTAAAAATTTGACGTTCATAAGCGGCTAAAATGTCCTACATGAATAAATGATTTTTGAATTTGAATTTGAATTTGAACAGCCCCATTACTAGCATATTGCTACAAATTGGGCTGTTAGACTCTATCAGATCGACTTCCACGCGGTTCTCTCTAGAAACCAACGTGGTTAATACTTGTGAAACTCGTCACGATGGGCTAATTGACCTTCTTTCATCTTCATCTGTCATCTCGAACTGATGTAGGTATACTGATTGCGCAGGCGGAGTTACCATTCCATTTTTATCCATTAAAAAAAATTACATTGTATTCTCAAATACAAATAAGTAAGCAAACATAATTATCTATGCTTCCAATATTCTGCCTGTATGTACAATCGAAGTTATTCCGTCTCTTGACAACATGTATGTATATGTAGGCAACATATTTTGCAAATAGCTTACAAGACCAAAAATTACTTGATTATTGTTAATTTATTTTTGAGATGTTTTACATACATAATTACTTAGGGAGAGAAAGATAGGTGCTACCTTTTAGCTTAAAGCGATTTAAGAACTACTAATTTGTATACTTATTTATACAAAAACAAAACCAACTTCAATTATTAACAAACCAATTATTTTGATTAAAAACTAAACTACTGAACCGATTTTGGAAAAAAATTCTATGCGAACAATAAAAAAATAATTTTCCAAATCAGTTTATAACTCACAGAGTTAACAAACATAAAAAAATATGTACAATCGAATTGGAAACCTCCTTGTTTTTGAAGTCAATTGAAAGTAAGTACTGCTATGAATTAAGTAATTCTATCTTGGGCCATTTGAGTGCAGCTGTTTGTCAGAGAAAAGTGTAGCGGATCACCACCACTTGCCATTATAAATTGCATAATAAATATTTCAGGTTCTATGCACTGACAGCGGCGGCAGCGGTTCTAAAATACGTAGAATATATCCAATGCCTAGTTTTTGCCAGAGAATCGCTTAAAATCGAATACCATTCTTCTGAAAACACAATGGTAATCGGTAAGTATATTGATATAACGCAGTGTAGGACGACGTAGGAGGATTTATTTGATAAAAATCACTAGAATCAACTCTAAAATTACACTTTATTTATAAAAAAATTGTGGATTGTTTTTATAGAATTTATACAAGCAATTATATATAGGGAGACTATTGTGTATTCCGATATATCTAAAATCAATTTATATATTTATATAACACTAATCTATGGTAATTGTCAATATATAAAAAAAGATTTAATTGTTGAATATATTATCTAATAAAAATCCTTTCTCTCAGATGTCGGCACAGCTACTCAGCTGGAACTAGTCCAGCCTTTAGTTCCATCAGCCGGGCCCACATGCTGCCTGCTAGGGGTCTTAGGACCCACTTACACTGTCGGCGGCATCAGAGCCCTTAGAGCATGCATTTTGCAACCATCCTGCAATAAAGAGTTCATTGAAAATAGATTAGACGCGGTACAAGATCTAATTGAAAATCCAAACGGTTTAATGTCAGATTTACAGGTAGAAAATTCTGATAACGTTTACTTAGTACTCGTAACTCAATCATGTTTAAATTACTGTAAATACTATTGATAAATTAATTAATATCTCTGTAAATTATTGATACCCATTAATTCCTTTTTCCGTAACTAGAGAAAGTAGATAAATCTTTATTTGAGAAATCAGTTTAGGGTACGATAAGATACGATAAGGCTGATACCTGAAGAAGGTAAACGCCCTTAAAATAAAAAAAATACCCACGACACATTATAAGTAAATTATAATAGTTTAAAAGAATTATTACTTGTTGTATCCCGTGGCAAGGAGTGGCTTATACTATACTACAGTACTATTACTGCTAATAATCAACATAGGAATTAATTAAAATATTTTGGTAGAGGTATTCTTCTGCAGAAACCTGCAGAATCTTCTGCCTTTGTAGTAGTAATTCCTCCAATATCAACCACATTAATGCAACATCCAACACTCTTTATATATTATTACAGACGTCCCATAGATTACGGTAACCGTTTTTCATCGAGCGGTATATATTTTTATTTATTACTTCAACAATATAAAAGTATATTTTATTCTTAATCTAGGATGTAATAAAGAAGTTATCAGAAATTGACAAGATTCTGTTCCTATGTGTGGAAACTCCAAATCCAAACATGGAGAAATACGGAGAAGCCCAGTTGAATCAAACTCTGCTGCTAAAAACTACAATGGGCATGGTTCCAAGTCTTGTCGAAGCACTGAACACAGCACACAGTGGAAGACTCAGAAAAATTAAAATGGTAAGGGACCAATATTTTAAATTAATTGGGTAACATTAATTAATTGGTAATATTGAATCATATTTCAAGACAAACAAAGTGCAAAGTTCGGTGTAATGAAATCAGATGTTTTTCCAGTCCTATAAATGTCTATTGTTTGATAACATATGAGACTGTAATGCCTACAATGATTAGACACTTTAACAATGCCATTGTTTTTTTATGATTCTATTTTGTTTTAATCATTGTTTATAATACACATGATGTATTTGCAGAAATCACATATTGATGTATTTTTTATTTAAATGATAAACAAGATGAGTGCTCATCTGCTGGAAAGTGGTAACCATCGCCTATAGATGTAAACAGTACCATATAAACCCACTAGAACATAGTTATACAAGCATAATTTGTTTGCAACATAAACACGAGTAGAAAAGGTGCCCAAACATGACTTTTTTACAAGGACATAATCTTATTCTGTTAATCATTTATATTATAAAATTTTAAGAAATCCGGGTTTAGATAATAGTTCAATCAAATTCCAATATACGATTGTCAATAAAATTAATAATCGATTCGAGATGGTATTTTAATGGTTAATAAAATGTAGTCATAAGCTTTGGTGCTGACCCTTTCCCTGATTTTAATTAGGTTTGGTTGTAGAGTATTTTTTTTATATTTATGTAGGTATGTATAATATCATCACGAGTACTTTATGAGATAAACATAATTCACCTTATAGTGTTTATAAACTGAATTATATAAAAAAGTATTTAAACTCCATACCAAAAACTTAAGCCAAAATTGGTCCAAACCGAAAATCAACCTCAAAACTTACTCTACGAGTATGTTGCTCTACCTTTGGAGGATTCGAAGATGCTCATAGTCTCAAATTCGTATCAGGTTATTTAACGCTTGGATCAGATCAGTGTGTACGCTGCTTGGTCGATCTAACGTCGTCTCGTTTGTCGTCTTCATTCTATGCACTACATGAACTAGCATTTACCATACATTCTATCAATAAAGTAAGATCTAGCAAGAATATGTAGTATAGGTGATTATAAAAAAAACATTCTTATGATCATACATAGTACAGAAATCGTCAAAGAATAATCAAAAGCTACTTGACCAGCATTGTAATATTAGGCAATTAAAGGGAGAATCCAATATCCAGTAGGAACCTTAATAGATAGTTAAAACTAGTTAGATTGTTTATTAATTAGGACTTCGAAAATCCAAACTACAACGAGATCGCATCCCGTATAAAAAACGTTCTCCAAGAAGACGCACATCTAGAAAAGGGGTCTGTGGGCAGCCTACAGAGATGCTTTGCGGTTAAACCGGAAATAAACGGCCTCTTAGATGTAGCTAGAAGGATGTATTCAGAACTAATAGAGGATATGCAGAAGATGGTGGAACACTTAGGCGAGATGTATGACTTGCCGTTGAGGGTGAATCAGAATATGCTAAAAGGGTTTCACATTGTGATGCCAATTGCTCCGAAGAACAGAAGAAATTTTAATGTTGAAGATTTGCCGCCTATATTCATCCAGGTGAGAGATCAATTTACTCAACTTTATTCTTTTTAAAGCGCTCCAAAAGGAATGAGGTTTTTAATTTATCCGGTTTATTTGTAGCTGTTAGGTAATTACACCATCAAGTCTGAATCGATTTTCTTAATTATTTTTGCAATCTGAATTTACTAACTTACTGGTCCTATTGAGACATGTACATATAAGAGGCATAGGTAAAATATTATAATATATTTGAATCCTATACTAAATCATAGAATAAAGAAGTGGAATAAAAAAATTTTTATTTCTAGATCCCATTAATGATGGATTCAAGAGGAAGAAAAATTATCCCTGGATCCACATGTAGACCTAGACTGTGGTTTCTAGTGAACTGAGGCATTATAATTTTGTATATTTTTTTTTACAGAGCAAAGAATTGTTAGTTGTTAAATTAGTCTATATGTAAACACGCTATATTTTCTATGTAGTTTATCTATGAAATATTTCTTCGTTTATCGGTTAATTCACGAATAATATCGAGTTTTTTTGTGCTTAAATACATACTTGTATATACATAATATTCTGTGTTGTTGTTCCAATGATTTGTCTGTCAAGAATCTCCAACTTCATAACCAAATAAGACAAATTTAAAACTCGTATTAAAGTAACGCTGGCCATAACTGCATTTTAGAAACAAAAATGAAAACTCGTGACTCTTTTAGGTGAAGTCACTTACCGTATTATTGCATTAAGTAGAAAACTGCTGACTAAATGATCTAGGCCTAGGTCAATGAATGATGTAATACTATCACGTGCTCATCACGCTGCGCCCGATAACGTTGCGATAATGTGGTATGACCACACCCCTATCTATCATACTATTTATTATATTTACTACTACAAAATATAATAGGTATAATTTTATTTTGTTAGCAAAAATAAATACTGAACTAAAAATTGCTCAAAAATATTGTTATTAATAGGTTTATCTATAACAAATTGCACATTAACCTGCCACTAAAAATTTTGTTCTTATTTCTTATTTAGGTACTATCTGAAGTTTTTAAAAAAATGTTTGACTTTAAAATCTAAATATTACATTAATTAATGAATTAATAAATTAAAATTCTTTTTTATTTCACTCAAAGAAACCAAAAAAAAAAAAGAAAAAAGATGTATAATCTACATAAAAACAATATATTACATACAAAATTACAAGAAGCGTTATTAATATTCGGTATCAGAGCACTTTTTAAATAATGAAACAAAAATATATAAAATTAATTGTTATTGAAAATTCTCATAATTCCTCACGCTTCATTATGGAAACTCTACAATTTCTTGAAATAAATATTATTCCAGTCATATGTATATAGTCATATAGTAAATAAAATTTGCGGGGTATCCAATTAAATTAATGAACAGATTATATATAGATATAAATATTCCATGAGATATAATTATCACTTTAATTTAATTAGTCATTAATTATCACTACAATTAATCCAAGTACGTTAGGTTCATATTATAAAATGTTTTTTAATTAAGATTCAAGATTTTTCTTTTTAACTTCAATCCTCAAAATTTATATACATATATAATTATCATATAAAAATTTATATATTTAAAATTATCATAAGAAAAGTGGAAATAAACTATCGATTTCAAAAAGGTCAATCAATATTGGTTTATTTTCATTATTTGGCAAAGGTGTAATGTCACGTAACACATCCGAAAAATTACAGTTAAATTGATGCCGTTCGTCTTTTGAAAGTTACTTAAATATATGTAAAAAGAATGTCATTAAAACCAATAAAATACTTTAAACGGATAGAGTACTAATGATAATTAACTCTATGTTCAGATAGGTCATATACTTTGTTGCCATGTTATTATACTTAGTTATATAAAAAACTCTGATCGATTCAACACATAATCTTTACTAATATTATAAGTTTATTAGTTTGTTACTCCTTTGGCGCCTTAGCAATTTAACCATTAATTGTAAAATTTGGTCAGATATGACTGTATATGTTTGGTATAAAATGGAGACTAATATAGGTTATTTTATATTTATGTCATTCAGAAAGAATATCCATATATAACAGATCACACAGGTGAAGTCCCAAGTAAAAGCTAGTATTTTTAGGCTTTTTAGTGTTTTTTAAGTTCCAAATAATTATATGTAAATCAACACCTAAATTAATTCAAGGTGCATAATAATGGTGCGAGCGTGTCTATGACCACCGAGGAATTGGTCGTGATGGACCGCCAAGCGAAACAATCGTTGAATGAAATACAGAGGATAAGTAATATGTATGTAAATATCATAATTATCATCCTTTATAATCGTATTTTTGATGTATTTAAATGTAGTTTCCAACTAAAAAAACATTCCATACGAATGTTCAGCCCATAGTCTTTTTCACGGTTTAATAATAGCTGAATTTATTTATTTATTATTTATTTGAATCTTATAAGTATAAAATGTAATTATATGTATGTATTTATGTGTTACTATATTTATGTATTATAATATATTTATTTATATAATTAAATAAACATAGTTGAATATCTTATTAAACTTTCACATTTTATAATATTAATCGGATTAAATTTTTTTAATAGATGATAATGGAATAGTAATCAATAGTATCCGGGGTGCCAGTAAGGTATGATAAGTGATGATGAAAACAGGTCAGTTAATACTCGTGATAAATATACCTGGAATTCAGCACCACGGTTTTCAGGGGGAACCGCGTGATCAACATAACAGAGTATATTGCTAGCAATGAGACCGGTAATCCACATTACTAACAAGCTCTTCCCCCCAAAAGGATTATATAATTAATTAATAGTAGCATGATAAAAATAACTATATACATATTTCAGCGTTATATCTAGCTTGTTGAAAGAATTACGACCGTTCATGTCGAGTCTCTATAAACTGTGCGAGAATGTAGCAGAATTGGATATACTACTAGCGATGGCACAAGTAAGTAAGTTTTTAATGTTTCATTAATCTTTTAAGTTTTTTTTTTCAATTTATATTACATATATGTCAATATCATCTAAATAGCATAGGACAAAAGTTTCCAAAGTTAAAAGATCAAAATTAGGGAAATGTCTAGTGAAGTCCATATAAAAGAAAAATATACAAATAAATGAAAAATCAAATATAATTGTAATATTAATATTATAAATATGAAAATGAGTTTGTTTGTTATATTTTGATACTTTAACTTTTTAAAATTTGGTATGTATATACTATTTAGACTGAAGAAGGACATAGACTACTCTGATCAATGAATTTTACCTACCAATAAATTATTCGTCAGGTTTACGGTAAAATTAAGCAATAGCAGTTTATGTTATATTTGTGGTATACATAAGCATGTTATAACTATGTAATAAATGAATAAATAATTAATCCAAATCACGCAAAGAAAGTTGAGGGTAAAAGATTATAGAAATATTTTTTTTATTGTACACTACCTTTTATATATAATTGATAAACCGGAATAAATAATGAGCTATGTATTTTTCCACTCTAAAAAGTACATGTTATGAGACTACAGCATAGAGTTCATCAAAAAAGGCTATTGCAGGCGTTCTTAGCTTACGGTAAAAGTTTACCATCAGGTTGGCCGCATGCTTTTTTGCCACCTCAATGGTATAAAAAAAGTCGACCATGACGCAGATTCCCATACATCGCCAGTAAGCAACAAACAAACTAATTTTCACATTTATAATACATATTAGTTGGCGAAATCAATAATGACTGACGATGAAGAATACATAATAATTTTACCAGAGGGAGACTGTACAAAAGTCATTTGCTTGGATATCTTTGTCCCATTCGTGTTTCTACTGTAAAGCAATTGTGTTTGCATAGTAGTGTTTTTGTTTGAAGGATGGGATATAGCAGTGTATTTACAGGGTACAAAGGAAGAACAGTTAAATCCTCAGGAATGGCAACGCATTGGTGAAACAGTATACTCTGTGTCCCTGCTCATGTCTATAGGCGACAGGTACCAGTTTCCATCAAGTGGGCCGTCAGCTTCTTCGCCATTCTAAGTTGCATTAAAAAAACATAAACAATTAATATTTCAGGCAAGCATAGTGGGATCGTACATTAGGCCGGAGTTTAACAACTACACCGACATACGGAACAGTGTACATCCTCTCCTGGATTACAACAGTCAAGTAACGCCGGTGCCTAATGATATTGTATGACTTTTGATTCATCAATATATATAATAAAATCCTAACTGGTCGCTGGTACATGGAAGATATATAAGAAAAACTATTATATGAACGCAAAAGAACCCAAAACGATGATTTTTAGAATTTTTATCTGTTTGTCTGTACGTTTGTGCACGTTAATCCTAGAAACGGCTTAACCGATTTCAATGCGGTTTTCAATAATGTATTTTGGTTTGCACTACTTAATATTTAGTGTTTGTTTTATTTCAATCGGTTCATAAATAAAAAAGTTATACCAATCTAAAGAATCACATATAAAATGCAATATATAGAGATTCTCGCGAGTTAAACCGAGGGATACTGCTAGTTTAGTATAAAATTAGAGTTATTGTTGGTAATTCTAACATTTTATTAAAAAAAAAAACATTTTTTATCATATATTTTTCTTCTATGTGTGGCAACACTATCACAACCGTTTTTACCCTTTTGGAATATGCTGTTAGCAAAGAATGTACTATCTTTGCCATTATTTAATATTAAATATTGTACAGCGCCAAGTATACAGTCCACTATGCAACCTTTTCTACAGATATCTTTTTTTTCGAACTACTCTATGCTGTTGGCCACAGATAGCCTTACAGCTTCACTGGATGAAAAACGGGGCGAATGCAGACGGCACTTTACACCCACTGAAGGACGTACGGAGCCTTTCGCCGTCTCCTGCTCAATGCCGCCCTACCTACAAATATCAGGGGCATTTTTTTTAATGGGTGAAAATGACATGGTAACTGCTTGCACTATCGGTATACACTAGCGGGATACCAGTGAGAGGTAACAGGTGAGGATGAAAAGGCAGGTTAGTTAGCTCATCGTGACGAATTCAGCGTTAGTCACGATAGTTTCCAGGGGGAACCGCGTGGAGATCGATCTGATAGAGTTTACTGACAGCAATGGGGACCAACCTCCCCATTACTAACTACTCCTTCCCCCCATATCGGAAGCATTAGCGTAAATAAGGTCATTTTTCAAAGGTGGGGAGTAGTGGAGGGACAGGTTTGGACTCTTATAGAAGGCGCATACGTACTCTCAATCCTTGCCTTTTTGCCATTGCTTAAATAAAATACTATTATAGTATTTATCTATGCTAAGTGTTAATACGGCCAATAAAAAAACAAATCATTTCAGCCGTTCTCAAGTGATAACCGACAAACGTTGTCCTGTTCAAATTTTAAAATATCCAGAAAACGTAATCTTTCTTCCTTTGACAGCTAGGTAATAAAAATAATACCCATAAATGTATTATTAAACGGTTTTTTTTTTTATAGTATGCGAGTCCAGAGAAAAATTTTACGATAATCACTGGACCGAATATGGGAGGCAAAAGTATTTATATCAAACAAATTGCCATCATGCAAGTAATGGCGCAGGTTAGGCATCTTTATTTCTTATAATTATTTATAAAATCGTTGCGTTAGATAGAGAGAGAACTAACATTGATTAATCTCAGTTTTTTTCTATTTTAAATTTTGGTTTTTAATAATAATTCCAACAGGTATCTATGAAGTATATTCAGAACCTAATAAAGGATGAAAATTCTTTAACTACCTCAAACTGTATGTATTCTGTTTTATGAGATACCTGGTAATCAACATCTCGAAGCACAAGTCAGAACATCCAGAATGCGAGCCAATTCACAATAGTTAATTTTCTAAATTGGTCCGACCGAAAATCGAACGCGAGATCTCAATCACACTAAAAGCGACTACGCCACTAAGGCTGTCAAAATGTATATAACTATTTAACATATACGCTACAAATATAATTTGACACATATCTTTATATATATATAAAATATTGTAGTCTCTAAAAACACTACTACATAACATTTCTAAATTTATATGAAGATTTGATAAAGACAGAGTTATATTAGAGTTTATAAAGAGAAAGAAGGAGAGATAGAGAGAAACAGAGAGAGACTAGGTACCCAAACAAGAACAGTGAGTTGAATACTCGTCTTTATAAAATCGAAAGAAAGGATATATTTTATTTTAGGCCTAGTTATTGTACAGTATCTTAAAATATTGAATTTTATCAAAAAATTGAAAAATATCAACTCCTCATTTAGTCTATTTATTGACACAAAAATATTATATATATTTTTTATGATTACTTTACATTACGTGCCATATAAAATGTAAAATAAATATGTATATTCACACCATCATAAAGAAGATATAAATACTTGTTTTTTTTTATGGATGAAAATGGAATGGTAACCCCGCCCGCGCTAACGGGATACGCTGGCGGAGCACCAGTGAATAGTGATAGATGAGAATGAAACAGGCCAGTTAGCCCATCATGATGAATTAAAGGAATTAACCATGATAGTTTCCAGGGAGAATCGCGAAGAGGCCGACCTGGTTGGGTATATTGCTAGCAATGGGATTCTCAGTCTCCATTACTAATAATCCCTTTCCCCCTAAATACTTGTGTTTCACTTCAATGATAACCAGTAAAAAGCTTAATATATTTACAGTTGGGCTGTTTCTTGCCGGCCACAAATGCTGTGTTGAGGTTAAGCGATCGACTTTTCTCTAGAATTGGTTTCAATGATAGCGTCGAATTAAATGCATCCACGTATGTCCTCGAGGTAATGAAATATTTTTTGTTATAATTTATTTGCTAAATTTTCATAAAATTTTAAAATTCTGCTCTTGCATAAGATTAGTACTTTTTTTTGTCATAATCGTATTAAAATTTATAATGTGTATTTTTGATAACGTAAATAGATACCTAACAATCCTACAAATAAATGTGAAAGTTTGTTTATATGTTTGTTACTCAATCACCCTTAGATGTCTGAATGAGTTTGAATGAAATTTGGTATACGGGTAGGTTATATCCCAACATAACATAAACGAGACTTTATATATTGATTCACGCAGGAAAAGCTGCGGGAAATAGTAATAAATAAATATTCATCTCAAACAATTTATTTATTATTTTATTATGTATAGTAAGTTTCTATGTCAATCTATAATAATGCATTTGGGTCGCCAGTTTTCTCAAGGAACGTAGCATTAAGGTCGTAGTCGACGGAGCATGCTCTGATTTAAAACCTTTGAATGCTGGTGTCCCGCAAGGCTGTGTACTATCTCCGACTCTGTTTCTTCTGCATATCAATGATATGTTACAGATAAGTAATATTCATTGCTATGCAGACGACAGTACAGGAGATACATTATATACCGGTCATGCAAAGATCTCGCGGGCACATACCGATGAGTGCCGGAATAGACTTGTGTCTGAAATCGAAACTTCACTCCATCAAGTTTCGATCTGGGGTGAACAAAATCTTGTCCAATTTAACCCCAAAAAGACACAAGTCTGCGCGTTTACCGCAAAAAAGACGCCGTTTGTCGTATCTCCTCACTTTCAGGGCACTTCCCTTGATAAAAAGTCGAGTCTAGGAATTCTGGGCGTTGATATATCTTGCGACGTCCAGTTTTGCGGTCATCTGGAGGAGAAGGCTAAGATAGCTTCCAAAAAGTTAGGAGTGCTCAATAGAGTGAGACGATATTTCATGCCAGAACACCGCCTGAAATTATATAAAGCCCAAGTCAGGCCGCATATGGAATACTGTTCTCACCTGTGGGCAGGAGCGCCACAGTACCAACTCCTTCCGTTAGACCGCATTCAGAGTCGGGCAGCTCGAATTATCGATAGTCAACGCCTTACTGTCCCAGCTCTGTTTCAAATATAGACTAAAACGAGTACTATTGGAGAAACAAAATAAAGGAGAACATAACTATCGGTAGTATCTGATCCTCAATATGATATTTTACTTATGTGTGTATGTATATGTGTATGTATGTGTGTGTGTGTATGTATATGTGTATGTATGTATGTATATGTATATGTGTGTGTGTATGTATGTGTGTGTATATATATATTAGTATTTTTTTTTAACTAGTATCAAGAAATAATTCTTGTAAAAAGTAATGTACAGTGGTACCCTGCACTTTGGTTGTTTTATAAGAGAGGGACTGGCTGAAAACCAGCGCTGTGTAGCTGTTCACATTGCGCTGGGACACTCACAGCATCCGCTGAGCCGGTTCCTTTTGCCGGGTGTGGGACACTTTTTGTATATGTCATTTATATTTTATATTGTAAGTTTACTGGCAATAAATGTTTCTATTCTATTCTATTCTATTCTACTGTCCGGCTTGATCCACTGAAACTGCGCAGAGATGTTGCATCTCTGTGCATCTTCTACCGAATTTATCATGGGGAGTGTTCTGAGGAATTGTTCGGATTGATACCTGCTGCTGATTTTCACCACCGTACAACCCGCCACAAACTAAAGTTTCATCCCAATCATCTGGACGAGTGGCGGTCTTCCACCGTGCGTTTTTCAAGGCACTTTCTTCCACGCACAACCATTCTTTGGAATCAACTTCCAGCAGCAGTATTTCCGAACCGATACGACAACATAACCTTCAAGAAAAGAGTATATTCCTTTTTAAAAGGCCGGCAGCACACCTGCAATGCCGCTGGTGTTGTGGGTGATCATGGGCGGCGGTAGTCACTTACTATCAGGTGAGCCGCATGCTCGTTTGCCCCGTGTTGTAAAAAAAAAAAAATAAATAAATTGGGACGGCTGCTTGAACTGTTTTAGCAACGAATTATTTCAATTTTACAACTAAATTATATCGGGGGGAAGGGATTATTAGTAATGGGGAGGTTTGTCCCCATTGCTATCAATATACCCTTTCAGGTTGACTTCCACGTGATTCCCCTAGAAACTATCGTGACTAATTTATCGTTGAATACGTCACGATGGGCTAACTGACCTGCCTTTTCATCCTCACCTATCATCCCTCACTGGTGTTCGGTTCCAGTTTATACCGATAGCGCAGGCGGGATTACTATGCCATTTTCACTCATTAAAAAAAATTAATTATATCTGAAGGAGTCAGAAATTTTTAGAACTGGCGTATATGCAAAGGAACTTTTATGAGAATAAATGAAGTTGGCTTACCTACTTCATTTATTCTAAGAATACAGGTCTTTCGTAAGAAATAAGAATGTCTTTGCCTACCCTATAAGAGACTTAGCGTGAAGGTAATAATTCGTACCGGCAGCCCCATTTTACCGATTGCTGTAAGTACTATAACTGGTACTTATATTGAAATTATGAAATAAGTATTATAAGATTTTTTAATAAATCAACAGATGAAAGAAACTCAGCACATACTGAAAAGTCTCACCCCTTCTAGTTTAGTCATTATTGATGAACTATGCAGGTGAGTAAAAATATAACCAGTCACGTGAGTAACTACTAATTAGACATACATAATAAGGGTAGGTAATATATAGCAATATCTATATTTTTTTTATACAACTTAGAATGGCAAACAAGTTGACCGTCCACCTGATGAAAAGTGGTAACCTTCGCCTATAGACATGAGCAGTAGCATGGACATAACAGAGTATACTCTTTCGCCCATGATACCCCCCGTGCGTTACCATTCCTGAGAACTCAGGTGTTATTCCTCTGTACCCAGTAAATTCACGCAATAAGGGTGGGAACCCTTTAAACCGAAACACAGCCATGCAAACACAACTGCTTTACGGTAGAAATTGTACTTATTCTCTTTATACATATATTCGTCCAATAACAGATATATTAGATATCGATTATCCAATGTATAATACGAGAAGAAGAACCCACTCATAATGGATATAAATATCCTATTATTATAGCCAGAAGAACTCAATATATAGATATCGGATAATACCCGTCATCGATCCCCTTCCATATCTATATATTGGGTTCCTCTGGACAATGATGGCAAAATAGTTTACCCATTTCGATGTGGCCCATACCAGTGGGATAATAGGATTTTTGGAAATGTATATATACATATATATGGTATATACATTTCGAATGGGTTCTTCATTTTGATAATATATTGAATAGACGATATTTTATGTATTTATTATTGAGCCAATACATAGATATTGCAACGTAAATATATCGATAATGCTGTACATTATCCAACCTTAGCTGCTATGGTATTTAATGGATAAAATAATGTTCATGTTTATATGCAATTTATTATTTTCACAAGTTTGATTGTAACTTTAATAGTATATGAAAAAAACCATAAACTTTCCATCTTTTACTAATTATCACCATTGAGTTAATCAGAAATTCGACAAAAACATACCAGTAAAAAAGTTAAAAAATACCAGCCAACAAAGTCAACCGTAACAAGATGGAATCCTAGTATTTTTCCATTTGGGTTGAGATAATGAATGGTTAAATCATGATGTGAAAGGGACTCCATTTTCCGCACTTAGCCTCTCATATGATTAAATGATTATTTATCATCATCATATCAGTGGACAGATAACGTGTCCACTGTTAAACATAGGCCTCCTTCATAGACTGCCATAAGGAACGAGATCATTCCGTATGCCAGTTCACCATTGGGAGGATTTTATCAGTAGTTACCACACTTGGCAGGTGGATTGGCAACCGCAGTTTGGCTTTTGGTGATGTTTTAAGAGGGACGTCGCTGCACATCTCTCGTCCATTTAGTTCCTTTAGTCACCTCTTACGACACCCACGGGAAAGAAAGGGTTTTTTTAATGGGTGATAATGGGATGGTAACCCCACTCGCGCTAACGGTATACACCGACGGGGCACCAGTGACTGATGATAGGTAAGGATGAAGCAAGAAGGGGTGGCTCATTTTTTGCCGGGACCACACCGCAATAATGATTCTTTATAAAATTATGTAATTTGAATCTTCCAGAGGCACATGTGCTGAAGAAGGAACCAGTATAGCCTGGGCTATCTGTGAAGAATTACTCAAAAGTGATGCTTTCACTTTTTTCACCACACACTTTACATATTTGACGAGATTGCAAGATTTATACTTCAATGTGGTTAAGTAAGCATTTTAATCAAATTAATAATAGAACTTACTTTGATACATTATTATTATTATATCAGCTGTTAACTCTGAACTATCCACTACTGAACATAAGCCTTCCTCCATAAAAGTGGTTTTGCTAGTGAGTTACCACGCTTGGCAGGCGGTTTGGCAACCGCTAGACCCTAATAATGTTTTAAGAGGAACACTGCTGCCCATCCCTTAACCACCAAATTTCCTTAGTCGCCTCTTACGACACTCACGGGAAAGGAAAAGATTGTCTTTGGTTTTGTTAATTCTTGATACATGTTACCTATTTAATGCCAGTAATATCTGAATGCTAATTTTTTAAAGTGAAAACAATATAGTGACCCCGTCTTTGCGATTGATATCGTGTCGAATTCAACAATAATGAACCACGATGTTTTCCAGGGGAAACCGCGTGGAGATCAACCAGATAGTTTATTGCTAGCAATGAGGTAGTTGGACCCCATTAATAGCAATTCCTCTCCCCCCCCCCCCCCCTCCCCTGATATTTGAATGTTTACAATAAAGTTTCTGCAGAGGTATAAATCTAATAATAGGATCTCAGTATATTATCTCTATTATCAATTACAGACGATTTTTATCGAATACCTACCGACCTATCAATTTCGAGTTTTGTTTAATAACATTCGTTTCCATATATGAATAAATAATAGTACCTACGTATTTACTATCCAATCCATGTTTTGATACTAGATATAGTCGTCGTACTAAAATATGATAAATAGGTAACTTACCTATATTAGACCTAAGAACAAGGGAAAATCTTTGTCATAGACGAAGTATGACGTCTCTAACTCACGTATTGTCATGTAAAATTTTTAAGTCTATGGTTTATTCCAAAGGGCAAAAGGCTCAGCCCATACAGCTTACGTCTATTATATTTTTTTATACAACTTAAAATGGCAAACAAACTGATGGCCCACCTGATGGAAAGTGGTAACCGTCGCCTATAGACATGAGCAGTACCATGGACATAACAGAGTATACTGTTTCGCCCATGACACCCCCCATGCGTTGCCATTCCTGAGGACTCAGGTGTTATTCCTTCGTTTTGATGTATATGATTTTTTTATGCAAATTAGAATATCAAACAAAATAATGGTATCAATTACCCTATATATTCTACTTTTAGTCGCCATACCACAGTTAAGAAAGAAGTTATACCAAATGCAGAATCAATGCAGGAGAGGCTTATATACCAGCACAAAGTTGAATTGGGAACCACGGACATTGAGTATTATGGCCTAGCCTTAGCTGCTAAAACTAATTTACCTCCAGACACGGTCAAGTTAGCTGTAGAGTTGGCGGAACTTATCGCTGAAACTAGAAAAGTGCGTAGCTCTAAAATTATTACTATAAACTTTATATATTTCATAATTTCATTTAGTTATTTTTGTGGTGTTCAAGTGCTGAGCAAAAGCCTCCCTTGACTATTTCCACTTATAGTTTTGGCCAAGGTATACCAAATTTTGTGAAATTGATCAACTTCATTTCATAAACGGTCGGCCGCTAGATATTTTCTAATTCTTAAAAAACCAAATTATAGTAGTAAATATTTTACTTACTCTCGTCTTATACTACTCACCTTTGGCTTACCTTAAATTAAATCATCATCATCACTATATCAGACTTTAACTGTCCCCTGCTGAACATAAGCCTCCCCTTGGGGGGTTTTGCCAGTAGTTGCCACGCTTGGTAGGCATATTGGCAACCGCAGTTAAGCTTTTAGTGATGTTTTTAGAGGGACGCTGCTACCTATCCCTCTACCATTAAGTTCCCTTACTCGCCTCTTATGACGCCCACGGGAAAGGAAGGAATGGTCTTTATTATGCCAGTACTATACAGCGATAAGCTGATATATATATTAAAAGTTAATGTTTTTATGTTTTAGGTTCGAGAAATAACAACGCCACAAAGAAGCGACGAGCAGATTCTTTATAATTTAAATGCAGACTTAAGGTTGCAGTCGAGAAGAAATGAACATTCAGATGAACGCAATGCATTAATAATACGGAAATTTAAAGAAGATAATCCACAATTGATAGAAAGATTAAGGATTCAAAATAGCAAAGATAATATACGAACAGACAATACCACTCACAATTCGTCTATACCTAGTTGGACGTTATTAAGTCAACCTGCTTTCAATGCTGTTGCTATCAATACAATAAATAATAATGAACCAAATTTAATACAAAATAAAATGAGTGAAATAAAAAATGGTTTAGAAAACGAAACAACTACTAACTCGCCAAACGATATCCGAAACTTTACTTCAGTCAAATCTTCTAATGAACTACTCAACACTGTGATTACCAATGATGATAATTATTTAAAAAATCAACATTCTCAAAATAATTCTAAACGTTCAACACCAGTTGAAGATACTAAAACCTCAAGTATGGAACTAGATAAAGAACGAAGTGAAAACGAACAAGAAAACAACTCTATACATAAAATGAGTAATATTATAAATAACGACAACGTTAATGATGTAGCGATGAGTGAAAATTATGCAAATGAACTTAACAATACAGAAGATTCAATTCAAATTACAAACAGTGATGATTCAGATATAGCAGAAGCTCTCACACAGGTTCTAAAAGAAGATTCAGTTGAAATTACCTTTTCTAAAAGTGACAGCGATGGGATGTCAGTAGACGAGGAATTGCTAAGAGAAACAGTTGATGAAATTAACGAGGAATTTTTTAATAACATTAGCATTGACAATATTGTTCTTACGCCACCTAAAGAGTTTTGTGACTTGTAATTTTATGATAAAAATAAAATTTCTTATACATCGTGTTTTTTAACTTCCTGGAATATTAAGTATTTTTACCTTTTGATACACAATAAAATAAACACATGCTGAGTCGTATAAAAGTAATCAAATTGGAGATAATTATAGGACAAGACCTTTGGCACTCAGTCTCTCTGTTTACCTCGCAAATGACTGAGCTTTGTAAAAAAGAAATAGATCAAATATCTCCAAAAATTGTTATACGTAATAATTTGACGTTTTCTATTTATTAAGGGATCAGACTGATTTGCATACCAAAATAAAATAGCTACCGCTTCTATATTGTTTATTGAAGAATAGAGGGATAATTGGTGCTAAAACAATAAAATATGTATATGCAGGTGCATATCTATCTAATCTTAGGGTATAGAGTACTAGTGTTTCGGTTTCACTTTGTTCAGGTAAATTTTGAAAAATATTATGTCACTCGTTGATAATTTACATTTCTATAGAGATATTTTCAAATCCAGTTTAGTAGTTTTATGTTTCTCCATTTCAAACAAACAATCAAATCTTTTCTGTTTATAATATTAGTATACGTAACAGTATAGATACATGAGTGCGTTGTACTACGTCTATGCCTACAATAAATTATTGTTATCTTAAGAATCTGCAAGAAGTATATTTAACAGATACTTTGTGCAGTTCCTAAATTACTTAATTATTTGTAAAATTAAAATTTCACAAAAGTTTTATGTTTTTCTTGTTTACGACGAAATGAATATAAGAAAATTTAGATCTTCACTAGTAACCCAAAGCCGTAAAACTGTTGAAAAATATTAAATTCTCCTACATTGCAAATGGCGGATTTCTTTCATTTTAACAACCAAGTTTACGTTTGATTAAATTCTGTTGTGCTTGTTATTAAACTTCAAATGGATTATTTTTTCAATCTTACTTAAAAATAAACTCTAACATCTAATTAAAACAAGTCAGTATTATGGATTAAGCTGTTTTTCTTGCCGGCATATTTGGCATGCGTGTTTTGCATTTACGCATCTTGGAATAGATAATACACTTCTTTCCCTCTTAATTGTGAAATCGTGATTATAGAAGGCGTGCAGCCATGTCGCTGCCGCCATACCTTCTGGGGCCCAACCCTTGGGCCACCATGATGGCGCAGCAGCAGCTGGCGGCGGCGCAACAGGCCGCTCTACAGGCCCACGCCGCAGCCGCTGCTGCTGCACCTCCGGTGCCGCCATCACAGCCGCCCAAATCTCATCATATACCGGAAGAAAAAATCAAAGAAAAATGTAAGTTTTTCTCTATTTGTGTTTACACGAAACGCATTGTGGCATACAAACAAATTATTGTAATAAGAAAATGTATTGCAATAATTTGTTTGTATGCCACAATGCATAATGCGTAAAATTTTGTTTGCGTAAAGTTATGACGATAATAATTCGAACATTCCCCAATGCTGAGAAATTACTGTATTAAAAGCCTCTACATTTTTAGGTTAAATTTGTACATAAAATGTCTAACATCTAATATTATCAATATGGGTAGAGTCCCTGCCAGCGTATGCGCAGGCAGGTTTACCATTCCATCTTTACCTATAAAAAAAATATATGACTAGAGTTGTAAGAAAATTCAACAAAAAAACATAAAAATAAAAAATGTATCCTAAACCATATTTTAAAAATTTTTTTAAAATATGGTTTAGGATACAGCAATACCTATATTGAATTCTGCTAATGCTTATGTTTATTTTTTTTATTCAACTTAGAATGGCAAACAAGTTATCTGCCCACCTGATGGAAAATGGTAACTGTCACCTAGACATGAGCGGTACCATAGACATAACAGACTATACTGTTTTGCCCATGATACCTCCCATGTGTTGTCATTCCTGAGATCTCTGATGTTATGCCTCTGTACCCTGTAAATTCACCGCTATATTATTATATTGTAGAAATATTGTGTGCTATGTTTCACCATCATAAGGTATACAAATTCATAATTATATAAAACATTCATTAAAGATAATAATTATAAACTACAATTGCATTATACAAAAAGAAAATAACAATTATTTTTATTGCAATAATAATCAGTCATAACTTTTCAATATTATAAGTATTTAATATTACATTCTAATAATTTACATGCATTTACTCAAATTTTAATTATTTACCATTAAGAAATTCATCAATATTATAATAATTTTTCTCTAGCAAATATTTTTTCATAATCATTCTATATTCTCTTATATTGATAATAACTTTTATTCTTTTAAATTTTTTATTATAAATCCTAGGAGCCATACCAAAAATGCTTTTACTGAACATATTTGTATTGTGCACCATTGGCTAAGTTTATTTCTGACAGATGTTAAATAATTTAATAAACTTAAATTGGACTTCACAAAAATTACATATATATTGATAGGAATGTCAAAACAGCTTGCATCAGTCATAGGCAACTGTTACTACTTTCCATCAGTAGGGCCGTCAGCTTGTTTGACATTTTAAGTTGCATACAAAAAGTCTTTGAGAGAGACATTGCTCACATGCATTGTTTTAGCTCTTATTTGAGATTTGAGTTTTAATTTTAACTGTTGAATTTTCCCAATGTATTATGCCAAACTGCTATGCAGTAGTCACATATCCTTGATATGCTGTTATCAGTGTCATTTTATATGTAATCTTTAAAATTTTATGTTTCTCAATTTAAATCTTATCAATTTTTTTTTTTAAATGCCACACTACTCAGGATTACACACTCATATAATTTTGATATATAATTTTCTTTAAAATATGATAAGATATTTATCAATATTATGGATTGTTCAAAAGATTTTTCAAAGTTTGAAGATGAAGGTCTATAACTTATAGAACAGAAACATGGTCCTAGGTCAAAAGCTTTACATTACTTAGCTGCTTATGGAGAGGACTATGCTTGGAGTTTTTGCATGATAGAATTTGAAATGAGGAGGATATCAGCAAATGAATCAAAGTAAACAACATAGCCTGAAGGATCAGTAAGCTGAAGTAGCAATGGGCTGGTCATATAGCAGCAAAAACTGACAACCCATAAATAAAAAAGGTTTTTAAGTGGCTATCCTGTATGGAGAATCAGTTTAGGACGACCCCCCACTAGATGGAGTGACAACCTTAAATACATTGTAGGAAGTTAGTGGATACAGGTGGTTCTATATGACAGTCTATGGGGAGATCTGTTTGTGAAACAGTGGACAGATAGTGGCTGAGATGATGATATGTTCTTTAGTTTTTGGCTTTAAATATTTGTATATCTCTGTATCTAAAATTATACCCTGCCTTATGAGGTTACCGCTTGGTCTCTCCTATTGCATAAATTTAGGGTATTGCTGTTAGTTTATGTTGCATCTCAAACATTATTGTCTCGTTTATAATTATTATTGCCAACCAACACCCTCACCAGACTCAAAGTACCAGCATAGGAGTCAATGTTGGAACTATTTAGTGGGGGAAAAATTAAATGTAGTAATTAGATATACTCTTCCATTCTAGATTTAGTGGAAGAAGCTGATATTGCTACACATTACCTTAATTATATATTGTATATCATTGTAATTATGTTTAAAATTATCTTCAGTTTCTATGATGACCAGGACTAGATGAAGTACTTCATATCAAGTTTCTAAACCCAGTGATTTAGGTTGAACCTTGATATATCATTAAGAACAAATCTTGGTTCTTTGCTTTATTATTATAGGATTAAAATATTCAATATATTTTACCAAAGAATCAAGATTTGCTTCTTTGGTACAATGTATTTATTTTCTTTCTCTTATAAAACATATAAATCTCTTATATGTACAAAAAAATATATTATCTGTATAATAAATAACATTTTCAATTCAAATAAAATATTATTTTAAAAAAAAACATTTAACCACAGGTATTGATAATTTTTATATCTTATTGCATAGGTTGTCTTATTTATTATATTATTATAGCCATCTGCTATATTGTTTTAAAAATAGTATTTTTTAGTTTCTAAACAAATATTTATTTTCTTTAGCACAAAAATGGCTTCAGCTGCAGTCAAAGCGCTTCTCCGAGAAGCGCAAGTTTGGATTTGTGGATGCTCAAAAAGAGGACATGCCACCTGAGCACATCAGAAAAATCATCCGAGATCATGGTGACATGACGAGCCGCAAATACCGTCACGACAAAAGAGTATATCTCGGAGCATTGAAATATATGCCCCATGCTGTGATGAAACTTCTTGAGAATATGCCTATGCCATGGGAACAGATCAGAGATGTCAAGGTCTTGTATCATATAACTGGTGCTATCACATTTGTCAATGAAATCCCATGGGTCATTGAACCAGTATACATTGCACAATGGGGCACTATGTGGATCATGATGCGCAGAGAAAAACGAGATCGTAGGCATTTCAAACGCATGAGGTTCCCGCCATTTGATGATGAGGAACCTCCCCTGGATTATGCTGACAATATCCTGGATGTAGAACCCTTGGAGCCTATTCAAATTGAGCTGGATGCCGAAGAGGATGGTGCCGTGGCATCTTGGTTTTATGACCACAAACCACTCTTAAACACAAAACATGTCAATGGTTCGACATACAGACGTTGGAATCTGACATTGCCACAGATGGCGACACTGTATCGTCTCGCCAATCAACTGTTGACTGACTTGGTAGATGATAACTATTTCTACCTGTTTGATTCGAAGAGTTTCTTCACAGCTAAAGCTCTGAATATGGCAATACCTGGTGGTCCAAAGTTTGAGCCTCTAGTGAAAGACAATTCAGCTGGAGATGAGGACTGGAATGAGTTCAATGATATCAATAAAATCATAATCCGTCAACCAATTAGGACAGAGTATAGAATTGCTTTCCCATACTTGTACAATAACCTGCCACATTTCGTGCAGCTGTCGTGGTGAGTATCTGCAATAAGAATAGTAAATTTCTCTAAGTACCGGATATTGTAGTGTCGCATCCACATACAACCTATTTAAAGATATTGATTATTGCAAAAATTATTCAGGAAAAATTTATTACCAATAAAATTATCTAAATTAAATGAATTTAGATCTCTCCATTCATAATTTGATGTTCCATTCCATGTAGTCTGAACATATTTGAAGTACTGGCATAAGCCAGTAAATAATTATTAAATATTTTAAATATTAAAGTATTCATAAACTTTATATTATTGATTATTGTTTTCAAGCTTCCAAAAGATTAAAATTGTTTAACCATATCTTTTGTACATCTGTAATATCTGATCACAGGTACCACACACCAAATGTAGTGTACATTAAAACTGAAGATCCCGACCTTCCTGCCTTTTACTTTGATCCCCTTATCAATCCAATTTCACATAGACATTCAGTCAAGTCTTTGGACCCAGTGCCTGATGAGGAAGAATTTGTGCTACCAGAGGAGATTTCTCCCTTCTTGCAAGAGACTGCACTGTACACTGATAACACAGCTAATGGAATTGCACTGCTATGGGCTCCCAGACCCTTCAACACACGTTCAGGTAAATGTTCTGTATAGTTCTGTGATGATACTTCTGAGTAAATAGTTGATAAATTTTATTCCACCTTATACTTTATAGTAAATGTAATCTATCATCCAAAACTCTTTAAAAATCCTATTTCAATAATGAAGAATAATTCTAATAAAATTTTCTTTTACAAGGACGAACTCGTCGCGCTATTGATGTGCCTCTGGTGAAGACATGGTACAAGGAGCATTGTCCACCAGGACAGCCCGTGAAAGTCAGGGTCTCATATCAAAAGCTCCTGAAGTACTATGTGCTCAATTCTTTAAAGCATAGACCGCCAAAGCCGCAGAAAAAGAGGTAAGAACTAAGGATTAAAATTTATTATTTGTACTATAAACTGCTTGTTACGAAGGACAATCTACTTAGTATACATGTGATTCAGCATACCAATTAAATGTTAATAATAGTTATTAATTCATATAAAAAAAAAAAAAAAAACTATTATTTAAATAGCCGACTAGTAGCATTCTCTAGCAACCTTTGGAATTAACATAGTAGATTTAATGCTTTATTAGAGTTTTATTGTTGTATATCTTAATTAAGTATGTAATTGTTATTATCTGATCCAGATACTTATTCCGGTCGTTTAAATCGACAAAATTCTTCCAAACCACAACCCTGGACTGGGTAGAAGCGGGACTGCAGGTGTGCCGCCAAGGATACAATATGCTCAACCTGTTGATTCACCGGAAGAATCTTAATTACCTTCATTTGGATTACAACTTCAACTTGAAACCTGTGAAGACACTTACTACAAAAGAGAGAAAGAAGTCTCGATTCGGAAATGGTGAGTCTAATTTGACGTCATTCTAAATTTTTTAAATCAATATGTTTTTCTTTTCTCCCTCCAAACTCCAAACACCTAGCATATACAATTGTTCGAGAGAAAAAACAAGTAACACTCTTTCTATCAGCGATCCATTTTCGGTAGTCTTTAGTAAAAATATTATTTAATACATGTATATTTGTTTATATTCAAAATATTTATTCTTAACCCCATTTCCACTAAAATTACAAAATATTGTGTTTGCGATTCATGACATATAGAATGGGGAAGTATTTTATTTATAATTACTTCTTATATCTTCTTTTCTCTCATTAATATATTCATAAATGGCTTTTTTTTTATTAGCGTTCCATTTATGCCGCGAGATTCTGCGGCTGACGAAACTGATCGTGGACTCTCACGTTCAATATCGCCTGAACAACGTGGACTCGTTCCAACTGGCTGACGGACTGCAGTACATATTCGCTCATGTCGGCCAGCTGACAGGAATGTACAGATACAAGTACAAGCTGATGAGGCAGATCAGAATGTGCAAGGATCTGAAGCATCTTATCTACTACCGGTTTAATACGGTCAGTTTTTAATAAATTGTTTATGAAATAAAATAAAAAATTACAGCTACAAGATAAAACAACAATTGAAGAATGCAAAGAAAAAAGAAAAACAATAAATAATATTATAATACTACTTAATTTTTAAACTTAATTCTAATTACAATATAAAGAGTTAATAAAAAGTACTATTGGCTCATGTATGAACCAAAAGTGGAGTTGAGAACCATCGTTCTTTCCTTGGAAATTCGCCGGCGCGTTTTGCTGACTCGTCGCTGTGTATGATGGTGGTATGATGCATCGTGTGGGGCCGCTGCTTGTGCAGCGCTTTCCACGAATTATATCTTCATAACGAGCATATTCGCTGCTTTTGCCGTAATTTTAACATTAACAAAACAATTCATCGTATTTTATTTGTACTATTATTAGACATCAGTACTGTCAATTAGGGATCAATTATTATTAAGTTGATTTGAAAGAGATTATACAAATTAACGTGAGTGGCAGCTAAATAGAATATAATGTAACGTAGGTGTGCCTACCCCTTCCTTTCCTGTCAGTATCGTAAGAGGCGACTAAAGGAACTTAATGGTCGAGGGTTGAGCATTCCTCTTAAAACATCAAAGCCTAACTGCGGTTGCTAACCCACCTGTTTTGTGGTAACTACTGGAAAAATCCCCCCAATAGAGGGAGGTTCTGTAATAACACAGTTAACGGCTGTTATAACACAAAAGTTGCTTTCACAATTAAAAATCATAGCCTATATTATATAACACTATTAGAAATATCAGCTTGTTAGCTGTTTAACAAAGTTATTTAAAAAAAAATAGGCCTTTTCAAATTGACAAAATTATACATGAGAACTATATATTATATTAATTAACTGAATTTAAATTGTTAATCTTATTTTATATATATATTGTTCTTTTAGGGTCCAGTGTCCAAAGGTCCCGGTTGCGGTTTCTGGGCACCAGGCTGGCGCGTGTGGCTGTTCTTCATGCGCGGTATTACGCCTCTGCTGGAGCGCTGGCTCGGCAATTTGCTTTCTAGGCAGTTTGAGGGCAGACATTCCAAAGGTAAGCATTTCCCAGAAAGCTCTGTACTATAGCACTTAATACATTAAAAAATTTTATACATTAAATAATTTTATATACTGTTATTTACAATTTCCTCCATATAACCAGATTTCTGACCTTTTTTATTTCAAGTACCTATATATGATGCTATATGTAATAGCCTTTACTTATGTCAAAAAGGTGCACTTTGATAGAAGGCATGTTTATATATATTTCTTCTCAATAGTATCTATTTAATGCACTATAATAATAATTGAGTTTTTTTATTTACGTTTAATTTGTCACCACTAGGTGTGGCCAAAACGGTGACAAAGCAACGTGTGGAATCACACTTCGATCTGGAATTGCGCGCCTCTGTCATGCACGACATCGTCGACATGATGCCTGAAGGTATCAAGCAGAACAAAGCCAGGACCATCTTGCAGCACCTGTCTGAAGCGTGGAGATGCTGGAAGGCGAATATACCATGGAAGGTTAGTATTTCTTTAATGTTTGTTAGATTTCTTCAAATTTAGTAGAAACAACTGATGTATTTTTATTTAAACAAATTTTAATGATAACAGACATAATTAAATGAAAACAGGTTCTCTGACATATACATATTTTAATAGATGTATTTTAATGAAATATTTGCATTATTATGCAAAAAAATCATAGCTAATATTTTCTTTTTACCATTTATAAAATTAATTTGATATGTGTGTACTGTATTTTTTTTTAAGTTTTTCTGAGTAACCTAATTGGCATAAGCAAAATACAATGATGTTTCCATTCTATCTAGGTACCGGGTTTGCCGACCCCCATAGAGAACATGATTCTCCGCTACGTAAAGATGAAGGCGGACTGGTGGACCAACACTGCGCACTACAACCGCGAGCGTATCCGTCGCGGCGCCACTGTCGACAAGACTGTTTGCAAGAAAAACCTCGGTCGACTCACCAGATTGTACCTCAAAGCAGAACAGGAGCGTCAGCACAATTATCTGAAGGTAAAATAATAAAATGTATCATGTGATACTGTAAGGATGTGCGATTTTTTTTATGACATAGTCTAATACGCTGATACTTTTTTTAGTCTCTGATCTAAGGGTTATGACAGTGAATAAAAAAAATGATACATGTAAAGTTAGAAGACTTTACCACTAGCTTCTTTTTGAGTAGGACAGGATACTATTATATTGATTAAAGTGAATCTTAGAATACAAGACCATTGTTTTCTCTGTTTAATCTATTTTAAATTTTCTACTGTAATATTTTGAGGAAAAACTACTACTCTATGACTGTCTACTTTTCTTTGTTAAATTATATTAATAATACCTACTTAATATTTATTTTATAGCTGATAGTAAGTTTGATACATAATTTACAATTGTATAGGACGGTCCTTACATCTCGCCCGAAGAAGCGGTCGCCATTTACACGACAACGGTTCACTGGCTCGAATCGCGTCGTTTCGCGCCGATACCCTTCCCGCCGCTGTCGTACAAGCACGACACGAAGCTGTTGATTCTAGCGCTCGAGCGGCTGAAAGAGGCATACAGTGTTAAATCCAGATTGAACCAGAGCCAAAGAGAAGAGCTCGGCCTTATTGAACAAGCGTACGACAATCCTCATGAAGCGCTATCAAGAATTAAGCGTCATTTGCTCACACAAAGGACTTTCAGAGAGGTGGGTTTTGTATTTCTATCTGTTGCTATAAAACTTAATGAAAAGGGAGTCAAGTTTGGTTCAAATTATTACAGAAACAAGAAATTAACTAAGTAATAAATGAAAACAACTGATTATTGATTTGTGTTACTATTAAAAATCAGCAGACTGGCTTTTAATCAAGTATTCCTTTGCATACATTTTCATTAAGTAATAATAATATTCAATAAAAAATTAATAAGTTTTGTTTTTTATTAGACATGAAAATAATATGGCTCTTAGAGTGTTTTCTGATGTTTTTATTTATCTATTTTTTATATATTCTCATAATTAAGAACAAATCTTAATTCTATAAATAATTAAGGTGGGCATCGAGTTCATGGATCTCTACTCCCACTTGGTTCCCGTCTACGACGTGGAACCCCTGGAGAAGATCACTGACGCATACCTGGACCAGTATCTGTGGTATGAAGCTGACAAACGAAGGCTTCTGCCTCCGTGGGTGAAACCAGCAGATACGGAACCATCGCCACTGCTCGTTTACAAGTGGTGTCAGGGTATGTGAAAGTTTTTTTTTAAATAAAATGTTGGCAGTACTATTATTTTGACTGAGCATAGAATCTGCTTGATGGTTATAGTTTGTTAGTGGTTATCACAGTATGAATGCTTGCAATACCAGAGATGTCACTCGCACATTATTAAATATGTGAGACAGGGGACGAGTGAAAGAAGTGGAGGTTGAATAGGCACTGACTTTTTTATAAATGTCTTTGACCTTATAACATACACAGGTACCAACCTACTAATAATATAAATACATAACACACATTGTCTTCTTTTGTCACATTGAAATCTCGATTAATGATTACTCATTGATGTCTCTGCCATATCTAACTCTTTAAATGGATCACAGCTTACAAGTAAGCTTGATGATAGAAATAATTTAATAGTATTGTAACATAGAAAAATCTTTTATTTTTCGTACATGATTATGGTCATTCAAGTAGATGATTTTCAATTAATTATTTAATATAATAATAATGTATTTAATATAGTCTGTATTAATGATAGCAATAATCTTACAAGCCATTTTTCTAGAAAATAAAATGTCTATTGCACATCTGCATATATTACAAGGAAATTTTATTGCTCTATTATTCTTGCAATTGTTTGTAGGATTTTAAACCATATATGTATACATGTAAATACAATATGGATAGAATAAATAGTTTTAGGGTCAATGTATTAAATTGACAATATATTATATGTGCAAACTATTCTTTATTTATTTGTACAAGCAAAGAAAAACGAAGATATGCTGTACTGCGATTGCCCAGAGTGTGCGTTGTGGCAAAGGAGATATGTATGTAAATACCATCCCCTTGTTACAAACCTCACTTTGGTTGGTTGCACTTATCTACGAAAGAAGAGGAGAGAATCATGATTATAATATTTTGTAATGACTGTTCTAGAAAATAATTATTTTAAATAATGTCACGTAATCTATTGTATGTTCTAGAAGTGTATATGTTGCAGTCAAAAGTACTATTGACTAGCAAAGTCAGTCAAAAGTGCTTTTGATCATATGCTTTAGTCAATAATACTTTTGACTAAAATAACAAATAAAAATACCTAACCTAACCTAACCGCAAATTTGCGGGGGGAAAGGGATTGTTAGTAATGGAGACTGAGAATCCCATTGTTAGCAATATACCCAACCAGGTCGACCTCCTCGCGGTTCCCCCTGGAAACTATCATGGTTAATTCCTGGTGGATTTATCATGATGGGCTATCTGGCCTGTTTTCATTCTCATCTACCACCCTTCACTGGTGCCCCGCCAGTGTATTCCGCTAGCGCAGGCGGGGTTACCATTCCATTTTCACTCATCAAACAACCGCAAATTTGCAGTTAAAAGTACTAATAACCAATAATTTTCAGTTAAAATCACTTTTGACCAACCTGTTCAGTCAAAAGTACTTTTGACTGATTACGAGTATTGACTGCAACATATATGTTTTAGTGAATCTTCACGTACGATTTTGTACGAGGTACATGAAATGAATTATCTCTTAACATAAAACATATTACACAGGTATAAACAACCTTCAAGATGTTTGGGAAGTCGGCGAGGGCGAGTGTAACGTACTGCTCGAGTCTCGCTTCGAGAAACTCTATGAGAAGATCGATTTGACGCTGCTCAACAGATTGCTGCGTCTAATCGTGGACCATAATATTGCCGATTATATGACTGCAAAGAACAACGTCGTTATCAATTATAAGGTATGTCACTCACAGCTATGATTTATATTTAATAGAATAAATTTTAATAACAGAGGGCCTACCATGAAATGTTTTTCGAAATTTCAGGTTCGAACGAAACACAAATTTGATGTTGAAATTACATGATACATACCGTTTAAAAATATTAAAAATGCTAAAATATCGTTCCTTTAAAATTTTATAGTAAGATTTATGACAAACGAAATGTTAAGCTCCATTTATTGGGTCGATTTCGGTATGAACAAAAACACGAAATTGATTCCGAAAGTTCGGAATTTCATTTCATGGTAGACCCCCTGATTATATATAGAGATATCCTAGATTAAAACACATAGGGAACTTTCATAATGTTACTGTTACTGTCATATCTTACCAGAGGGAGACTGTATATAAGTCGTTTGCTTGGGCACCTCTGACCCGTTCGTGTTTCTACCGTAAAGCAGTTGTTTGCATGGCTGTGTTTCGGTTTGAACGGTGGGATATGCCAGTGAATTTACAGGGTACAGAGAAATAACACCTGAGTCCTCAGGAATGGCAACACATAGTAGGTATCATGGGCGTACAGCCAGGCAGTATGGGCAAACAGTATACTGTTATCTCCATGGTACTGCTCATATCTATAGGCGACGGTTACCACTTTCCATCAGATGGGCCGTCAGCTCGGTTGCCATTTTAAGTCGAATAAAAAAAATATTATCGTAGTATAACAACATTTATACAGATTTATAGAGATGAATTTAATTTTCCACAACCATATTGTGAATGTCCATTATATGTCGAATATAGTAGACGTACGCGGTTTTACAATTTTCATATACTTATATGCTAATGATAAAATTATATCAAATTATAAAATCATGTATTAACTCTAGGGGCCATTTATTTCTTATTATTTTATGTATTTTATATGATGGAACTGTTTAACATTTTTAAAATTTAATAACTAATCTGTTTACTATAGGACATGAACCACACAAATTCCTACGGCATCATTCGCGGCTTGCAATTCGCATCGTTCATCGTCCAATACTACGGCTTGGTTCTGGACCTACTAGTACTGGGATTACAGCGCGCCAGTGAGATGGCGGGCCCGCCGCAATTGCCAAACGATTTCCTGTCCTATCAGGACAGGCAGACTGAAACGGCTCATCCCATTAGGCTGTACTGCAGATATGTAGACAGGATTCATATATTCTTTAGGTAAATATCTCAAATATGTGCTATTTGTTTATAATGCATACTTAAATTGTTTCACATTTCCAGTATGATTTATTCAACGATTGTTATTGTGTCCATACTGCTTCTGTTCTATGTATCATATACAAAGAATGTATGTTTAACATAACAAGCCAGTTTTTTCTATTTATTTAACTCTCCTACATTAAAATGGAAATAGATTATAAAACAATAGTTTATAATGTTTTTAAATTATTTGTAAAAAAATTATGTACATGTTGAGATTTGAACCGATCCCTGTAGTAGTAGTAAGCAACCGCTACAAAACCTAGTTAAAATGTTAAGATCCCAGGTTAACATTGCTTTTAGCTAAATTCGTAATTAAAAGAAAAAAGCCTAATAAAAACTAATTTTTAAAATCACTGTATTGGAGGGAGTTTCTTTATTATGCCACTAAGTTGGCAAACATGCTTGAACTTACGTTTCCGACTTTGAAGAATATTTACTCCTTGACAGGTTCACGGCTGAAGAAGCTCGCGACTTGATCCAGCGCTACCTGACGGAGCATCCTGATCCCAACAACGAGAACATTGTCGGCTACAACAACAAGAAATGCTGGCCTCGTGACGCTCGCATGCGTCTGATGAAGCATGATGTTAATCTGTAAGTTCGTCTTACTAATATTATAATATTTTAACTAAACAATGTCTGTACACAAGAGATATTTAAGAAAACTTAATAAGGGGTCTTGATAAGACCAATACATGCCAAGACAATATTTTTTAGGAATTTTGTCTGTCTTTATGTGTAATTTTCACAGTTGTGTCTCTGAACATCTAACTTAAAATAAACTAAAACAAAAAGTATATATTTTAGTTAGATATACCATCTAGAAATAGTCTATTTCATTGGTTTTCCTCCTGAAATCGACGCGTACAAAGCAGCGAGCAAACAGCTATATACTATATTATACAATTTGTTTGTCAATGTGTTGTCAAGAAACTGCAAATTTACTGATATAGTTCTTAAATTCGCAAATTTACTGACATTATTATTTCAGTAATACTTATTTGCCATTGTAAGTTGCATAAAAATAAATTTAAAATACTAAATTTAATTTAATTTTCATAAAATTACATCCTTTCTCTTAACAAATCATAAATTACTTCTCATATAATGTGAGGTAACCTAATGAGAATGAGATGAACTCCTTTAAATTTTACTGTCAGTGAAATCGAAGATCGTTTACAAATAATTACATTTTATTTGTAGTGGTCGCGCTGTATTTTGGGACATTAAGAACCGCTTGCCGCGTTCCGTCACTACCATACAGTGGGAGAACAGCTTCGTGTCCGTATACTCAAAGGACAATCCTAACCTGCTATTCAATATGGCTGGGTTTGAGTGCAGGATACTGCCGAAGGTAAGTGTTGATAGATTTTTCTTTTAGTAGGGAAATTTGCGTTTATTTACATACGACAACGTAGAATTGAGCGAGTCCTATTAAAAAATTTAAATATCTTGATAAAATACTTATTTTGTGTTTTCAGTATACTCTTAGTACCACTTTAAAAGTGGTTTGATAACATTAGGGTTCCATATATTGTGAGTGAACTTTAAAATTCATATTAGAAGCAACGCATCTTATCATATAATATTTTACAAATTAAAACCTATGAATCTATTTGTCAATAATTTAATTTAACCCTATGTGTGAGAAGAATGTAGTACTAAACATGCTGTGTAATTTATTATTCTGCCTATATGCGGCAGCACACTTAGAAATGGATTAACTTCAGTTATGTTAAAAATGAAATTACTTTGCTACAATGTAGTTGATTTTATCTTACTATAAGTATCTTACTGTCAGTCTAAACTCATGTATAATTTAACAGTGTCGCAGTCAACACGAAGAATTATCACATCGCGACGGTGTATGGAACTTGCAAAATGAGGTAACAAAAGAGCGCACCGCACAATGTTACTTACGAGTCGACGACGAATCGCTCGCTCGCTTCCACAACCGCGTGCGGCAGATCCTAATGGCGTCGGGATCTACGACGTTTACAAAGATTGTTAACAAGTGGAACACGGCTCTCATTGGTAAGTTCAAAGTATAAGTTGATTGCCAATGCAATTATCTGTTTTAACACTGGTTTTGTATTTTTATGTGTTGTATAGTTTTATTATATATCGTAAAAAATATCTAGCCTCCCTAGACAAAGTACAAAAAATATAATCTATCGAATAAATAATAATAAAAAAAAAATATAAGAATCACTTCAGTCAACCCTCAAATGAAATGACGAAGACTGCTCACATCATCATATCATTCTATCTCATAGACTCGTTTGCGATAACGATTCTATCAATACATATATGTTTGTATTTTGTCAAAGAGGTCTGTACCAAATTACATCCAAATCCATCTAATATTATAAGGACATGATCTAGTAGAATAGGTAGACCATATTTTGCCTTTTGGAGTATTGTAAAGACTATTTCTAATTTCAATGTATGATTATGCAGACTAGGAATAATTGATAGGTTCTCCTTTGTATTTGAAGTTATCTTGGTATAAAAGTATCAACACTTTTGTGTCATATTCAAAATATATGTTATATTTCAGGTCTAATGACATACTTCCGTGAAGCGGTAGTAAATACTCAGGAGCTCCTTGACCTCCTAGTAAAGTGCGAGAACAAGATACAAACCCGTATCAAGATCGGTCTCAATTCCAAAATGCCTTCACGGTTCCCGCCTGTCGTTTTTTATACACCGAAAGAATTGGGCGGGCTCGGCATGTTGTCAATGGGACATGTGCTTATTCCACAAGTAAGTGAAAATAATATTTTCTTGAAAGTAATGCTTATTTTTTTATGAACATGCTACTGCATCTGATGATAAATGATCGCTACAGCCTAAGAACATTTGCAAAGTATCACTCAAGTGTTTCCTTACTTTGTTACATTATCTTGAGTCACGGTAATCGGTAATATCATCCTTCAAACCAGAACATAACATAAGAAAAAAAAGGAGATATATTGAATATTTTAGATATAAGTGTCCATGCTAGATAACTATATAAATGACCTTTCTTTAATAATGTAATAAGTATTACCTAAAAAAAGAAGCTTTTTATTTTTTCTCTCTTCATATCTCATTCAACCAGAAATTTTTGTAATGATATATTATGATTATTTATAGTCTGATTTGCGCTGGTCCAAGCAAACGGATGTCGGCATCACCCATTTCCGTTCCGGTATGTCTCACGACGAGGATCAGCTCATTCCCAATTTGTACCGCTACATCCAGCCGTGGGAAGCTGAATTCATCGATTCGCAGCGAGTCTGGGCAGAGTACGCGCTCAAACGTCAAGAAGCTAATGCTCAGAACAGGTGAGAAATTGGTACAAAGCATGCTTTAAAATACTACTAAGCTACATCTCATGACTACAATTGTATTGGTTGTTATTGTTGATTTTTTGGTGAACCTGCTTGCGCTATTAGTTTAAGCTGATGGGGTACTAGTGACTGATGTCATCTGAGGATGAAGTCAGGTTAGTTGGCCCATCATTACAAATTCCACCAAAATTAATCAAGACCATTTCCAGGAATCCATGAAGGGTCCAATTTGACAGAGTATATAGCTAGCATTGGAAGTATTACTAATAGGTAATGATGCCTTTCTCTCCTGTTAAGAAGTGATGAATCGCGTAGGGGTCCTGAAACCAGAGAGTCCCTGTGCTCTGGGGAGGGGTCGTGGTCCCACGAACGCTGATCGCGTGTCGATGGGACGCGGCCGCTCTGAGATTACGCTATCTGATCTATTAAAAACTAATAAAAATAATGTTTTTGTAAGCTTAGTGGCACATATAAATCAATATTTATTTTCAGGCGTCTCACACTGGAGGATTTGGAAGATTCATGGGACAGAGGCATACCCAGGATTAATACACTCTTCCAAAAGGACAGACACACCCTAGCTTATGACAAGGGCTGGCGTATACGTACAGAATTCAAACAGTACCAAGTAAGTTTTATATAATTGTAAAGAAATCTTTTTAGCTAAGTTCAAATAAACGCCATTTAAACTTAAGAAAATGTTATGTACTAGACTCAAAAATAATTTAGGTAAAGATTCAAAAAAATTACAAAAAATAAAAAAAAATCCAAAGTTATTTTATGTGTATTTTCTGCATTTCAATAATGTCATTATATATAGATTATATAAAAAAATATAATAGTAAATATCTCTAGTACTTACTTGTATACTTCATTTTCTACTCAGGTGCTCAAGCAAAATCCGTTTTGGTGGACGCATCAGCGTCACGACGGCAAGCTGTGGAACCTGAATAACTACCGCACAGACATGATCCAAGCACTCGGCGGTGTCGAGGGCATACTCGAACACACGCTGTTCAAAGGCACATATTTTCCAACGTGGGAAGGTCTTTTCTGGTAAGTTGTTTTTGTTACATTTTAGTAATAAATTTTTCACATCATTTTTACTACTTAAATTAAATTTCGTACAATTATTCTATTAAGTGTCGAATCAATTGCTGCATAATTGAAATTATTTTAAAAATTAGAAACACATTTACAAATTGTTGCAACAATTATATAATGACAAAAAACGATTACCAAATTGTGTGATAATTAAAAGAAATGGACTTCGTAAAAAGTCATATGGCCAAACAGAAAGTAAACGTTGAGATGATTGTAAATAGGTGAATTGAATATTTTTTTTATTCCAAATATTCAGCATACTCTTTACTTACTTTTTTACATCTTTTTACATTAGTTTGATATCTTGGCACTTTATATCAAAATTCGATTTAGCAAGTAATTTAAATTAAGTGATACAAAAGATGTTTTGTTTTAGATATAGCTCTAACTAAAAATTACTTGGTGTAAGGGCAGAGAAATTATGATAATAACGTGTAATTAATTATTCAGGGAAAAGGCATCAGGATTCGAAGAGTCGATGAAGTACAAGAAGCTGACGAACGCTCAGCGTTCCGGTTTGAACCAAATTCCCAACCGTCGCTTCACCCTGTGGTGGTCTCCTACCATCAACAGAGCCAACGTCTATGTCGGTTTCCAGGTCTGGTTACAACATTCATTTTTAAGAGTGTATAATTTACTTAAAAAAAAAATTAAAAAAATCATTTAGAAATATTGTCTGTCAAAATTCGATGCACATTATTCATTTAGTATTTATATATATTTTTGTATAATAATATGTTGCTTATGCTTTATACAGTGAAAATTTTTACGTGTAATAAGTAAAAATTTGGTACTTCGAACCAATCATTGCAATTAAGGTATGCTGCTCTATTGATTATTATATTGTGATGGTATTGGTCACTATAGATATATGTTAATAACGAAATTAAGGCATGGCTTAACTGTTCACAATAATCAGTTAAAAACCATATTTGATAAAAATACAAATAGTGATCAATATTACTTAGAATTTTTTCCGTTTAATTCCTCATGATTCTTTTAAAATGATATAAATAATGCTATTGCAATATTTCATGTATTTTATCTATACAAATGTGTTATAAATTTATTGTTATCATACAGGTACAATTGGATTTGACGGGTATATTCATGCACGGCAAGATCCCCACGCTGAAGATCTCACTAATCCAGATCTTTAGGGCTCACTTGTGGCAGAAGGTGCACGAATCAATCGTCATGGATTTGTGTCAGGTGAGAAATGATAAATAGAATAACAAAGTAGAAACATTGTTATTTATAAGTCAATATCTGTACTAATATTATAAATAGAAAGATTTGATTTTTTATGTTTGTTTGTAGTGTTCAAAAACTACTCGACCGATTTTAAAAATTGATTCATCTAAGGAAAGTTACTTTAGTAGTGAGTAACATAGAATATGTATTATATTTAATTTAAAAGACTTCTATCTACCCATGTGAAGCTGGGTTCAATAATTCAATTATAATAATTAAAATTATTCATCTCACAATAAATAAATTTATTAATAATTTATACCTTACTAGTGAGGTGAAAAGTGTATTTATATTCTTTCATCTGCCTTTAACTCAACCACAGGATTTTAACTGGGATCACTTTAACTGTTTCTTAGTTATGGTATTCTTCACTAGATAATGATTAAAATACCTTAATTGTTAAAAAAAAAGTTTACTCTCTTGTTGTTACATGAATAATAAGTTTTTATTATTGTTTAAGTTTTCGATCAGGAGCTGGACGCATTGGAGATTGAAACGGTGCAGAAGGAAACTATCCATCCTCGTAAATCTTACAAGATGAACTCTTCCTGTGCTGATATCCTTCTCTTCGCCTCGTACAAGTGGAATGTATCCAGGCCATCACTACTAGCCGACACCAAGTATGTTTTTTTTTTCTAGGTAAATGGTTACAATAACCTAAGATTTTCTTGTAAAAAGAGACTCAAACATCACGGTGGGATATTGTGGGCCATTGCCCAGAGGACATGTTAAATTTGCAGAGTGGCTTTCTATGCAATCAAATCGGAATAAAAAAAATATCAAATAGACAACATAAATAAGTGCTATAAAGAATATATAACTGTTATTTAAAAAAAAAAAAATACCTACAGCCGAGTTTCTTGCCTGATTCGTAATAAAATGACTATTTAAATATGTTTATAATTTAGTTGAAAAAAAAATTTTCGATAATTGCACGCCAGCTACAGTTGCTAATGATATACAATAATTAATGCAATTACAATCAATAGAAAGAGTATTTAAACAATATAATGTTCATAAACAGAGACACGATGGACAACACGACCACTCAGAAGTACTGGCTGGACATCCAGCTGCGGTGGGGCGACTACGATTCGCACGACGTGGAGCGGTACGCGCGCGCCAAGTTCCTCGACTATACCACCGATAATATGTCTATATATCCCTCGCCCACTGGCCTGCTCATCGCCATCGACCTCGCCTACAATTTGCACAGGTAAGGCTTCAGGCACTTGTAATAGGACGCCAATTATACCTCGTTCTTTATACGTTATTTTAAGGTATTTTAATGTTAAGTTATGCTAATGCCTGCCATTAAAAAAAAATGCAATGCAAATTTGCATGCAAAAAAAAATTGTTGAGGATGTAGCCAGTTCAGTTGGCCATTTATGAGGAAGTAACTATGACAGTTTCTAGAGGGGACCTTGTGATACTACTATAGACCTAATAGAGTTTCTGTAGGGGGAAAGGAATTGTTAGTAATAGGGCAAAACAGCCCCATTCCCTGGAAACCATCATTCGATGTTCTATCATTGTATACTAGGGCAGGTGGGGTAATCTTCCAATTTCATCCAAAAAAAAGTTGGGTTTCTGCTAGCAAACCTTAACACGGACAATCCTCTTTCCATCTGGTTTTCAGTTTAAAAATAAAAAATATGGAAATTACCAAGTTAATGTGTGTCAGTTCAGCTAGTTAAAACTTATAAACAGTTTTTTTTTTATATATTATTATCTTTGCACTTCATCTTAAACTTATTACATGTTGAAAATTTTTAATAATAATTAATCTGTGAAGAACAGTAGTTAGCTGCATAATAAACATCTTTGAAAATAAGAAATTAATATCGGTCACGCCAAGATTGAATTATATAATTATATATTAATCTTTCACAGTGCTTACGGCAACTGGTTCCCCGGCTGCAAACCGCTCATCCAACAAGCGATGGCGAAGATAATGAAAGCCAACCCTGCGCTCTATGTACTCCGCGAGCGTATCCGCAAAGCTCTGCAGTTGTACTCGTCAGAGCCGACTGAACCGTACCTCTCGAGTCAGAACTATGGCGAGCTGTTTTCTAATCAGATCATTTGGTAAGTGAATTAACTCTATTTTTGTCTATAATGGTTTATAGATCTATTAATTGGATAGAAATATTGGATAATCATGTCAACCGTTAACTGTTCACTGTAGAACATAAGCCTCCACAGGATTTTGGCAGTAGTTACCATTCTTAGCAGTTCGGTTGGTAAGCGCAGTTAGGCTTTGGTAATGTTTAAAGAAGGACACTGTTGTTTATCCCTTGGTCATTAGGTTATTATAATAACAGACCATAGAATTGTAATAATATATTCCTAGAAACAAATGTAAATTTATTTTAGTTCAACAATCAATCAAGACAATCTCAATTTGATAAAACATAGATAAATGACGAGATTATTAGATTGAAAATATTTTAATTTCAAACACGGGGTCTTTACGGTATAGAAAATTTTTAATTTTAATATAATTTAGATAAATATAAATTTAGAATAGTGTACAAGAATTAACATTTGACGATGTAATCGTAAGCTCTTTATAAAATTAGTAGTCTTATAAATTTTAGCACAGCACCTATTACATTAGATATATCCAATTGTATTTTGCCTCACCAGGTTCGTGGACGACACAAATGTATATCGTGTAACGATCCACAAGACGTTTGAAGGTAATTTGACTACAAAGCCTATCAACGGTGCGATCTTCATCTTCAACCCGCGTACTGGCCAGCTGTTCCTGAAGATCATCCACACGAGCGTGTGGGCGGGACAAAAGCGTCTAGGACAGGTATATTTTATATTTTTACATATTGACTGTGCTGAATTAAATTTCATCATTTTATAAGTACGTAACATAAACTACAAATTACTCTTTTTTTAACAGTAATTCTTCAATTATCCATTCCATTTTATATTTACTAGTTTTTACCTTGTATTCTAAATTTCATATTTGATTGTTAAGGTGCGAAGATATAACAAACTCATTTTCACAGTTAAAGTAACAATAAGTAAGAACAGAATATGCATTAGTAATATAGTACATAACCTTACATAATGATAAATATAATATTTTTGTGATAGCTCGCTAAATGGAAAACTGCTGAAGAAGTAGCAGCTCTCATTCGGTCACTGCCAGTGGAAGAGCAACCTAAACAGATTATTGTCACCAGAAAAGGAATGTTGGATCCACTCGAGGTATAAAAAACATTTCTTTTTTATTAATTACAATACGCCAGTATCAAGTTATCTACCTGGTATAATAATTAGTGTCCTGTTTCCAGCAATAGAACATTTATGAGTTGTTATAAATTCATAAATATTTTTTCCTTTTTATGTCATATCTTCAAATTCTAACCTAAATTATTTATAATTCGCATTTTTCTTTTCAATTTAATCAAAGAATAATAAAATTCAAATTATAAAATATTAAAGGTCTAAAAAGTTGCCAGTACGTCACTCGCATTCACGAAGTCATATTTTTTTAGGTCCACTTGCTGGACTTCCCGAACATCGTGATCAAAGGGTCCGAGCTACAGCTACCATTCCAAGCGTGCCTCAAAGTAGAGAAATTTGGTGATCTCATCCTGAAGGCGACGGAGCCACAGATGGTGTTATTCAACTTATATGATGATTGGCTGAAGACCATATCATCATACACTGTGAGTAATAAATAAGTTTCATTCATGTTATTTCTAAATGAATATAGTAATTTGTTTTGTTATAACTACATGAACATTTATGTATCACATTATCAATATAGTTTATTGCATTGTTAATGGTAACTAAAAGCACTTATGTTGGCTATGATCAAGCAGAAGCTACAGCGAGGTTATTGTCTACATTTGTAAGTTGTATTGTCAATATAATATCAGACTCAAATTCTAATTATCACTTTTTATTTATTATATATCTTATAAGTATATGTGACGGAAAATAGACTTGTGCTGATATAATAGCGTGGTTTTCGAAGTGATGAATCGCGTAGGGGTCCTGAAACCAGAGAGTCCCTGTGCTCTGGGGAGGGGTCGTGGTCCCACGAACGCTGATCGCGTGTCGATGGGACGCGGCCGCTCTGAGACTACGCTATCTGATCAATAACCAAACTATAAAGTGTCTTTGTATTATCGTATAAAGCTCGTGAAACACAGATCTCAGTAATTTCACTGCAGTATTTCAACTTTAAACTAGATCAGCATGCTACTGGCTAGCTGACTGAGGTATTCAAATGAATCCACACCTTTTTATGAATTCTCCTTCTAGACATCTATAGAAAACAGCACCTAACGTCTCTCATTGTTCATAGGCGTTCAGTCGTCTTATCCTAATACTGCGAGCGCTCCACGTTAACACCGAGCGTACAAAGGTGCTGCTGAAACCTGACAAGACGACACTGACGGAACCCCACCACATCTGGCCGACGTTGTCCGACGATGACTGGATAAAGGTGGAAGTTCAACTCAAGGATCTTATTTTGGCTGATTACGGCAAGAAGAACAAGTAAGTGTTTGTTGTAATATAATATTAGGATTCATAAGTACAAATTCTTTCAAAATATTTTCATGGTAAAGTGTATATTCAAATGTCTGTTAATTATTAAACATTATGCATATCTATACCTTAATAATCCGAATAATACATAAATATAATCAATCAAGTTTGCATTCACCAAATTACCAGATATCTTTTTCCCACCAAGATTTGACAGAGGTTTAGGTTGTTTGTTATTAGGTATATTTCATACAGTAATGAAAAATAACCTGAAGATTGATGATATTGTAACACGTTCCTATATTGCGATAATTGATTACTGTATCAAAACAATATTCTTGTGAAATACAAATAGTACAGTTTTTATTTATTTAACCACAAAAAAAACTTAATTATCATTTTCTATAACCAACCATTAAATTCCAGTGTGAACGTCGCTTCACTAACCCAGTCTGAAATCCGAGATATAATTCTCGGCATGGAAATCTCGGCTCCGTCCGCTCAGCGTCAGCAAATCGCCGAAATCGAGAAACAGAGTAAGGAGCAGAGCCAGCTGACCGCGACCACCACTAGGACTGTCAACAAACATGGCGATGAGATCATAACCTCCACCACGAGCAACTATGAGTCACAAACATTTAGGTAACAATATTTTTAATATATTTATATATATTTAATTATATTTATGTATTTAATTAACCTTATATATTTAATTACCTTTTTTATTCTTACTCTCTATTCAATGGAAACATTGCCCTCTAATGTAGAGTTTCTACAGTGCTCTCGTATTTTTATTTTTTATTAGACTGTGATGGCAAACAAGCAAACAAACCGTTGCTGTCATCTATGTAACAACAAGGATGTCACACGTGCGTTGCCGACATTGAAGGAACCTTATTGTGCTTATTTTAAAGAACCCCATACTGTAGAAAAAAATTGGCAACAAGATCATTTCACAACTTGAGCAATAGTTATACACAAGACCTCCTGACTAGCTAGATCATAGCATTACCTGACTTCTGAATTAAGAAGCAAATTACAGTTCTCTTTAAATGATCCAAATGTAATTTAAAAGTTAGTAGTGTAAGCTGAGGTTTGATCTTTGTATCCTTGATGATATTCTATTAATAAACATATTGAATCCTAAATATATTTTGTATAAAACTTAGAATTGTATGATAACAATCTGATACTCAAATGATAGAAAATTGTTACTGTCGTCTATAGGCATTAACGGCAGGTTGGACATCATACAATACAGTGTTTTAATGACATCCATGTGTTGCCATTAAGAAGGAATTAAAGTGATGCATGTTTCTGGACTCCAATAAATATATGAAGAGTAAAAATAATTTGGTTTTTGTTCCTTTGTGTGCAGCGCCTTTTATCTGTACTGTTACTATTTGTGAAAACCTATTAGTGGCTTGATTTATGATCCTAAACTGTATCTATTTACTCTGGTGTAGTCCTGGTTTTCCTGTAAATAAATAAATAATGTAATATATATTTTTGTTTGAATACAGTTCTAAAACGGAATGGCGCGTACGAGCGATCTCGGCAACGAACCTACATTTACGCACCAACCACATTTATGTGAGCTCGGACGATATCAAAGAGAGTGGATACACATACATTCTACCAAAGAACTTACTCAAAAAGTTTGTCACCATATCTGATTTGAGAGCACAGGTGAGTTATATTTTTAGTTATTTCAAATAATAAAAAATAACAGTAATCTTGGAATAACACTGATTACGAAGTCATTCAATTGAAATTTTGTCATAATTATTTACTTTTACCTACTGCAGTCACTATATTTAAAAAAAAAAGTTTAAATGCGAAATGGCTTTGAACAGGACTTTGATCAAGCGGCTTATTAACTTTGATAATATTTGAACAATTTATTTTTACTTACAATAATCTACTATTAGACTGTGAATGACATGAGTACGTTGTGATGTCGATCAGATCGCATGCTACCTGTATGGTACATCGCCGGCGGACAATCCGATGGTACGCGAGGTGCAGTGCGCGGTGGTGGTGCCACAGTGGGGTACGCACCAGCAGGTGCACCTGCCGCGTCAGTTGCCACGACACCCGGCTCTCGCGCACCTGCAGCCGCTCGGCTGGATGCACACGCAACCCAACGAGCTGCCACAGCTATCACCGCAGGTAACTACAACCTCTACCTTTAATACATCTGTCACCACCACCCTTGATATAAATCTTCACCCCACAACAACCTACGACCTCAATACAATTCACCACCCCCCACCATAAACCACAACCACCCTCAAGTCAACTTGTATGCTGCTCCCCTGGAAACTTAAGGTTAATTCTTGTAGAATTCATCATGGTGAGCCAATTGGCCTTCATTCATTCTCATCTATCATCTCTAATTGAATCATCGCCAGTGTATACCGATAGCACAAATAGAGATACCATTCTATTTTCGACCATTAAAAACCTATCACCCTTGATACAAACTATTACCATCCATACAAAAGTCGATTGCTTGGGTATCTCTGTCTCATTCGTGTTTCTACCGTGAAGCAGTTGTGTTTGCATGGCTGTGTTTCGGTTTCAAGGGTGGAATATGGCGTGAATTTACAGGGTACAGAGGAATAACATCTGAGTCCTCAGGAATTGCAACACATGGGGGGTATTATGGGCGAAACAGTATACTTGTTATGTCCATGGTACTACTCATGTCATGTCATGCAACGATTACCACTTTCCATCAGGTGGCCTGTCAGCTTATTATAAAAAAAAAAAAAAAACCACCGCATCCAGTCACACATGTGCAACTGTTACATTAAATATGAAATGCTACTTGGTTTGTAAGAAATTTGTACATATCTTACCACCTTTAATTTTTTATTTGATTGACATTATATTTACATGTTTTGTACAGGACATAACAACACACGCCAAGATAATGGCCGAGAACCCATCCTGGGATGGTGAAAAGACTATCATCATCACATGTTCCTTCACCCCTGGCTCGTGTTCGCTCACTGCATACAAACTCACTCCCAGTGGGTATGAATGGGGCGCCCGGAACACAGATAGGGGTAACAATCCCAAAGGATACCTACCAAGTCATTATGAAAGGGTGCAAATGCTGTTGTCAGATAGATTCCTTGGATACTTCATGGTTCCATCGCAAGGCAGTTGGAATTACAATTTCATGGGTGAGTAAAAATATTCTTAAAATATAAATGTATTTAATATTACTATTTTTTTATTTTTTAGTGCATATTTTTGACCATCTATATTCCAATTTTATACAATATGTCCAATGAAAGTTCTATTAAATAATTTTTTTAAATGTATTATGAGAATAGTTGGTTTTAGATAACATTTAGTGCAAACTCATCTATAATATTATTCTTCTAAGTTTATCTACAGTTTTGTAAATTAATCTTTCTCAAATTCACTAATTAAAAAAATGTACAGAAATAATTTTATTAAATTGAAGATGAATTAAATCTATTACTGTTTCTAATAATTTTGTAATTTAACAGGCGTTCGTCACGATCCAAACATGAAGTATGGCGTTCAGTTGGGTAACCCTCGCGAATTTTACCACGAAGTGCACCGACCTGCCCACTTTATGAACTTCGCGGCCATGGAGGACGCCACGGCACCCACACTCGCCGCAGACAGAGAAGACCTTTTCGCATAGTTTGATTACATTTTGTTCTACAAAGAAAGAATGTATATTAATTATCTTTTAAGAAAAATAAATTGTAATAAATTTATAATTGGTCGTTTAAATTATTCATTGCAAGGGACTTCAAGTATTCTGTCTTCTGTTTACCCTGTAAAGCAAACTGTCACGTGTCCCGTGACAAATTGTCACGGACATATACCAGGTATATTAAATGTAACCAATGATAGGGTATTTCTTATTTACCTGGAAATATAAAAGTCTAGTGCCAAGAAACTGTAAACTGCATGAAATTTGTAACATAGATAACTGTTTGATTGATATGATGATGAAAATGATTGGATTTTATCCATATTCAATCATTTATTTAATATTTCTTACAATAATTCAATATGTATATTCCCATTTCTCTAAGACGAAGAAAGATGTACTTCTTTAATCTCAATAAATATGACATCTAAAAATAAATAAAAGCCCGTTCCACAGAATAAACTTTTTTTGTGAATAATTTTAATATAATTAATATAAAATAGTTGAAAATGCAATGTTCCAATTTTAAGACTAATATAAGTGATTAAGGGAATTTTCTTAGTTTGCCTCAAAAATTTAAAATTGAACAACCATTTTGACAGTGACAATATAAGAGTCGACACTAATCTTATATTGACCAAACTTAAAAATTATTCTATGCAACCATCTAGCGATATCAACGCTATAAAATAAATGTATATTTCTAATGTTGCACGATTATTCTAAATATCTATTATGATTTGTATCTTATAGGATTTAGTTTATGGTATAAAAATAATGAAACTCAATGAGCTGGTTGCATAGATTTCATACAAAGGCTTTTTGCTTGAAGTGAATGCATGTATTGTTGACTTGACTGACAATTGAAAATAAATTCGTGTGAAATTTATCTCTTATTTTTTTGTATTTTATATATTATTCAGAAGTTATAGATATTTTCAGTTTTAATTTAGAAAATTCGTACACTAATATGGGTGATCACGATGATTTTGAAGACAGCCAGTATCCGGATAACGATGAATTTATCCCGTATGTAACCGGCAGTAACCTAGCACAAAGGAGTGGCGCGAAAGTGACTCTGTGGGGAAAAGTTGTCAAAGTTACCGCTAACGAAGGATTTTATGTTAAAACTGTGGATGACCAAGAGGTCCTTATAAAGTTGAGGAAGCCTTTAGATGAGCCTCTTGAGGGATGGTACGAGATCTCTGGTGTGTCTCAGGGGAGAGGTGTTCTCTGTGATGAATATGTACACCTACCTGATGAAATATGCAAGAATATCGACACAGAAGGGCACAAAGGCCTTGCGAGATTGCTGGTTGCTTTGGATGATCCTTGGAATCTTGGTGATAATGGTTCTAATATGATGGCAGGCATTGAACCAATGATGGAATGAACATGATAGCAGGCATTGAACGAATGATGGAATGAACATTGTTTATGTACATTATTATTTAAGGAATTAAAATCTCATTTTTATTATATATTTTTTTATTATAATTTACATTTACAAATTTTACGTTATTATTACATGGGGCAAAGGCAAGGCAATGATAAAATTTTATTACAAAATAGATTGTTTCACAAAAAAATATCCAACATTAGATATATAGAAAAATGAAAGATAGTCCCTAGATATGATTATGTTAAAAAATAAAGTATTATTAAATATTCTTACAATAAGTGTCTTGTTTTTGATATGTTATAATTAAAGATTGCATCCGACACAAAAAAATTCAATTGTGACAAAACCAGAAAAACTATTGGACCAATTTAGATTATGAGTGCCAATCTGTAAGTATATACATTCAGATAAAAATTTTCAAGATCGGTTTAGAACTGACAAAGTTATGAGGTAACAAACACAAACGAAATACAGCCGAATTAAGAACCTCATTCTTTTTTAAGTTGATTGATAAGAGAGAACAAAAACATCAGAATTATAAAAAAGGTTTCTTAATTACCTAACTATGTATGATCCCATCATTTAGTACATATTATTTATAAATAACTCTGTTTTATATTTATCATTATGCTAAAAAGCTGACTATTTTTTTGGACATATTGTCCCACCTGTCACATAATTTATTACACTTGATTATTATATGATATTTATTAGCTACATCCCAGGTTATAAAGGATACTGAGAGTGTTTACAGATGAAGTTTGTGTCTTATATTTCTTTGTAGATAGATAAACACTTATTTGAGCCATTTATGACACATGTAAATTAACAAATGAGTTCATACAATCAAAATTAATTACACTTTTTTAAATATGAAACAAAAGATAAAATATGACAATATGTTTTCGCCATGTGTGTCACAATGACCCAAATAGGATACAGCTCAGTGATAGTTTTGCTTAGAAGCAAACCACAGATTTTCAACTGCAGCCTGAAGTTAGGCTATATGACGCGTGCAACAAACCCAAAGTGTCCCTGTAAGACTAAATTAATACATAAAAATAGGCGGGAAAGGGATTGTTAGTAATGGAGACTGAGAATCCCATTGCTAGCAATATACCCAACCAGGTCGACCTCCTCGCGCTTCTCCTTGGAAACTATCATGGTTAATTCCTGATGAATTCATCATGATGGGCTAACTGGCCTGTTTTCATTCTCATCTATCACCCCTCACTGGTGCTCCGCCAGTGTATCCCATTAGCGTAGGCGGGGTTACCATACCATTTTCATCTATAAAAAAATACATAAAAATAGAATTGTATTACATAGATACATACATATATAAACAATATATTTGATGATAACGAACTAAACATACAATATAAATAATTCATCATATTAATCATTTTATGTTGAAAGCAGTTGTATATCTTATGTTTATACAGATATATAGAATAAAGCTATAGTTTTTGGAATGTTCTTCACAACCACTGGCAGTCCACCTCTGTAAACAAGTCCCTCGTCCGCACAGATTATGACGCCCCCATCCAGCACTGCACTCGGGGGTATGCTCTAATTCCACCAATCTCCTTATTCCTCTTTTCAAATGTTTTCATCCGTTTTTCATGCATCACAGCATTGGAGAGAGCACCTTCTATGCACGTAACTGGGCGGTTTCTGAAACAAAATTTATAAATTAAATCACAAAATTATTCATAGAAAAAAAAAAGTGGGAATATATAAAGATGCTATTATTGTAATTCTCGTTTGAAACATCGTCGAAAGCCTAACTGTAATTGTCAACTCGTATGCCAAGCGTGGCAACTACTGGCAAAACACATAAAGGGGTTATGGAATACATATAAGGTTTATGTTAAGCAGTGGCCGATTAACGGCTGATATGATGATGATGATGATGATGATGATAGGTAGTGAAGTAAATTAACAGATAATGGTTGATATAATTATCATTGTTTTTATATGAACAACATATATAGAGACTAAAACAAACACTCATCAATACAAATGTCAATTTTTGAATTCGAAACAATGATAATCAGAATACTATTACGACAATGGACATCAGCAGACTTTTTTATGGTCGAGAAATTAATCTTTCGCTTACATTTCTATTAAGTTCTATTGAATCGGAATGTAATTATAGGTTTAGCATACGTACAACACTTTCATGGAAGGATCTATCTTATGCATCTCAGACTGCAGCTTCACACTAAGAGGTCTGTCCTTCCCGCCCCTCAAAGCCAGCTCCGTCAGGTACCTCTTTATGTACGATTTCAGTTGGACATTTTCTTTCGTTAGTTTAACTTTCTCGGCTTTCAAGCACATAGTCTGCACCTTCACTCTGTTCATTTTAAGCATGAACTTGTCCATTTTGCTGTACTCTTTACATTCGTTCTGTGAAAATTTATAAATAAACACCACTGGACAAAGTTTATGCGATGGGTATTATAGACTACTTAATAAAAATACTTTTTTTTGTTAAAATTATCCAGAACAGTACACACAGACGATTATTGTGCGAGATTTGATTCCGTGACCATACAAGGTCGTCAGTTTGAAGATTATGAAATCCAACATGACAGTAAACCATTATAATTAACAAAATCTGAATTGTAAAATAAAACTTACAATCATCGTCCCGTCAAGATTTTCAAAATCGACCGGTGCTCCATCAGTTTCTATATCCATCATGAACGCCTCATCATCGCTGTGTTCATATTTCCCACAAATTTCAGCCATTTGTAGAATCTTATCTAATTTAGACTTAGTTTGTTCAAGTTGCTGGAAAAAAAATACTAATACATCAATAATAAATAATAGGACATCAGTATCAGCTCAGCAATTCCATGTCCTTTGGATATCATCGAGTAATCAGGATTTTCAGCATTTAAGTTTCCAGCTATCGGGGATGACAGTTTGGGATTATTATGTCACTCTGTCCTTCATCATCTATAGGATCTGCTAGTTTTTTTTTTAATGGGTGATAATGGAATAGCAACCCCGCCCGCGCTATTGGTATACACTGGGGGGGGGGGGTGGCAGCAGTGAGAGATGATAGGTGAGGACGAAGCAGGTCAGTTTGCCCAACGTAACGAATTCAACAAGAATTGTTCGACCTGATAGGGTGTATTGCTAGCCTGCAATTATTGCTAGCCTGCCTTGCGGACCTGTTAGCCCCCATTACTAACAATCCCTTTCCCCCCACCCCGATCTGCTATAGTATTGGTTAATAAGCCACAAAAGCATTTTAACTATTATAAATTGTTTCTTAAAATCTTAAAGTTTTTAATTACTTTCTGAGGTCTAAAATCTTATGCCGCGAAATGTAACATGAATGTTTTTTATTGCATGGACGCTACCAACCTGCTACATGCTTTTATTCCCCTTTTTTTCTAACCCTTTGTGTTGCTGACCGCAGATGGCCTTTACAACTTCACTGGACGCGTGTGCAGGAGCGAGTGCAGACGGCACTCCAAGCCCGCGAGAGTATTTCCCCTTTTGTTATCTTTCGTGATACACTGCATTAATTAAATTCTTTCAGTCTTCATCATCATAGCAGCCATTATCGGTCCACTGTTAAACAGAAAATAATTCTTTCAATGCATGTTACATTACATGTTACGTTGCACCGATCTGTACTCAGCGTTACACTGTTACAACTCATATTATCACTATTAACGTACTTTAATGGCATCTTGACTTGCATTAACCATAATTGATAGTTTTTCATTTCCTTTACATTTGTCCATATTAGAATCTTTCTTCATTTGCCAATACCGCCTCGACAATTCTTCCTTGTGATTGGCCATTTTCTTTAATTTTTGTGCCATCGTATTTGTTGTGCGGATCCACTCTTTTTGTAGGTTCAGCAGAATTTCCTATAGAATTAAGAAAATATTCAATATTTTATTTTAAATTATAATATGGACAACTTATCGACATACTTATCTCTTAAGCTAATGAGAATTCTTGTTTATAGGTATCTTAGTAGAATTCGGCTTTAATTTCAATTAGTGTGTGGTAATTATAAATTTGTTGATTTATAGTTACCACAGCCTACCGACATTTGTTAGGTATATGATTTGCGTCACATTAGTCAATAATAGTACCAGAGACTTAGTACAAAAGTCGTTTGCTTGGGAACCTCTGTCCCATTCGTGTTTCAACCGTAAAGCAGTTGTGTTTACGAGTACATGGCTGTGTTTCGGTTTGAAGGGTGGGATATGGCGTGAATTTACAGGGTACAGAGGAATAACACCTGAGTCCTCAGGAATGTCAACACATGGGGGGTATCATGGGCGAAACAATATACTCTGTTATGTCCATGGCACTGCTCATGTCTATAGGCGACGGTTACCACTTTCTATCAGGTGGGCCGTCAGCTTGATTGCCATTTTTAAGCTGTATAAAAATAATTCAAATCTTACATCAGTTACCCAAGTCAATCCAAGAGGTACCTCACGCAAATTACTTTTTATTATGACATGAAAATGAAATGGCAACCTTGCCTATGGTGTTGGTATATACTGGTGATATACCAGTAATGGATGTAGCCAGACCAGTTATTTTTTAATGGATGATAATGGAATGGTAACCCCGTTTGCGCTATCGGTATACGCTGGCGAGGCACCTGAGAGATGATAGGAGAGGATGAATGCAGATCAGTTAGCACATCGTGACGAATTTACAAGAATTAACTACGATTAATTACGATTACGATACGATACGATTAATACACCTCCACGCGGACCCTCTTGGAGCTTCCAAGAGGGTCCGCGTGGAGGTGTATTTGTCAAGATATATTATTAGAAATGCCAAAACTTTGCCAGACCAGTTGGCATATAGTGATTAGAATTGATCACGATAGTTTCTACGACGGCCGCGCTGACGTCAACTTAACAAGATAGGTATATTGCTAACAATGTTGACTACATTGTGAACCTTCATTACTAACAATCTCTAACAACCCCTACAACCTAACAATCCACCCCATCCACAAAGACCACTTAGTATGAAGTCTTCTTTGGGTGGCTTGTACATCTACCTAAATCTAAATCTAGTTCAAACCTTACAGTGGATTGTTGAATCTTGAGCTCGTTTCTTGCGATATCTCTCCTATAGAAGTCGTCTTTCTCCCTTAGAGTTTGATAATGCCCCATAATAGGGTGGTGTTGTTCTAAATAGGTGTTGTAAACGTCCCTAAGTTTTGCCCAGTACGTCTCGATTTCTAGTCGTTTCGGTCGGCAGAGGATGCGCATATCTTCAGCATGCTGTAAAACAGAAGATTACATTTAATGAGCTACAACGAGGTTTCTTCACAACAAACATTTGCATAATTTAAATGTAATCACGTCGTATAGGTACCTTGTTAAATGAAAGATAATTAACTTCGTGAACTACTAACGACGACGTAAATTTTACTTTATATAAAGGTAGTTAAGCAATTTGGAAATGGACTTAGATAGCGCCTGTAATAGCTTATGTCAATATTATCTAATTTGATTAATTAATTGATTTATTAATTTGTCTTTTAATTAATAATGATATCACTAAATAAAAAAACTCATTTTTCTATCAAGGCAGGAAGGATGATGGAATGCAGTATGTGCGTGTTACCAAATTAGCGTTCTTTAACTACAGTGTACCTGTTTTTTCAAATGTTTAGTTAGTTAAGTGTTAATAGTTCTTGATATAAGTTAATAAGATAATATTATCGTGTTAAGAGAAGAAAATAGTTCTCAGAAATGAAACAAGATGTTATAATAGGTTGTTATGATGTTAACGATTAATTTAGCTAGCTATGAATTGCAAATTTAATTCCTATCTAAATTGCAGACTGTTTCATGTCTGTTTCACAGACAGGTTGATAAGTCCACTTGATTTATCAATCTGAATAAATTTAGTATGCCCATTATAATGGAATTAATACCATAACTATTATTATCTATGAAGCATCCATTCGAATGTACCTACATTACATACATAGCGCTCCAATTTGAGCAACTTGACAGCATTAGACATAATAACAACAATATCAGGAGCAAAACACGACGATTTACAATTGGTCACATCAGGTTTTCCTGCAATTATAGGACGTGGTTGCGTGGTGCGTGATTCCGTTGATATGTCGCCGCTGACGAGACAGCTACAGACACGTGAGGTGGATCCGCTTTGTCCATTCGACACGAGGATTTAATTCCGGAATATATGAGCGTTGAATATATCTATGTGCATTGAAATAAACTTTTTTAAATTACGAGCATAGTAATCAAGGATGTGGTCCGCCTGATTGTAAGCCGCTAACACACCCTATGGGCCCATAAGAGATTGCGATATTATTGACATCACTTGCGTTTATCCGAACCTGTGATTACATATTAGTATCTATCCAGTAGGTAATATAATCAGAAATAACACTATCATATCTTTGTTGATTCATCAGACCAGAACACAGTACTTATATGTTTTACAATAGTTCCTGAAGAGGCACCTTGCACTCGGGTTTAAGTCGCCAAGCAGTCATGCTTACATATTTGTTAATTTAAAGGATAGACAACGACACTATTGCTAGGTAGGGGAGCACGGGGGAATCAGAGCCACAGGGTAATGGGAGTTACTCTAGTTTACATGCTTCTTGACAATTTAGACCCTGTTTTGTTTTAACGTATTACAAAAGGACGCGGGAGGGATGCATATGCCTCGTTGTGTCACCGTTTAGTTGACTTTTAGTACACAAATAAATAGCACGTCAGTTTTTTAAGCTATTCATCTAATTTTTGACAACATTCAAGGACAAATTGTGAGTTTTTAATTTATTTTATTATTAGTATTGCTTCTTTTATCTTATAGATTTATCATTAGAGTATCGTATAAAAAGGTTAATTTATGTAAATAAGCAAATGTATTTTGACAATTATATGAAAACCTAAAAATGAGCATTTGGGGAAATGGGAGTCGAATGGCTCTCATTACCCACTTCATTTCTTGTAGTTTTTTTTCAGATGCCTTGAAAACAAGATAGGATTACGGATAAATATCAGTGGAATCTGGTTACTACACCGTGCTATCAAGAGAGTCAATGAAGATAGAATATCTCTGCATAAGGCTGCCCAAGGGTTTAATATTCCATATAGTACTTTGCAAAAAAGGTATCGCAGAGCAGTACAAACCAATCCTCGTCTCGGAAGGAAACCAATATTTTCTACAACGCAAAAACAAATTTTGGCTGATCATCTCATTCACATGTCGAATCTTTTTTACGGCTTAGACTCCATGAAATTTAGAAAATTAGCATACGAGTGTGCTGAACAGTTGAAGATATCTCATAATTTTAATAAGGAACTTAAATGTGCGGGACCAGACTGCCTTAAAGGATTTTTGAAAAGAAATACTAATATCAGTGTTCGCAAACCTGAGTCAACTAGTATTAACAGAATTGAGGGATTTAACAGAGTAGAAGTAGAATTATTTTCCAAAAATCTTGAGGAACTAATGATAAAAAATAATGATGCAGCGCACCAAATATTTAATGTAGATGAGACGGGAGTGTCTACAGTGCAGAAACCAGGAACAATTTTAGCAAAAACAGGTCAAAAACGAGTTGATACTGTCACTTCTTGGGAGAGAGGAAAGACAGTCACTGTTGTTTGTGCAATGAGTGCTTCTGGCGTTTATGTGCCTCCTATGTTTATATATCCGAGACAACGTTATTCTCCTCTTTTAGAGAAAGATGGTCCTCCGGGTGTAATTTACGATTGTTCAAAAAATGGATGGACAAATGAAAATCTATTTTTTAAATGGTTGCAACATTTCAAAATGTTTGTAAAACCGAGTAAGGAAAACAAAATATTGCTTATTCTAGATAATAATAACAGCCACTCCACTTTAGAAGCATATGAATTTTGCAAAGCTAACTACATCAACATGTTGTCTACACCACCACACTCCTCGCATCGTTTGCAGCCTCTAGATATAACATTTTTTGGTCCTCTAAAAAAAGCATACAATCGCGAATGTGACCTATATCTCAAATCAAAAATATGATTAAAATCACAATGTATGATATGCACATGCCCAATATTCAGGTAGTGATTCTGCCAAAAATTATGTTTGTGATTTTTGTATGAGGCGATAATTGTTTTTAATTACATATAATTATCTATAATTTTGCATGTTCCTAAAGATAATATAATTGTATTTTGAATGAGAATAAGTTTAGTTTATAAACACATGAGGAAAATGTATAATTATACAATATTTTGTTACATATTGTTATTGTGGTTACCATTACCCCGATGGATCTTATTGCCCCTATTTCTGATTCTAATTACCCCGTACTCTTGGCAATGGGAGCCAATGTTACTTTTTTTTTAAGTAAAAATTATTTTCATTTTAAGTAGGTTTTTTTTAATTTCTATATTAACAGGATAAGCCTGATTAGTTACATTATAATTAAAAGAAAAAATTAAAATAAAAAGTGATTTATACAAAAAGTTATTTAAGTTTTAGCTTAAGTGGCGCCAATTCCCCCGTGCTCCCCTACGTAGGCATAATACCTTGATCCTAAACAACACCTGAGAACTACTAGAAATGTGAAATAGTGTGAACTACGTATTGAGCATCACACAATACGTAGTTCATGTATGTATATAGGCAATGCTTACCATTTTCTATTAAGTGGATCATTAGCTTTTTTGCCAATCCAGATCCTCTACTTATCATTCTTACCATTTCTATATACGCGCAATAAATAATGTTGATGAGTTTTTCTTAATTTGATATCATACCAATTCATGAGTATATAAATCGATTAAGTATAAGAAGAATAAGTAGTGTAATAGTAAATAAAGACGAATCTATCTAGGTACCTATTCTAAGGCAAAACAATGTTCGAAACCAATTATAAAACCTATATGTGAGTTTATGAGCGCCGCTAGGATTACTTTCAGAAATAAATATAAATTATAGATTATACATGTACCTATGCTTTTTAAAAAAAAAATAGAAAACTAGAATTTTTTATTAAAATTTTTATTGAAACGGTAACTTAATTAAAAAGAAATGGTAATCTTTTATGTGTAGGTGCGTTTATGAGCGCCGCTTATATTACTTTTAGAAATAAATATAAATTATATATATATATATTTAGATTATAATTGTATGTTTTTAAAAAATTAAGACAGCTAACTAAAAATTTTTATTCAAACAGTAACTTTATTAAAAAGAAATCTTAATCTTTTATGTGTACTTTTTCCCCAACGGGCGGTGCATCTCTTCTTGCAGTTGCACTCTGCTGGCGGCGCTTATATGTCGTATGTTTGTTTGTAGTGTTTGTTTCACGGAAGTAATAGAAACTTGTTTATATATCTACGTCGAATACAACTCAAATTAGGTATCTAATTGATAATTTGACCATAGCATTTCTGTTTCGAATCTTTTGTCTGCCCTAGGGTAGTGAAGCGTGGATGGCATTATATATGGTTCGCCATACAGTCGCCGTCATCAGTATGGTGATTACAACTTAGTGAACATGTGTATCAGATATTGTGTTTTTCTAGTGACTTTGTATTTTTGGACTAGCTATGTGAGTATATAGGCATTCTATAGCTACTTGCATAGTGCATCACGTGCATCAGTTTCAAGAAGACCATACAAAAAGTTTTTTCAACCGACTTAAAAAAGAAGGCGATTCTCAATTCGGTTGCATTGTTTTTTAACGTTTGTTACTTCATAACTTCGTCAGTTGTAAACCGATATAGAAAATTCTTTTTTTTTTTTTTTAATGACTAGTTTTGCCACAATTGGAGAAAGTTTAAATTTTGTAGAAGACAATTTAATTATTATGCAACTTAGAATGACAAAGTAGCTAATTTATTAAAAGTCTTATTAATAATACAAATAATGTAGGCAAAACAATTGAAAATTTGAGAAATTAGGTATAATGAATAGTATTTTTACTAATTATATATATATATATATATATATATTAATAATTTTATATATAATTTAATAATTTACTTTTAACAATTATATTTATATATATATATATATATAATTATTAAAAGTAGGTACTTTAAAAGTCTCTTATTTAAATATATATCTATTAAAGTATATCGATAATAAGAAAGCAGTCTTAGGATACTTCAATGTTCTAAAGTAAAAGTCAAAATCTTGAAAATATTTACAGTGTACTTTTTTTTCTGCAGGCTTTGAACTGTCGCTCCGATGGTGGTCCAAATGAAAATGAATTGAAAACAATATACTCGAACTGCTTAAAAGAACAAGAGAGGAAGAATTCAAGTAATACTCGAAGATATTACAATGATCAGGACTGGACTGACCCTCGAGGGTATAATACTGGAGACCAGTGGGACAGAGAAGATAGAGGACGAGGTGACCGTGATAGAATGGGAAACAGAAATGATAAGTTCGGTGGTAGAAATGATAGATTAAGTGGCAGAGATGATAGAAGAGATAATAGAGATGATAGGACAGGCGGTAGAAATGATAGAATGAATAGAAGAGATATGATAGGTGGTAGAAGTGATGAGATGGGAGGTAGGAATCATGATATGTCAGGGCGCGATGATGATGGATTTAGTAGATATCATGTGACAGGGAGGGACGATTTTATAAACAGTGATGAATATCTAGGTGTAAGTATTTCTGCTTATCTTGATTTTATAGATATATTACAATAAATAGTTATGTATTTTTTATTATATTAGTAAAATATAAGTATTCAATTTAAATATATTTTGTTAGGATATGTCTCGACATCACAACTATTACACATCCACACAATCTTCGAGGAGATTCAGACGTGATCGAAATAAGGAGAAGAATTCAGGGCACCGTAGTCAATATAATCCTAATGCACAAAGACAAATGGATTACGAAAACCGCTATAGGAGTGAGGAACGAAACTCTAGTAGAAACTCCAGCAAAACTGAAGAGAATCAAGCTTGCGCATTGCATTGTTTTTTGGAGCAACTAGAAATGGTTGGTGTGCATATTTAATTTTTAAAAGAGATTTCAATTTATCAATAATAAGCTACCAAGAGATAAGCAGTACGTATTTCTGAACTAGAAAAAATCTCTTAGAATATGTAGGTATCTACTAAAAATGAAATGTTTCAGACAGGTGAAGATGGAATGCCGGATAAATATTTGGTGACACAGATATTAACTAAAGATGTTAAAAACGAAGATCTTACAGATTTCCTTCAAGAATCTATTGAGGAATGTTTCCAAATATTGCAGAATGGTAATCTTTGTTTATTATATTTTCTTTCTTTTGACATAAATGCAAGCAAATTTTTCATATTCTACTATTCTTAGTCTTCAGATTAGATATATTAATTTTGAATAAGATAATTTTTAAGGAACCGTAACTGTCACTGAAAAGTTTAAATATGTAGTTCAATTTGCTAAAGTAACAATCAAAATACGGATATAAAAGAAAATAACGAGATATTCACAATATATTTTATTAATTTAATTTTTACGGTAATTCATGAAATACCTATATTTATTATAGGTCCTATACCTGTATCGTACCGGAGGTAATTTGTAATACAACAACAAAAATTATTTTTGCAGAGAACTTAGAAGAAAAATGTGACTTCTCGAAAAATCTTCTAATGTGCTTAACAGAAAAAGGTCGAGCAAACTGTGACGATTGGAAAGATGATATGCAATTTTAATTGACTTTTCTTTATAAATAATTATATCTTCATAATATATTTGACTTTTAATTACACTAGAAACTGCTCCTTTCTACGACTCGCCTACGAGATAATCAGTCTGCAGAAATCTTACTTTACTGTTCCCGCTATTTCTATGTGAGGATATGTAGATACTACTGTCATACTACATAATTAAAATGGGATCAACATGAGAATAACTTGTATCGATTGAAAAAGTAATAGTAAAACGTATTCCAGAATTGGTAAAGTGCACAAGAATTCAGAAGGATCTTCTTCTTTTAGATGTCCCTTAAAAATATATTAAACTCACCTCTAGTCGTGCATCATTTTTTGCTGTTGCTCGCTGTAACTCCTTCTCATTCTTATAAGCTTGGAAGTCACGATCTTGAATATAGATTATTAATTTTAGTTTCATTTCAGATCTATCTTGACCATCAGTTATGTTCAGTTCTTCTTTATCCCAATTTTCTAGTAGTGTGTTCTTTTGAAAATCATATTCGGTTTGCAATTTATCGAGACGTTGAGAGCCTACACCTGTAATAAAAAGAATTCGTTTAATAAGCACCTAAATGATTTTGTAAAAAAAAATATTAATTTATATACGTTGTAATCATACATATATTTAATTGAAATCATTAGTACAGGGAGTGTTTTTCCAGAGAAACTGAAGTTTCCTAAAAGAATATGGGTCAAAAATCTAAAAATCTATACTGAAAGAAGATACTAATGATTTCAGTTTTACTCACTACAATTTTATATACCTAAAAAATAGCTCAGCGTCTCTGTATGAGCTTGGAAGGCGCGGCGATGCTGGTCATCAGAGTCCTCGATGGCGGCCATCAGTGACTTTATCAAACGATCCTTACGTTCTATCATGAAGTTGAAGCTAGTTATCATTCCCTGTATAATATAAGAACTATTTCAGTTTGTAGAATCATAAAAAAACACCATATAACTACTATTTATTTAATATTAGATTATTTATTTATGATTTTCTATTTCAATATAATTATAAAATACGTCGTTTCGACATCAGAAACATTTTCTATTCGTCCTTCGAGCCGGATCGCTGGTTGCTCAGATTTTTATATTTAGTAAAGTATAATTATGCCTGCTCAAGATTGCGATTGGTATAGAAGAGAAGGTTTTAAATATATAAATTTACATATATAGAATAACAGTGTTACTATTATTATATTGCGATTGTATTATTTTTTCTTGGTTTATTATCGCCCACTTCGATACAATAAATAAATACCTATACAATACGTAGAATATGTAGAAATGATAGGTACTCTTTAACTTGCCTGTATCTCTAGTGCCATTTGCTTACATTTGATTTTTCGTAAAATATACCGCCACTGTTGATTTATTTTGGCCGTGTTCATACGACTGTATGATTCTTCTTTATCCAATTTATTCTGAAATAACAAATTTAGATTTAGATATTTGAAATAATGATGATGTCATATAAAAAAAAAATCTTTTATACGAGGTTTGTCCGGAAAGTACGTATAAAAGTTTTTTAAAAATTTTATTTTACAATTATTCAGGTAAATCAATTTTATCCCCTTCAAAGTACTCCCCCTGTTAATTTTTGCCAACGCCGTTTCCACTGTGAGAAGGCTCCTTGAAATAGGTTTCTCAGCTGCCCCGTCGTAGCTTTTTTTATCTCATTTATGTCCCCCAAATGCCGCCCCCGAAGTACCAATTTGGTTTTTGGGAACAAGAAGAAGTCACACGGGGCCAAATCCGGCGAATAGGGGGGTGTGGGTAGGAGGTGTGGGCAGGGGCATTGTCGTGGTGAAGAATACAACGCCCCTCTCGCGCCAATTCTGGACGAACTCGTGCCACACGAGCTTTGAGGCGTCTGAGCACATCGACGTAGAATTTTCCATCAACTGTCTTGGAGGGACGAATTCGTCGGAATGTGAAGTGGAAGGACGTCCTGAACGTGGGTCATCTTGAACGCTTTCTCGGCCCTCTCTGAATCTTTTTAGCCACTTGTGGACGGTTGGTTCCTTCACAGCATCATCCCCATAAACTGTTCTGAGATCGGCAAAAATTTCACGGCCATTCTTGCCGAGTTTACTTGATTACGACGCGCTGCTCTTCAACGGAAGCGGGCTCCATGCCGACGGGGTTTCGTTAAGAGGTAACTTCACAGATGGCGTGACAAGCCAGTTCGCACCGCACGGCGGTCAGACCAGAACTGAAGCATTGTTAGGGACATAAGGAAGGGGTCCTGCGCTTACCTGGCCTCCCCACTCCTCTTTCTCGCATTCCAGAACACTTTTATACGAACTTTCCGGACAGACCTCGTAGATAAAAGTTTTTTTTTTTTTTAATTTACTATACAGGGAGCAAATACAAACAATATCTTTTGGTATATAGCTTTCAATTAGTAACAATTTTGTTTATACCACCAGAATAGTGGATAAATTTATTTAAAGTTCTTAAAGTTTTAGTAAAGAAAAAAACAATGACTACATTTATATATAGTATTATATATGGAACCATACAATTAATTAAATTGTATATCTTTAAACAGATTGTACAATGATCTATCTATAGAACGAAACAACGACGTTTGGTGTCTTGTTCTTTTTTTCCTTTGTTACTTTAACACGATCTAAGTACAGGGAAAATTTCTGCTTGTCTAACGAGATTGTGATCTTACCTTTATGAACCTGGCTATAAGCTCTCGCTTTCTTCTTCGGGCTTCCTCTTCCATGTCAGCGCGGAGCTGAAGGTACCTTGCTCGCTCTTCATCCGACATCTTGGCTAATTTGTTCACTTTAGGTTTTGGCATTTTGAGGACTTTTAAATGCTGAAAAAATAATTAAAAAAAATCATTTATGTAATTGATTTAACATACTCTTTTTGGCTAAAAAAGAATTCTTATAGAGTTATGCTCGCTTGTTGTACATCTTGGATCAAAATAATTTATATTAATGTGCAATAAAGTACCTATAATTAATAAATAAATACTGTTACAGAATTTTCAAATGGGCAAGACATGAGTAGTACCATGGACATGACAGAGTATACTGGTTCGCCCATGATACCCCCCATGCGTTGCCATTCCTGAGGACTTAGGTGTTATTTCTCTGTACCCTGTAAAATCACGCCATATCCCACCCTTAAAACCGAAACACAGCCATGCAAACACAACTGCTTCACGGTTGAAACACGAATGGGACAGAGGTACCCAAGCAAACAACTTTTGTACAAAGTCTCCCTCTGGTAATTGACTTTAATTAATTGACTTTATTAAATACTTAAAACATATACTTACGTTAGTAGTCACTTACTGGTTTTGATTATTATGTAAAATAAATTGAAATAATACCTTACGTATATTTATAAGAACAGTTTCATTTATATATATCGTATTGGATCTATAAAACAGTTTTACTTATACATAACTTTGAAAGGATATTAAAATATCTATTGAACAAACTATTGTGATAGGTACCACGGCAACAAGTGTCGCTGCGTTCAATCGCCACCGCTGTAAATAGATATGGTAGACAGAAAAACCCGGCAATTTTATGTTATACTAATTGTTACCCACAACTTTGCTTGCGTAGATAGATACATTAATTTATTTGTTGCCTGGGATAAAAACTACTTTAAGTAAAATATTACTAGTATTATCTGTGCTTATATTGTAGCCAAAGTTTGTTTTTGGCGGAATATTGTAAGGATTTTATTTTATGGGTGAAAATGGTATGGTAACCCCGCCAGCGCTAACGGGATACGCTGGCGTAGCACCAATGAAGGGATATATGATAGATGAGAATGAAAACAGGCCAGTTAGCCCATCGTGATGAATTCATCAGGAATTAACCATGATAGTTTCTAGGGGGAACCGCGACGAGGTCGACCTGGTTGGGTATATTGCTAGCAATGAGATTCTCAGTCCCCATTACTAACAATCCCTTTCCCCCCTATTGCACCCATGTTGTACTTTTATACAGGTAATATACGGCTTTATTTGTATATAAATCTTAAAAAGCAACAGGTAAAGAAATAAAAATGTTAAATTATGTTAAGCTTTCAACCAAAATTCCAATTAGTAATTTTTTGATGAGAAATCTCTATTTGTTGCCATAGCAACTATCATTATTTTACTATTGACTGTTACCACAGTTACGTTACATCTATAAAAATCAAGCAAAATTTTATTACATTAGTGAATTGAATTCGAAAAGAGTGAAAAATCTAACTTGAAAGAATTTTTAAGTGATGGACGCAATATCCTCTGGCACTCTTCAGTCACCGTCAACTTTCTCCGAGAGTTCGAAGACAGGAAGTAGCAGATCAGGGACCAGCACAGCTAATACAGAAAAAGATAGGGATCTAACGAAGGACAATGGTTAATGATACTAATATTATAAATATGAAAGCTTGTAAAGATGTTTGGATATTTGTTACAATATCATGCTTAAACAGCTGAAGGGGTTGCAACGAAATACGGTACCTAGTTACGGCTAGTTTAATAAATACAATGATTCACGCGGGTAACGTCGTGGATAACTTATGTGCGTGCTAATAACTTATAGTTCTGTTATTCCAATTCCAGGTGTACCTTAAGTTTTGAAGTAAAGACAACACCATAAATATACCAGAGTGTGATATATATGTTGCAGTCAATATATATATATATATATATATATATTTTAAAACATCAGTAAAAGACAAACAGCAATTGCCAATCCGCCTGCCAAGCGAGGCAGCTACTGGAAAAACCCCCTATGGGAGAGGCTATTAATTTCATACGCAATATATATTATATAAATATTTTTTATAAATATAATAGATGACAACGTAGAAAGTATAATTAAAAAAAAAATTAAGAGAAATAAAAATAAAAATTAATTTTTATTTTATTAGTCGCATCTCCCATCGATCTGGAATGCCACATCCAAACGGAGCGCATCACTAAAATCCTGGACGAAGCCATATACAAAACCAAGCTAGCACTGTGTCTCCCAAAGCTCGTTCAAGAGTACCGGACACTCACCTCTGTGCTGTCCAGGCAACATATGGATGATCTGACCTTTATATTCGAACAATATGATAATCCTTTGTTCTCGACCAGTCTACTGAATATGGCTGCCATGGAAGACTTGAAAGCAGTGAGTGCATCAATATTTTAAGTAACATAGTATATATATCATATCGTAGGTGGGGTGGGGAGGGGAGGGGATTGTTATTGATCGGATACAGCAACCGTATTGCTAGCAATATATCTCCACGCAGTCTCCTCTGAAAATCAATAAAAAAAAATCTCTTGTCACAATGAGATAGCTATAAACATCTAAGTTCAACCTCATCTATCATCCTTCACTCATGTCTTGCCAGCATATACTGATAACGCAGGGGTGGTTACCATTTCATTTACACCACATAAAAAAGATAAAAGGCAATTTTAGTACGTTACTATATGTGTATGAGTTTAAGTCGGATAAATTTAGAAAATCAAATATTTAAAACGGCTCAACTTTATGTGGTCTAAATTATACCTTTCCGATATATTGTTTCTAATAACAAATACTGATATCCCTTTTTGAAGATTAGATAATTACTAGGAAAAAAAAACAGGACAAGGAAAAAATGCTTTTGAATCTTTCACAGTTCTTTCATAGCTGAGGTAAAGAGGTTTCTTCAGGGTCGGCAACGAGCCCGTAATACCTCTGGTATTGCAGGCGTTCATAGGTTACGGTAACCGCTTACCATCAGATGGGCCGTATGCTTGTTTGCCACATCAGTGGTATAAAAAAATATTTTATTTCGACACATTTATTTTACATTATTTTCAACAGACTTCAAAAAGAAGGAAGTTCTCAATTCAGTTGTATTTTTTATGTTTGTTACCTCATAATTACTTTAGTTATAAACCTTGGATAATTCTTTTTTTATTTGAAAAGCTATAATTAGAGGTTAGTCCCATAGAAATTTTATTGATTCTGTTGTTTAGATTTTAAATCAAAATAACTATTTTTTTTCACGATTGTTTCTTTTTTATCGGTTGTTTTATTTATAAAACACAATCTTAAATTATTTAGAAAAAGTTGTTTATTGTTATAAACGGTCGATGAAATTGAAGTTACAAAAAACGTAATTAACAATCTTACATTCCATTCCAATATTTTCTCGAACCCTACATTCTTAAAAACTTATGATTTAAAAGTGCTCGTAAATAATTTCCATAAAAATGATTTGTATTTGTATTATTTTTAGGGTGATATTTCATTGAAGAACCGTTTGAATCCAGAATTAGGACATCTATTGTACATTATGAATAGTTATCCAGCTCTCAAAGACAAAGTCGAAGAAATGATACAGGAGGTAACTATTTTTATATTATTGCATTTATTTATTTATACTTTATTGTACACAAAAAAATATAAACATATTGTTGAACAATTTATAAATAATACAATTGTACATGATAATTCTACGCACTTATACATATGTATATATATTTATCTATTTACTTATTTACGTATTTATATATTTATTCACAATTTGTGTTTGTTGTATTTACATTATTTCACCGGTACCTTTGCACTGGATTACCCAAATTAAATTATTTTCTCTCTAACTACACTGGGTTGGCTGGAAGAGATCTCTTTCAGAGATAAGTCCTACCTTGCTAACAAGTTGTTAAACTAATCATCGCTTGTATTGTTTAAGTGCAATAAAGAATATATATATATATATATATATATATATATATATATATATATATATATATATATAGAGAGAGAGAGAGAGAGAGAGAGAGAGATTCTCTTCTAGTAAACCCTGAGAAGGAACCCTGGAAAGGAGCATTAATTACCAACGAGCAGTGTGCGTACAATAATAGGAGGAAACATTTTATTTATTTATTATTATAAAAAAAATAGCATCTTATTGCAATCAAATAATTAAAACATTTATAATATAATAGAAATATTTCTTAATGTCTTACAGATGAAATTGGAGTATGAAGAAACACGGGAGGTAACCTGTTGTTTTTTTTTCTTTGCCTAGGTTTGTAACGCTAACTGCAAGGATGTTGTATTAGTTCAGGATATGTAATTGGTATGCTAAACTTTATTCAATTCCAATCATACGTTTAGATGTGATTAGACAGCAAATGGTGTAATTCTCTACCATCATGTCAGCCGTTAACTGTCCACTGCTGAACATAAGCCTCCTAAACCTAAACTTTTTCATCGCATTGAGTCCCGATAGTGTATTTAAAAAAAGTTCAATATACATATAAAAATAAGTATTTATAAATATACATAAAGGGGGGGGGGGAACGGATTATTAGTAATGGAGACTAAGAATCCCATTGCTAGCAATATACCCAACCAGGTCGACCTCCTCGCTGTTCCCCCTGGAAACTATCATAGTTAATTCCTGATGAATTCACCATGATGGGTTAATTGGCCTGTTTTCATTCTCATCTATCATCCTTCACTGGTGCTCCGCCAGCGTATCCCGTTAGCGCAGGTGGGGTTACCATTCCATTTTCATCCATAAAAAAAAATATATACATTAAAGTTATTTCCACAGACCAAACCTGTCAATGCTTTGGAGTATTTATTGACGTTCGAACACTTCCGCGATCTGATGGTAACACAAATGAATACCACTGCGGCGGAAGAATTGGCCGCGAAAATTAATACAAGAAAACTAGAAGCTTCCAATGAAAAATTGATTGGGAAAATTAAAGGTTTGTATTCGAATATGATTTTAATATGTTTGTACATAATATAATTTATCGCAGCGTGGCATATTGTAATATTTTATAATAATAATTATATATACACTCCTCGCAAAAATTAAGGGAACATAAAAATTTTTGAAATTTTTGGGTGATTTTCAACAGGCTGTATTTCAGTGAAAAATAATCGTACAGGAAATTTAAAAAAAGGGTTTTGAAGCTTGAAAACTCTAGTTTTCAGATTTTTTGGTAAAAAAATTTTTTGAGCTCCGGTTTCCATGCAATTCTTAAACAAAGCTGAAAATAAATGTTTTCTAAATTTTCTAGGTTTTGTTTTTCACTCTATGGGCATGGAAAAATTTTTTCGAGCTACTCCATTGTATAGGTCTTTTAGCGTGTTTATTCAGCTTCAAAAATCGCTTTGGATGGCTCAATTACGACCATTTGTCTTCGAGATATCGAACTTTGAATGCAAAAGCATCCTTTTCCATTCAACTGCTAATATCTCTGGAACTACTGGTCGTAATAAGCGGGCGCCGAGTTTCTTTATCTGCATAAAATTTCCAATTAAGCACAGTCAAGAGTTAGTGAAGAAAAAATTTTTTTCCACCTCTAACATTGAATTGAAAAAAGTGGAAAAAAGTGACTTTTTCTCCTTTTTTGGTTATTGCTGTATCTTCGCTAATATGGGCGGGAAAGCTAAGGTTTGAGGAAAATTTTAGTCTATTGTTCCTTAAAGAATAAATCCCTGGAGCGATCGGTTCAACGGTTTTCCCGGACCAATTGATTGAAATTTTGGAAAAAATAAGGGAACAAGGTTTTTGTCCCTTAAACTCACCCTAATCCATTCAAAAATCAATAATTTCATTTGTTTTTCACTTTTTTACTCAATTTTTTGTTTTGTAAAAATTCATTATCAAAAAAAAAAATCGAAAAAAATCAAGACAATTTTTAAGAAAAAATTTTTTTTGAAAAGTCGAAAAAAGTTTACAAAAAATTTTTTTTTCGTTTTTAAGGAAATCAAAGTTTTTGACAAAAACTTTGATTGATGATCGATTTACCGCCGGCATTAGCGTTACCCAAAGCATACCACGTGGAGGTTGCACGGTCGGATTTTTCTTTTGTGCTTACGCACGTGTTTATGATATGGGATTCTTCAGAAAAAATGAGACCCTGTGGTTCGTCAGCTCCGCAGTATTTCGTGACTCCAAACTCATTTTCTGAAGAGTGTGTGTGTTAGTGTTGTGTAAGTAATTTTTAGAAGAAATGAGACCCCGTGGTTCGTCAGCTCCGCAGTATTTAATGACTCCAAACTCATTTTCTAAAGTGTGTGTGTGTGTGTTTCTCCACGTGGTATGCTTTGGGTAACGCTAATGCCGGCGGTAAATCGATCATCAATCAAAGTTTTTGTTTGATTTCCTTAAAAACGAAAAAAAAAAATTTTTTGTAAACTTTTTTCGACTTTTCAAAAAAAAATTTTTCTTAAAAATTTTCTTGATTTTTTTCGATTTTTTTTGATAATGAATTTTTAAAAAACAAAAAATTGAGTAAAAAGTGAAAAACAAATGAAATTATTGATTTTTGAATGGATTAGGGTGAGTTTAAGGGACAAAAACCTTGTTCCCTTATTTTTTCCAAAATCAATACATGAAAGATAGGGGTTCTTTAAGGAACAATAGACTGTAAAATTTTCCTCAAACCTTAGCTTTCCCGCCCATATTAGCGAAGATACAGCCAAGTAACCAAAAAAGGAGAAAAAGTCACTTTTTTCCACTTTTTTCAATTCAATGTTAGAGGTGGAAAAAATGTTTTTCTTCACTAACTCTTGATTGTGCTTAATTGGAAATTTTATGCAGATAAAGAAACTCGGCGGCTGTGCGACCAGTAGTTCCAGAGATATTAGCAGTTGAATGGAAAAGGATGCTTTTGCATTCAAAGTTCGAAAAATTGATTGGTCGTAATTGAGCCATCCAAATGATTTTTGAAGCTGAATAAACATGCTGTACATACAATATAAATTATCGAAAAAATTTTTCCATGCCCATAGAGTGAAAAACGAAACCTAGAAAATTTAGAAAAAATTATTTTAAGCGTTGTTTAATAATTGCATGGAAACCGGAGCTCAAAAAATTTATATATATATATATATATATATATATATATATATATATATATTTCCTGTACGATTATTTTTCACTGAAATACAGCCTGTTGAAAATCACACAAAAATTTCAAAAATTTTTTTGTTCCGTTAATTTGTGCGAGGTGTGTATATATATATATATATATATATATATATATATAATTATCAAATAATCGAATCTGGGGCCGCCAGAAGGAGATCACTAAGGCCGTCGTTTTGATGTGACGGTATTACAACAAAATAGCGGTATGGAGATGCTTTTAAAATGCGCACGTTCATGATATCGTCATGATACATATTTCTAAGTAATAATCAATTTAATTAAAATAAAATGAGTAATGACATTCTAGAATATTCGACTTCGTTGAAAGAAGAAAGTGAGCGGTTTGAAGAGACGTTGGCATTGAAGTCGGATATAATCGATAAACTGGAGCATGAACTGGCACTTCTCAATCAAGACGCTAACATTAAACTAAAAAAGAAAATGCAAGTAAAAAATATATTTCTTTAGATAATCTTTTTCTATCAACCGACTTCAAAAACGGGAGATTCTCAATTCTGTTATAATTTTTTTTTATTTCTTACCTCATAAATCCGTCAGTTCTAATTAGATTTGGAAAATTCTCTTTCTACCTGAAAGGATATACTTATAGATTGGTCCATAGACCCAAATTTTATCAAAATCGGTTCAGTAGTTCAGTTTTTAGATCCAAATAACTGGTTTTATCACAGTTGAAGTCGGTTTTTTGTAGGACACAATCTTACAGATTGTTTATGTTATGACAGAAGTTTTTTTTTTATAGAAGATTGAGTTAACTTTTGTATTTTTAGATTGGATTCAGATCGTCAAATGGTGCTCGCTACTAGAGCTCATGCAGTCAAGAATGAAATGCTTAAAGAGGAAGAGATAGAAGTCCGAGAGGCATACGAGTCATTGTTGAGAACGCATTTGATAGACGAAAAAAATCAAAGAGCTCGAAGGTACCTAGTACTCGTCATTAAAATATTTTTTACGGCTGAAATGTTGTATTCGACATAAATGTTAAACATATGAAATTACTACGAAGCATGGTATTTAGTATATGCAACACTAGAAATGGTACATGCCGTTGCCGACTTTTTTTTTATACAACTTAGAATGGCAATCAAGCTGGCGGTCCACCTGATGGAAAGTGGTAACCGTCGCCTATAGACATGAGCAGTACCATGGACATAACAGAGTATACAGTTTCGCCCATAAAACCTCCCTCCCCCCATGCGTTGCCCTTCCTGAGGACTCAGGTGTTATTCCTCTGTACCCAGTAAATTCACGCCATATCCCACACTTCAAACCGAAACACAGCTATGCAAACACAATTGCTCCACGGTTGAAACACGAATGGGACAGAGGTACCTAATCTATCGACAATCGACTTTTGTACAAAGTCTCCCTCTGGTAAGACTTTGAAGGAACCTTAATATATCTTTTTTGAAGAATCCCATACTATAGTCTCTAGGGAAAACCTCAGTAGGGAGCTCATTCTACAGCCTGAGCGTTCGCGGGAGAAAATATCTTTGAAAGTTTTTGCACTGTATTAGACCATTTAGGTTCAAGCGTATGAGGACGAATTCCCTGTCGATGGCGAACGGTGCGATGATAAAAGGTGGCTGTGGGCAATTGTTTTCTAATTTACTAATTTTAATCCCGATAAGGTTCAAAGTGGAAACTCAGCTTCTGTCGTGGCTTCAAAAATATGATTTGGAAATGGGCGACAAGCAAGTGGAATTAGACGAGTTTACAGAGAAATATGAAGATGAAGTGCAAAAATGCGAAGAACTCGAGGTGATTTTTAGTATTTCATGGGCGTTCGAAGAAAAACTTTGTTGTCATCCAATAATTTTAAGGTCAAGATTAGAAATATCAATTTTTTAATTTATATATTGGAGCCCTTATACCTTGGACTTAGTGATTCATTAGTGATCCGTTCCAAACTTACACGGTTATTATATCAGCTGTTAATTGTCCACTGCTGAACAAAGGTCTTTCCCATAAGGGGAGCTGCGTATATGCTTAGCAGGCGGATTGGTAACCGCAGTTAGTCTTTAGTGATGTTTTAAGAGAGACGTTGCTTCTAATTTCTCGACCATTAAACTCCCTAAGCCGTCAGTTACTACACCTACGGGAAAGGAAAAGGTGGCTCCTTCAATCCCGGGACCACACAGTAAACATATGGTTAGATAGAGATAATATTGACAACTTATTAATTATTTATATCTAAAACATAGATACAAAACCGCTACACATTCTTGGCCCTTTTATTTTTATAGATATTTGTGAAGACATATATTTTGCAGGCGAAACTGGCAGAACAAGACAAAGAGTACATTCCCTTAATGGCGGAGCGCGAGGCAGAATATCACCAAGAGATGATGGAGAAGATGACAAAGTTCTTGATCGAACACGCCGCGAGGGTCATACAGTCCGCATGGAGAGAGGTGCTGGCAAATCGTGCAGAAAAGAAGCGGGTCAGTCGGTTTCGTATACCTATTTTTAACCCCCGACGCAAAAAGACGGGTGTTATAAATTAACGTGTCTGCGTGTTTGTTTGACATCGTAGCTCCTAAATTAATAGACCGATTATGATGTGGTTTTTTCGTTTTAAAGTTGACGTGAACGAGACGGTTCTTAGCTACAATATATAGAAATTTGTTCAGGTAGTTCAGTAATTTGCTTTTTCTATGGGTTTGTTTACCGGGGCTTTTTTAGAATTTTCAATAAATTTGCCTGGGTTATTAGTATATGTAGCCAGGATACTAGTGAAGGATAAATAGGTCCAGGAGGGACCGAATGGAGGTTGACTTGTTTCAAATTCAAATTCAAATTCAAATTCAAAAATCATTTATTCATGTAGGACATTTTAGCCGCTTATGAACGTCAAATTTGTACATTATAATTTTATATTTACCCTACCGTCCGTGTTAAAATTTAACCGTGTTAAAATATATTGTGTACCAATGGGGCTATTATTAACAATGCCTTCCAAATTTTTAATTCCTAAAAATTTACCATTGCATATTTATCTTCACGCTAATGCTTTTAGGAGGTATAATAGCGCGTGGAAAAGATACTGACTTGATTTATTATCGTTCCTAAATCATCTCAAATGTATCATCTATTTAATGTTATTTCAAATTTATTAAATTTATTATTTGCGTCTAAAGTAAATTTTTTAATTGAATAATATAACAAGAGCGGCCGACTTGACTACATCCAAGATCTACTGTTTACTGACAAAACCCTGTGCGATCTACCTATTATATACTTCTTGAAATCTCACATGAAACAACATAGTGCAGTACATAATTACGTAGTATTGTAGTATTTTATCATTTTATTGAGAGGGAAAACATAAAACTAAAAATTATTCTTAGTAACTACTTATTTATATTAGTGTGAGCATAGCATCTGAGCATCTTCCGCTAGATTAGCAAAATATTATATTTTTTTGTCCTGCCACGATCGACTGGATTAATAGTTGCGATCGACCGGTCGGTCGCAATTAACCGGTTGGCCACCCCTGATATTATATATAATATTATGTCGATATATTGATACATACTGTATATTAATATATCAATTAATATACTGACTTTAGAAAAATCTAATCGTTACATTAAAAAGACGTCAAATGGACGTTACCAATATTATTTGAGATAATTTTTCCAAATTATATTGTAAAATTCTGTATTTTTTGACTGACTTATTTTTACACTAGTTCTACATTATGGGAACGACTTGATTGATCTATTATTGATCTATAAATGTATCTTCTTACATGCAGCAGAAAGGGAAAGGCAGAAAAGGAAAGAAGAAAGCGTAATTTTGTTTTTTCTATATTTTCTATCTAGCATCAGGTAGGTATTGCTTTGCCTAGATATACTTTAAACTCCTAACATAAAATTAAGACACTATTTAAAATTAGGTTGTTAAATTTTTACATATTTTTATAAAAATAAGGTACTTTATGACGTCAAGCAACGTTGAGTGGGGTCACTTTTTGGATGGGTGATCAAATTGGTTATCAATCAGAAGTTATGTCTATACAACCAAATGTAAATACTATTCATCTATGTTGAATACGTAACCTGATGCATTCAATGAGTATGCATAGCTCGGTCAACCGTTGAGAATAGAAGATTATCTTTTCGGTTGATTGCATTCATGAGCATTCTTTCATTGTCTCTGAGCTCACACAATTTAGTGGGATCACATGTAGTGCTTATGCGTGTGGTTCTCTTTGTCTATTTAGACAAAGAGAGGGCTAAGGATGGGCAGCAGGATCCCTTTTGAAACATCTCCAAAGTCTAACTACAGTTGCCAATCCTCCTGCCAAGCGTGGCAAGCACTGACAAAACTCCCCAAGGAGGACGCTTATGTTCAGCAGTGGACAGTTAAAGACTGATGTGATGATGATGACATTGCTATTAAGAAAATAGTTTATCATTTTAATTTATATGCAGAAATTTTACATAATATTATAATATATTAAAAGTAATTAACATTATTTTCAGTTGAAAAAATTGCAAAAGAAAATGCAAGCGGCCACGGTCATAGCAGAGAAGAAAGGTGGAGGAAAGAAATAGAATTAAATATAAAATTTAATTTTGTAAGCTTTTATTGTTTCTTAATTAAATATAACATCAATTTTATAATGTTCTAATACTAGCCTAATATAATTTATTCACTAATAAAATATTAGGTAAATTAAACCAGCATTCGATATAACAATGGCACATATGCATTATGTAAAAATTACAGAACGTTTTCTTGGTATTTCTAATAACAAGCCAGAGTCGCAACAAGAAATGGAGATTTATTTTATTCAATATAATCTTTTATTTGTTTTCGACATTTTTTTCTTAATATTCGTTACAATATATATATATTTTTTTAAATTATGTTTTAAAAAATGTAAATTACTATTGAATTATATTAAAAATAAATCGTATTAAATTCAAATCACATGTCATGTTTCCCTCCAAAATGTTTTAAAGTATCTAGTTATTTTTATAGGGTATACAAAAAAAAAAACAAAAAAAAAATTTTTTTTATTATTTATCTGTATTTAAATTGGTTCAGAAATTAAATGAATTAGCTCAGTATTTTAATCTCACTTTGAGCTATCGTAATGTGATTATTCTATGAAGGTTTTATTTATTATGATATAAAATAAATATGAAATTACCACAAAATAATTTATTTAATACTTTATGAATTTGAAAGAACCTCTTAATGCGGCTCTGAACCGTCTTAAATACAACAAATTTTTAGTTATAATTAAAAAATATAAATTATAGTAAAGAAAAAGTAATAACAAGGCACTATGATATTTTATCTTTGCTATCCGTTACCGCTACAAGGCACACCAAATTACAATCAGCTACAACATTACCTAAATTCAAGCCATTTTTTATTTATTTAGAGAGTCTATTTGGAATGAATACACTATAAAAAGCTAGCAATATTAAATAAAGATAATTTTCAAATTATTTTTCTTTTAAATTATGTATATACAATCTATAATAGCTATAATAGCCAATCTATTTATAATAATATCTATATATAGGCGTATTTAAGGGGTTCACCTCAGGATCATTAGCGAATTTTTATCTATGAGCAAAGACATGTTTAAAAGTACATATAGACCTTTATTAAGGGGCCAGTCCTCCCTAAAAAAAACTACACTTCGTATTTAAGTTATACATATAATAACATGTAAGCCATTTTCAAGAAATCAGCCAAGAAATCAAAACATCTACCATACATTCACACACACACACACATACATAATTAGTACACATTCACACTTTTTCATCATCGTCCATCGCCATAACGTGCCTGATAGCTCTGACGTCTATCAGGGTGTCTGAGGAACTTTTGGTGGTCGGCACGAAAGAGATAGCTCGACGCACTCTCTCGCCATTGCGGAGAACCGGGTTCATATCCTGGAAATAAGGGAATAAAAATTATTTGAATCAGTTTTTTGTTTTTTTTTTTTTATACAACTTAGAATGGCAAACAAGCTGACAATTTTTTTGTGTATAACATACAAATAAACACGCGATATCTTTGTTAATTCTGAACTGATTTTGGTTATTTTTTACAAATTTATTCCTCCTCCTTTAATAGATTCGGAGGATTATCACAAAATTTCTCGCGACAATGAGCTAACCTTATATTATATAGATATATATAGATATAACTTTTTGCCAGCTAATTGTAAAACTAACTGACTCATTTTTTTTTATCAGTGTTCTATATAATTACACATAAAATGTATCTTGATGTAATATTTAATAAATTAAATGAGAATTCTGTTTACGTATTAAAAAGATGTAGAAAGTATAAGAAAAAATAAATGTAGAAGTTATAAAGGAATCACTTCTAATTATCACGCAAAATTGTATGAAAAAGTTGACCCGTTTTTCTCGAAGCATTTCTATGGAGACACTCGATCTATATAACCTAATGAGCTAACAGAAGAGATGCGTACTCTCACTGCAATGTATATTACTTGTAAGCCCTGACTAAGTTTGCTCTTATTAGGACGCGAGCTGACTATGTCCCAAAACCATCATACTACTCTACTGAATTTGTAAGTTCTTCCGCAAATATTACTCACTCTCAATTGTACATGCAACGCTTTCGCCGTCAGCTCAGTCTTGTTAATCTTCTCTTGCGCCGCTTTCAGCTCATCGTCTAGCCTCTGCTTTTCTTGTTCCAGCTCTTTCAGACGTTTTTCCGCTTCTATAAGAAAAAAAAGTCCAAAACAAAATAAAATTAATTCTATGGCCTCTATAGCGCAGTCCACTCATGTCCGGGCATGAATGAACTGTGTGAAAGATAATATGGACAGAATGGGAGTGAATGCGGAAATGACTGCGAATAGAAAAGAATATTATATAAATTGACTTAACCCTCGATTTTCATCCCTTAATTATTTGTTCTCCTGCTGGACATGTGTTTAGAAACCAGTTAAAGGAGAATGTCAGACTATTATCACCCTGGCCAGTAGTTTTGGTATAAAGATGTATTGCGCTTTGTTCCTATAGATTCCTTGGGATGATAAGAATGGGCGATAGCCAATGGTAGGTTTATAGTATTTTTCATTTTTACATTTTCAGATTTCAGAGATTAAATTTTTTTTTTACCTCTGTATTGTTCTTCCTTTTCAGCTTGTAGCATTTCGAACCTTTTTCGTTTTAATCTCTCCTCTTCCAACATTCGGTTTTGTTCTTCTTGAAGTCTCTCTAACTCCTCTCGCCTTTCCCACTCCTCTGCTAAAACCCTTAATTACAACGAATAAATAAGTAAGAAGCCTAGTATATTTTTATTTCTACAAAAATATTTAAGGACATTTTCAACTGACTTCAAAGGGAAGTTCTCAATTTGGTTGTATTTTTTTATGTATGTTATCTCATAACAACATCAAATGTTAACCGATTTGGAAATTTCTTTTTTATCCAAAAAAATATACTTATAGATTGCTCTCATGGAAATTTTATCAAAATCGGTTCAGTAGTTTAGTTTTTAAATGACCATAATTGTTTTTGCCACAATAGAAGTTGGTATTTTTTTTTTGTGAAACAATCTAAATTATTATAATTTATGTTCCTTTTTAGGATTATAAATAAATATAAATTAAATAAGTATTTCACAGGTACCTGGCCTGCAGAGCTCGTACTATTTCTTCATCTCTCTTGGCTTGAATTTCTTCTTGTAACAATTTCTCCAACTCGGTTTGAGCAGATTTTAATTCTTCTAACTTTTTGTTGTCTTGTTGTGCCAATTCCGCTAATTCCTTTAACAAAGAAGTAGTATAATAAAAAAGTTGAAAGTAGCGTATTGCAACTTACAATACTTTTAAAAGCATAGTTTTTATATAAATAAAAATAAATCGCTAAATATACTACTAAGTGGAAAACGCGGAACGGCAGGACCAATTCATACATTTTTTTCAAGTATTTTTAGAGGTCCGAGGAAGGTTTTTATGAAAAGAAAAGTTAGATAAATTGGCCGATAATTTCTGTTCCCCCAAACGATTTTGACAGAATGCATTGTCGGATCAGCTAGTAGGACAAAAATGGCTTATTTTATTTTTCAATTTTCAGGTCCTTTTACGTCTATAAAATTTTTATTCGTGTTATACTTGGATTCGATATTCGTTCTGTGGTCTTTGACTAGAAATCTTTTATTTTCATGTGTTTAAAAATTGTTAAAGCCTTTATTTTTTATATAAAAACAGCAGGCTCATTTTTTTTTAATTATAATACTTTCTTTATAAAATTACATACCTGTGCTTGTGCCTCCGCAGCAAGTCTCGCTCGCACTTCGTGCTGCAACCGTGCGCGAGCATCTCTAGCCTCTCTCTCTCTCCTAGCACCGGCGCCGCGTCGGCAAGCTCTAGCTTTTCTCTGGTAGCCTTCTGCGCCACCCGAGACAGCTGTTGCCTGTCGCACTGCTGATATCCATTGCAGTCTACTTCTGTACCAGAATTACAAACAAAGATTTTAGTAACTGTTTGGGGGTTTCGTAAGAGGCAATTAAGGAAACATAATGGTCGAGACATGGGCAGCAGCTTTTTCTTAAACACCGCAAAAACCTAAATGCGGTTGCCAACCCGCCTACCAATCTTAACAATAACTGGCAAAACTCTTCAAGGAGAGGTCAATGTTCAAGGACAATTAACGGCTAATATGAGATCATGATGAAAGATATAGTGATAATATTATAAATGATAACTTACTTATGGTCTTGAGTGCCGAATTCATACGTTCTGTCTGGAGTAACGAGTTGGAACCTTTGTATTTTGCCTTCACCGGCTGAAGCCTCTACCGAACAGTATTCGTCTATATTTATTCTGCCGCACTGTTCCTTCTGCGAGGAGCTTTTGTAGTAGGTAAGTGCACAGGGCTGTAGCACACACCAATACTCTCTCATTGTCGGGAGTAAGTAGCCGCGTTTGAAGAGATAGCCCTGAAATATTTACTTCTAGTTTGAAATCAAATTATCTTTCGTTCATCTAAATAATAAGTCCCATACAATCACACTAGGATACTTGTGTTTTGAGGAACTAGATAATGTGCACTGGAAAAAATGCCTAACTAAGGATTTTACCGCCATTTCAGAAGGTGACTTTAACTGAGAAGGTTTAGCGAGAAACTTGACTTGTTATTTAGTCTTTGAAAAATAAATTAATTATTTGGTGTTTTTATAATTTGTCGTAACATGACATTATGTAGGTATTATAGGATTTTATGGTCACAATATAATAAGAGAATAATTAATATGTAATTGAATGACAATACTTTTAATTTTGATATCGTGGACGTACAAAACTAAAAGCATTTTATTTGTTCATTTATTTATTCATTTTATAGGATACATGCAACTGCTTTTCTCTGCCTGACTATCCGATATAGGTGCTGACGCGTGAGTGTTTTGCATATACGAGTATAGTCATTTAGCTACACGGAACGAAAAGTATTAAGTGGCCTTTTATATTTTTTTGCATAAAGCAACGAAAATGTCAAGCTTTTGGGGTTCTAGTTCTAAACAATCAAGGTTTTGTTATACATTTTGATTTCTGAATTATATAGATAGATGTCTAGTCTTAAATTTAGCGTTTTTAATTTGTTATTTTGCTCTTTATTATGTACTTAATATTTCCTCATTTCCAAATTAGGAAATATTAAGTACATCGTTTAATAAAAAACGTTAAGACGAAAAAATTTGGAGTCATCGTTCACTAATAAAGAAATATAAAATTGGTATTATATCATTACTAAAACTTGGCAACTATTCTGTAAATTGAGACAGCGTTGTAATTTTTTTTTTATTGTCAACCTAAATACCCAAGTAAATTGAACATAAACTGCAACCGTACTTGAGTATTACATTAATATAAGTAGCAACAGAAAATAAAAATAAATCTAGTAAATAATGATATAGTTATTAATACTATAATAACACTGAAACCGTATTGGTTGAAAATATTATACCTACAGTTCGACATTGCGTTAACCTATTCAAATTAAAAAGCGAAAACAAAGCAACTTAGCCGATTGACGATGACTAAGTGCGGTGTTTCCTCTCAATCTTAGTCACATCGCTTGTTCATTGTTTAGCAAACTTAGTAAGAACAATACGTTTTGTATGTTCCAAGTCGGAAATAGGTCACAGTAATGTAATGAGTGCTCTGACGTCAAAGGTATATGAATAGAAGGCTCAATAAAAGAGAGAGTAAATTTGCCTTATACGATTGGCGTCAGAAATGGTTTAGTAGGTAGGCTTCCATCTCGTAATATTACAGATATTGTAATAAAATACTGTACTATAGTAATAGTTTGGATAGCAAACTTGAAGAAAAGGCGAATACGATAAATCTTACAGGTCTTAGTGTTACAGGTTTCTACCTGATATACCCATTCAATTATTAAATTGTAGTAAAACTTAAGGTACCTACATTGTTTTCTATGATAGACAAACTTCGTTTTGTGATAACAAAAAAAAACCATGTAAATTCTTCATTACTTTAAAATAAAAAAAAAAATAATTTAAAGTAATGAAGAACTAAGTTTTTAGACTTTAAGTAAATTTTAATTGAATTAACCAAAAAATAATTAAACAATTGAAATTATCTATGGTTTTCATTATTACAGGAAGATCAGTATCTTGAAGGTTGCTATTCCTGTGGGCTAAGGTTTTTTATACTACTATGGTGTCAAACAAGTAAACGGTCCGTCTGATGGTAAACGGGGTTACTGTAGCCTATGGACCTTAATATGCCCTTTTTAAAGAACCCCATGCTGCAGTCTGTAGAGAAAACCTCGACAAGAAGATCATTCCAAAAGTTGATTATTATGCCTCTGTACTCTGTAATATACATATAGGTATTATGCCATATCCTACCCTTTTAAGCGAAATATTGTGAGCATAGCTGCTTCACGGCAGAACCCCAGGTGAGATTCCCACTAGTTAGTATGTATTTAAAAAAGACCGAATTTTACCTTCTTTATAATATCCTCGATAAATACGTCATAAATCTCGTCGACAGCTTCCACTAAAGCCTTAGAGTGTAGCTGCTGGTCGCAGCAGTACTTGGCCTCTAGTACTGCAAGGAAGGCCGCCCATTTGAAGTGGCCAATGGACGTGCCGAGCGCGTCCCAGTCTGCCGCATCCCACCGGAGCCCAAGGCAGTGGACTAGTTGTTCAGCTACTATGCCCGCTTCTGACGGCTGCAGTACCACCTGAAATGTATAACATTATTCTTATTGGTTTATATTGGTCGATATTTATTTATCAAAAAAAAAATCAAATACAAATAAAGGGAATGAAGTTTATAAAACGGCCTTTTTTAAGAAATAGGAGCGCAATTTATGTTTTAAAACTAATAAGTATAGCGATATTCCAACTCTTTTAAATAACCTTATATATCTATATCCCACTCTTCGAAACATAGTAGTTGCTTAGCAATAAAAAGTGACTGGGTGGGACAGATGCATCCAAACTAGTGGATCTGGGATCTGGGATTTCTGTTGTGATTGGTAGTCTATTTGCACTAAATACTATGTGTAATATTGAGGCACGAGACAGTGAACTATGCTATGACAAGAGTACGTATTGCAAAACAAGACTCTTGCAGTTTAGAACGGAAGATAACGATTTCGTACGAGCGAAGTCACGGGAAGCAGCTAGTCATAAATGAAATGAAGGAGGGTTATCGACCCCTGTATTAATTCTTCAATTCTCCATATAGCAACATCTGGGCAACATGTGTTGAATGTAAACTTTGATCTTTTAAATTAATGACGTCAATAGCCGGGGAGGTCTCGCGAACATTGAATGACATACGCTTTGTTATAAATTTTGCAGAGTAAAGTTTGTATGCAGGATTGTAATACTGGGAGAATTTTTATTTAAGACTATGCCATCTGTTTACAAACTAATCTGAGTTGAAACTAGAGCTGGTATTATGAGTATTAAATAGCTAATAGAAACCCTTACAATTTTTTTTTTTTGTAAATACATACATTTATTTATTTATACTTTTGCAGACATTAAAATATGTCTACAGGACGGACTTAATGCCTGATGGCATTCTCTACCAGTCAACCGTTACGCTAATCAGAGAGAGTAAATGGCGATGCATTGATTTAACAAAACAATTTGTAAATTAAATAAATATTTTGGAAGACCACAACATTAAGAATACAATATAGAATAATAATACACTTACAAAAATTATGCATACAAAAACACATACAATACAATACATATATAAACAATTATACATACATATAGTACGTAGAAAATACCCAAACCAAAATAGACAAACATAGTCATAAATATAAATGTTTGTATTTTGCGGGAATCGAAACTGTGACCTTCGGAAGATGAGGAAGGCGGCAAAATGTTAAACCACACTACCAAAATTGGCATTTGAATTATTTTAATGTAAATTAACATGGTATATATACTCGTAAAATATTAAATAAATATATTCTATCTTAAAATATTTAAAATTTATTTAATCATAATACATTTAAAAATATATGTTATAAATGGTAACAGCCATAAAGGCAAAATTATTTACATTAATGTCACAGATTTGGGAATTCGTCTAACGTTTTGATATATTGAAATTAGCATATGTTATTGTACTGTAAAATGAAACATATGCTCAAAAAAGATGGGTCGGAATACGAAAAAACGCCTTTCTACGCTAAAAAACGCTTTTCTTTCAAAAACGGTTTTCTACTTAATAATGACGACACTGGACATCCCGTGTTAGTATGAGAGGCTCTATATTATATATAGTTTTTAATTCGATTTATTTTTTATTTTTGATTTACCTATTTTTGAAATTCCTTCGTATATACGAGGCAATTTCAAAAGTAGGAAAATCAATTAAATAAAGCACTTCTAGATAGCGTATCAATATAATATATACACCAGTTTTTAAATTAAACCTCCAGGAGTATAATTAAGAAAACGTGATGCCAGAACAAACATACATAAAGACAGTTAAGCAAAATTTCAAAAAAAAAATTGTTTTGGCTTCTATTGCTCTTAGTAAGACTCATATTAATTTATCTTTAATATTTCTCATATACAGATATCGTTAAATTACAATTTTATTAGTAAGATATGTCGTGTGGCCTCAGCATAGAAGGGGCCGCTCTTTTCTTTCCCGTGGGTGTCGTAAGAGGCAACTAAGGAAATTTAACGGCCGAGGGATGGGCAGCAGCGTTCATTCTAAAACATCACCAAAGCTTAATTGCGGTTGCCAACCCGCCTGTCAAACGTAGTAACTAATGGCAAAACCCTTCAATAGGGGGGGGGAAGGGATTGTTAGTAATGGAGACTGAGAATCCCATTGCTAGCAATATACCCAACCAGGTCGACCTCCACGCGGTTCCCCCTAGAAACTATCATGGTTAATTCCTGATGAATTCATCATGATAGGCTAACTGGCCTGTTTACATTCTCATCTATCACCCTTCACTGGTGCTCCGCCAGCGTATCCCGTTAGCGCAAGCGGGGTTACCATACCATTTTCACCCATCAAAAAAAAACCCTTCAATAGGGGGAGGTCTATATTCAAAAGAGGACAGTTAATGGCTGTTATGAGAAAGATATTCAACTTCGCTGGTAGGAGACATCCCTTAAAACAGTGCTAATATTATCGAGGTCACCCTGTATATTTAACCGGAACTTTTTGCTATACAAACAATCGGTTATCGCATTTCAAGCGTAAAATATACAAAACAAAAATAGTTCTGTCATCACTCATTCCTATCTGTACGTAAGTAGATATAATTTTATATAACAGTGACTATGTGTGACTAATACTATGTTTACCTTGACATTATAAATCTGGCAGTTTTGCCACTACGCGATATGTTGTAAAATAGTGATTTTTCTACCTTTTTTATATAAATAAAAATCAATTTGCAAACATCGTGTGGTCCTGGCATACAATAGATCACCTTTCCCGTGAGTGATATAAGATATGACTAAAGGAATTTAATGATTGGGGAATAGAGGAAATAACATCTCCATTAAAACATCTTCAAAGCTGGGGGGGCTAGCAATATACCCAACCAGGTCGACCTCCTCGCGGTTCCCCCTGGAAACTATCATGGTTAATTCCTGATGAATTAATCATGATGGGCTAACTGGCCTGTTTTCATTTTCGTCTATCACCCTTCACTGGTGCTCCGCCAGCGTATCCCGTTACCATTTCATTTTCACACATAAAAAAAAACATCTTCAAAGCCTAATTACGCTTGTAAGCCAAGCGTGGCAACTATTGGTAAAATCCCCATTGACAAATACCGATCCTTATAGCAGTCTAAGGGGGAGGCCTATGTTTAGCAATGGACAGTTAACAGCTAAATCGGTATGTTAAGTTGTGGTGGGTTTGGGGGTTTGTTGGTGAAGGGTGGCAATATGACAATGAAATTATGGAGTATAGAGCCATCACATGTCACACGTCTTCAGGAATGGCAACGCATGAAGAGCATTATGGGCGACACAGGAGGGTATACTCTGTTATGTCTATAGGCGACGGTTACCACTTACCATTAGGTGGGCCGTTAGCTTTTTTGCTATTCTAAATTGTTTAAAATAATATATTTATTTATTTCGAATTTGGGCACACCAACAGTATACATATTATACATAAATTAAATAACATTTTTTGTTCAGCATGGTGATATGCATATAAAATAAAGGTTATTATAGTAAAGATTACCACATAGTGTTCCGTGTTATCAGCGTCCTGCACTAAATCAGCCAGTAGACAGTATATTCTGAACAGCTTCAGCACGGAGTCATCGCTGAAGATGGGCTTATCTCGTAACACCAGGTTCTTCCTACACACCAACCAGCATACCTGAGGAGGAAAGGTCATTTTCTATGAAACCAATCCGTTTAAAGCCTGTTCTGTTATTAAACTTGTACTAATATTCATTATATCACCATAGCTGTTAACTTTCCACTGCTGAACATTTTTTTTTATACAACTGAGAATGGCACACAAGCTGACGGCCCACCTGATGGAAAGTGATAACCGTCGCCTATAGACATGAGCAGTACCATGGACATAACAGAGTATACTGTTTCGCCCATGGTACCCCCCATGCGTTGCCATTCCTGAGGACTCAGATTACCTCTGTACCCAGTAAATTCACGCCATGTCCCACCCTTTAAACAGAAACACAGCCATGAAAACACGACTGCTTCACGGTTGAAACACGAATGGAACAGAGGTACCCGCAATCGACTTTTGTACAAAGTCTCCCTCTGGTAACATAATCCTGGTGATGTTTTAAGAGGGACGCTGTTGCTCATCTCTTGACCATTTATTTGTCGTCTAGCTTAAAATTTTAATAGATACATAAATATAGATGTAACAACACATATTCCATTCATATCAATTCATTCGTAATGTTTGATAACGAAGCTCACATGCAACAGCTGTACGGGGACATTTAGTTTATGAATATTAGGCCCATTCAAATGTAGAGGAACTACGAACATGTGTTCAATAGAGTGACGTTTTGCTTTATTGGCACTCAAATATGAAACAAAGTAGGAGGACTGTATTTTGTGTGAATTTTTAACAAAATCTTCGCCAATTGTGAATTGCTTTTAAAAATTCCTTTTTTTTAGAATCGTTTTTGTATTTATTCAAATCGTCTATCTTCATATTCAATAGATGGTGATAATAGTCGTGATTTATTATTAATGCTTCTGTAAAAACAAAATTATTCATAAAATATCTATATATATATTTTTAATATTCAAAGTACGTAAAAACGGAAAAATTCGGAAACGGAAGATTCTTAAACCAAATCTCATTAATTTTATTAAAATTTTATAATTGCTTTATTTCTACCAGGAAAATATTGTGTTTTGATCTAATTGCCATTGCTTAGTTAATACTAGTATAGTTTAAAGTAAACAGGTACATAACAAGAGGTAGTATATTTTCATGTAGGTATAAATATAAATTTTTACAATCGCTTTTATTTTCGGAAAATGAACTTTACGACTTTTTGTTTTAATTTAACTTCACAGGGCATATAATTTATTTCCCTGATACACTTAGTAAGTAAATTTTTTGTTTAAAATAAATCTATTCTCTTATAAACGTTTCACTTTTGGATGACGTAGATATATACTCTGCCAATAATTTATGGCGTCAATATGAAACCTTGATAAAGTCTGTTTTTATTCAATATACTAAAGAACAATCTAGACAGAGGCAATTTGGCGCAATTTTACGTGTACAACGCAGTCTGGAGAGGCCTTGACCTCGAGCGGCCGAACTATAATACCTAGTAGGTATCTAGTTTATTGTAGACTAACTTTTACCCGCGACTTTGTCCGCGTGACTGGGATAAAAATAGCCAGCCTATATCCTTCTCCATCCCATATATAAAAATAGCCAGCCTATATCCTTTTACTCCATCCCATAGCAAAATTCACTAACAAAAAGTTGTTTTTGAGATACATGTAATAAATGTTTGAAAGAAACGAAAATTGTATATCAAATTTAATATCATAATGATCGATGGATGGATGTTAATTCGTTAGAACAAGAGTAGGTTATATCCTAACTTAGAACCTGGGATAATTTATATACTGTTTAAATAAGTGTACATTTTATTCTAGTTTAAATCTATGAATAATGAGTAAAAGATAATATTTATATTATTATATATAAAACTATAAGTCTATATAAAAACCTATTATTTGCAAATTTTATTTTTGTAGTTTATCTCCAATCCTTATACAATTTTAAATAACAAACAATATAACATAATAATCATAAATTCCATATATTATTAACATCTTTATTCATTTAATAATTTAATTCCTTTTTAATGTTTCTCAAACACAAAACATGCTATGGTTGCCTCTAAAAGTAAGAACAGTTAGCCCTAATCCACTAATATATCTTAATTTGGTAATCCTTTAAAATAAATGAATAAAATAAAAATGGTTTACAATCAGAGTTGGTTAAGTTTACCCTTAATTTTTTTTTATCATTTATGTTATCTCGCTTTTTTTTAATATGTATGTTGTAATTTGTGTGTTGTAAGTAAGTAATGCAAATAAATTATCTATCTATCTATCTTTAATAAAATATTAGATACACGAAGAATACACACAGTCAAACTGGGAGCTTTTTTTTTAAATTCTTACCTCACTTATTTTCTTCTCGTAATCCCTAATAACGGGTAAGGTCATAGTCTTAGGCAGCGAGCTGAACACCTCATGCTGCAGGTAGTAGCGGAACTCGTCAAAGGACAACTCCTGTGAAGACTTGAAGTGATCCAGACCCTTTTCCACACCGTAGAGATCCAGAAGGGTACCGATGTTTGCTGTTAACACCTGAGAAAGACACATATATTTAGACAGATATTTATAAGAATTAATTAAAGACGAAACAGAGAGATATGAGTACCAAAAGCATCCTTGGATCACTCTTTCAGATACCTATATAGAAAATAGTAATATATGGGGGGAAGGGATTGTTAGTAATAGGGATTATCAGCCCCATTGTTAGCAATATATCTTATCAGGTCAGTCTCTTCGCGATCACCCTGGAAATTATCATGTTATAATCATCATGTAATATGGGCTAATTGTCCACCTTTTCATTCTCACCTATCATCCCTCACCGGTGCCGCGGCGCCCCACACGTGTATACCGTTAGCGGGCGAAGTTACTATTCCATTAATCAATTAAAAAGCAATTAATATATGAACTATAACTGAATTACTCATTTCTAAGTAAATTTTTGCAATAAATAGGGATCTACTTAGAAACATATTTGCGTCCTTATTATTTTATAATAATGATAATGTAATATAGACTCTGGTAGATACTGTCAGATTTATTACTTTTACATGTCCTATTATGTATTCTATCCAGTATTAAGCAGACAAGATCGTATTGAAGGGGAATTATCTTGTAAACTTAGATTATAATTTATTTAAACATATATGTTTTCGAAACAGTGGCTTGTTTGGCGATATTTGTAGTGTAATTTTTTTTAACTTTGTTCGCTATTGCAAAGGTGAAATTATTTTAACAAAAGACAACTAAATCTAGCCAGTTTATTGATCCGAGATGATCTATACTTACTAGACCTAATAGAATTGCTCATTTAAGTAATTAATATAATTAATTCGATTTATTATCAGAAAAAGTTATGCATTTAGAAGCTAGGTATAGTTTATAAATATTCCCTTAAAACAGCTAAGTGGACTGCCTTGGCTGATGTAGAAAGACAGTTTAACGTACAGTAAAATACAGGTTTTTAGTAAAAACTCTTTCACATTTCGGCGAACGTAAAATTTTTGTTACACAGTAGCGGTACTAGTTAGCTTCAAGCCCCTGTCTATATTGATTATAATTATTTTGCCTTTGAAAACAACCAATAATAACGAGTACAACACATAAAACAGTTACATTTCCTTGTTTATTGTTTTGTTATATAAACGCATTTATGAAGCCACGATTAATAAAACCAAATGTCAAGAGAATTAACAAAAATAACATTACAACAGTCGAAACGGTTTCACAAGCCATGTAATGCAATAGTGCGACGCTTTGCATCTTGATCAATGTACTACTTTTTAATTACGACTTCGTTCACGTGACCGGTATATTTTTTTTATTTTGACAGCCCCATTGCTAGCAATATGCCCTATCAGGTCAACCTCCACGTGGTGCCCCCTGGAAACCATCGTGAACAATTCTCGTTGAATTAGTCACGATGGGTTAACTGACCTGCTTCATCCTCACTTATCATCCTTCACTGGTGCCCCGCCGGTGTATACCGATAGCGCGGGTGGAGTTACTATTTCATTATCACCTATAAAAAAAAAACTCCATAGTGATTGGTTAAGCCGTCAAGGCGCTAAGAGGCAACAATCAAAGTCACTTTTATATTTATAATGAGATAAATAATTGTGTGTAATTTACAAAGTAGGTAACTTAAATGTGATGTGGGCGAACTAAGACCTACTTAAGTACCTAAGACCAATGCTCTTTAACATGACTCATTGTAGGTACCGACTTATTTACATTTACTACCTCTGACTAGAGTAATGATTTTACGCCCACAAATACACTCTGGTATTGCATTTTGTTTAAGAGTGCCATATGAGATTACCACTAATTATAAGCATTATTAATACCATAACAATTTATTTATTTATGACTTTCTCTTCACGAACTGCTTGGAAAATAATAGGATAGATAGATAGATAGATAATTTATTTGCATTACTTACAGCACACAAATTACAACATACATATACAAAAAAAAAAGCGAGATAACATAAATGATAAAAAAAAATATACACAAAGCTAAATACAATTTTCGTTTGTGAGTGTTCCATAGCAATACAAAATGGCCACAACTCAGTTTATTGCTTCGCCCTCAAAAGAGCAAAGCACTAATATTCTGCGGCCAAAGGGAATAGGGCAACAATAAAACAATACTACCAGATTATCCGTACAATAAAAAGATAGATATACAGTTAACAAACAGATATGACAGTTTATCTAGCAGACAAATGGAACATAGAGGTAACTTGCAGGAATGTCTAACTTTTGCCTCTCAATTAAGAATTTTTGTAAATTAATTTTGAAACTGGACTTAGTGACACTACTGGATACGCATACTTGAATAACGTTTTCAGCAATTTGAAAATATTTAGATTTTACAATGTAAGGTAGACATTTCACGAATGCTATAATAATAATAACTATAATAATTAAGGAAAAAAGACAAATTATTAGAACTATTGAGGATAGAAGGGGAAAAATGTTGGGACACTTGATACGACACGATGAACTTATGAACATTATAATAGAAGGTAAGATAGAAGGAAGGAGGATAGGAGAGAGACCAAGGCATAGTTACATCAGGCAGATCAAGGAAGGAGTTGGTGTCGTATCAAGAGGTGAAGAGACTCGCTGTTAATTGTAGTGAGTGGCAAGAGCTCCACCGACAAGAGCTCAGCTCTTAACTAGGATAGATAGATAATAATAATAGTAATAAATAATCTTCATGGAGGGGGAGGGGGTTTATGTTCAGCAGTGGATAGTTAACGAGTGACATGATGATGATGATGATGATGATGATGATAATAATATTAGTTTTATTAATTACAGTTTTTATAAGTATTCGAATACAATAAAAACCAATTAATTAGATTAGACAATAACGATAGGATTTTTTTGATGGGTGAAAATGGTATGGTAACCCTGCACGCGCTAACGGGATACGCTGGCGGAGTACCAGTGAAGGGTGATAGATTAGAATGAGAACAGGCCAGTTAGCCCATCATGATGAATTCATCAGGAATTAACCATGATAGTTTTTAGGGGGAACCGCGAGGAGGTCGACCTGGTTGGGTATATTGCTAGCAATGGGATTATCAGTCTCCCCCAATAATGATAGGTTCTGCATCAACAGGAAATGGAGGGAAGTGTAGTGACTTAGGCATACTAAAAAGCTGTTGGTTAACAAATCTGACAGACAGGGCAACTTTATTTATTTTATTCCCACCTATCATCACTCACTGGTGCCCCGTCAGAGTATACTGTTAGCGCAGGCGGAGTTACCATTCCTTTATCATCCTTTAAAAAAACTTGCTATAATTAACAATTATCATACAGCACGTGTTACAGTGAGCGTTGCATATCTACTGTATTATGAAAGAAAACAATTGCATGAAATCAATGACATTGACAAATAGAAGGCGTTGACACGTAGTCAATAAGACAATAATAATAACGAATGTAAATCACAGTTATAATAGCTAATGTAAAAATTATGAATATCTATGATGATTTTAGCTGTTTGTTATTCAATGACACATTTTTATACCACTGAGGTGGCAAATTAGCATACCACCTGATGGTAAGCCGTTATGGTAGCCTAGGAACACCTGCAATACCAGGAATAATATGCGCGCGATTCCGACCCTAAAGAAACCTCTTTATACCTTTTTTTAAGAACTCCATGCTGTAGTCTCTTGGAAAAACCTCGACAGGGAGCTCATTCCGCAATCTGAGCATTCGTGGGAGAAAACATATTTAAAACCGCGCTGTACGCGACCACCTAGGCTCTAGGTTATGAGAGTGACCTGTAGTGTGTAACCTGAGGGTGACAGTGAGCTGTATGATAGTTGAAAGTGGCCGTGGACATCATATTGAATAATTTCTCTAAGCATACTCCGTCGTACAAGTAGTAGAACACGCATAGTGAGGCAATAATCTCTTGTAAGACTTAAGGGTTCGATAACTCTTATAGGTCTGGAATCATTAACAATTCTTATAGCTTGTCGTTGCACTGAGTCGAAGGGTTCAAGCTCGTATTTTGCTTGTAATTTGGTGATTACCCTCTCATTAACTGGTAAATAAATTTATCGACACATACCTAACAATAATTAGCTAATTAATTCAAACTCTGCTAATTAACTGTTGCTAATTAAATGATATTAATTATTGTAGATTTTAAATAGGTAAAACGCTTGTCCTTATATCAGTCGTGATATATATTTATATACTTATTCGTGAGGGCAAGTAGGTTAATACACTACTCGGTCTTTTGTTAGGGATATGTGAAAATACTCTTAACATTAAATTATCAATTCCTAATTCACAGTAGACCTGCGACTGTCTCCAGGGGGAACCGCGAGGAGGTTAACCTGGTTGGGTATATTGCTAGCAATGGGATTCTCAGTCTCCATTACTAACAATCCCTTTCCCCCTGGCAGGTGGGTTGGCACCCGCAGTTAGGCTTTTAGAGATGTTTTAAGAGGGACACGAGAGATAGCCAGCACCCATCTCTCGCCCTCCCTAAGTTGCCTCTTACCACACTCACGGGAAAGAAAGAGGTGGCCCTTTTCCATGCCGGAGCACACACGGCGAAAAATATATAGATATTGTTATATATTGTTCACTCTTACTCGGTAGTTCTTATTATTAATAACTTCCCCCAATAGGGGGATAATGGATTGTTAAAAATGGGGATTAGTACCCCCATTGTTAGCAATACACCCTATCTGGTCGATCTTCTCACGGTTCCCCCTGGAAACTATCGTGTTCTATTTCAAGCGAATCCATCACGATAGGCTAACTGACCTGCTTTTTCATTCTCACCTATCATCCCTTACTGGTGCCCCGCCAGCGTATACCGTTAGCGCGGGCGGGGTTACCATTCCATCACCATCCATTTAAAACTTCCCCTCAATATCGGCAGTTAGGGGGAAAGGGATTGTAGTGATGGAGACAGAATCCCATTACTAGCAATATACCCAACCAGATCGACCTCCTCGCGATTCTCCCTGGAAACTATCATTGTTAATTCCT